TCCCGAGCTCTGCTCCGAGTTCCGGGCCTTGGCCCGGCAGCTCGGATCGGTGAGGGTGAGACGGTCTTTATTTGTTGGTTTAAGAAAAACAATAATAAATTATATAAATTAGTGAATAACAATAGTAGTAGATATGAAAGTTAGACCTGCCGTGAAAAATGTAGCTGGTGCTCCCTAAGAAGACAAGCCCAAAGGAACGCAGTGACGAAGGGTCCAAGAAATATAAAGGGCAAGACAGTTATGCACGCTGTTATGAGGTAATCTCTATTTGATAAGTTCCCCACAAGCATGTTCTAATTATGTTGGCCCCGAAAGTACTCTGGGGATGTGCGTTGAAAGCATTTTCCGGGATATACATCAGCAGGAGTATTGTTGAAGTCAAAGTCCCTCAAACATCGGCTTTATCATAGAGCAAATGTCTTACCGGAGTTTGCTTGATAACGCACAGTTTGACGAGCTCAAAAATCAAGGGGGCCATACGAAAGCCAGTTCCGCCCAAATATTATCAACCTATGCCATCTCCAGCGGGCGTGGGAGAGTTGCTCGGGCCTTGCGGCCCGGGTCGACACAACTGACAGCCTCTACGGCATGCCACCGGTAGGAGCCATGCTTACAAACACGCACCTCTGCTCGCGATGGACTGAACCAGCCAGCTAATTATGTAGTCCACTTTGCCAGGGGGGCCTGGCAATGGGGTTATTAATCATGAACACATGAGTGGCTTGAGCCTTGCGCAGAGGGGAACGGCGGAGGGATGCCTTTGATCACACAGCGTCTTAGATACTTTGCACAGTCGGCCCGGAATGATGTCAGGGAAAACCTTGGCTTGGTTCATTGGAGCGGAAGCCTGGAAGGCTTTGGAAGCCTTCCCCCTTAACCTGGAACCGTTCCCAGGCGGTAGTTTCTCGCCCCAGATGCGGGAGTTACTTCAGTTACGGTTGCACATTGAGGTTGCGAGGTATCCCTGAATCCACTCCGCATAGTGTGCGGAACTCCGCCAGGCAATTTGCCTCAGGGTTGGAGCACTGCTCGCTTGCCTTGCCTGAAACCATCGCAGCCGGGCATCCGTTTGCCAAGAACAGCTGGGAGCTGACCTGCGGGGTCAAACGAGCTCATCACCCATGATGAAGGTTTCTTTCTGAGGGGTCCGTTATTGCCAGCTGTGATTAATGGCTCATTGCCCAGATAGAAGTGAGCAGAGCCCTGGCCATTGCGGGCAAACTGCAGGCTTGCCATTGCCAAGAGGAACGTCTTCCGAGAGGGTTTGTGCACTTCCATGGTTGGTCGAAGGGGAACTTGTCTCATAAGTTGGCTCCTCGAAGTTTGGAGTTTCTGAGATTCAATCCAAGCTTGAGTCATGTGTGATTGACCCACCAGAACACACCTGGAACATCAAAGCGGGTCCTTTGAAAGACACCTCATTCAAACATATTCAAGCCAGGGTCTAGGGCAAGCCCGCATCATGAAAGTGAACACGTTTGGTAGGATTATCAACATTTCGTTTAGGTGTGTGTCACAAAAAGCTTTTTACCAAAAGGTAGTTTGTAGACTGTCGCCGCATAGCTCAGTAGCTCCATCCACCCCAGCCAGTTGGCATGGGAAAAAACCCAGTGATATTGGAATAAACCACCTACCAAGTGCTGCGAAGTGAATTGCGTCGATCCACTGTATTGTAAGTTATTCATAGTTATCCTTTTTCCAGCAATTGTCCTTTTGCTTTGCAAAGTATTGTTTCCTTGCTTAGGTATAACAAGTTAAAGGATTCACCGAGACATTTTCTCCTTAGGCTGGTGCCTTGCGGCAGCAGTTCGTCGTTGAGCGCGGGGCCCCAGCAAGTAGTGAAACAAGTTGGCTTGGAGCTCTTTGCTTGGCTGCTACCATAGTAGATCCCCGAAAATCTATTTGCTGGTATGTGCTTGGCCTTCAACTCTTGGGACATGCTGCAGTTCCCATTGGGCTGTAAAATGGGTGGCCTCCTTCTGGCTTCCCTTCAAGCCAACCTGAACAGGGTACCCTTGGAAAAGCGCACAATTCCAGGTTTTAAGCAGCCACTAGGATTCCTGGTCACTTCCACTACGAGTATTTCACGAGGACTTCCCCTTTCTTTCCGCCATGTTTTTTCAGAGACATCCGAATGTGCGAAAGTAGAGGATCTGGGTACAGCCACCGTGCCCTTTTCTTTTTCTTGGCCTTGTGGGTTTGTGTCAAAACCAGAGCCCGCCTCAGGAAGGAGGTGCGAGGAATCGGAGCTGTTGTATCAAGCGCCTGAGCTTTACCGGTCGTTTGGTTTGTTGGTTGATTAGATGTTTGGTTGAGTAGTGAAATTGGTTGAATGGTTGGTTGGTGGGTTGCTCAGAAGTCTTGGGCCTAGTTCAAATTCCTGAGGCTGGGTGCCGGTAGTTGCCGGCCAGTGAGCTACGCGAGGGTGGGTTTTGGGAGGGCACTTGAAGGGTTTGCGGCCGAATCAGGCGGTGATGTAGGGCATGTTCTTTGGATTATCGTTGGGTTGGGGCCCGGTTTTGGCTTTGAGTCGCTGAATTTCCATGTTCCCAATCTTTCCTGGCAGTTATACAACCCGGTCCCCCCTGGCACCGGGTGTTTTTTTTGCAGGGCCACTCCCTTACGCATGCCTTGTTGAACCCACTTTGTTGAACCCGTGGCCCCCCAAGGCCCATTCCACCCCCAAACCCACTCCAACCTCCACCTGCAACTCGCAAGGAATTGTAGAGCTCTATAAGGTCGTGTGTTTTGTTAGGGAAGCCAAAAGGAAAACCCGCCCATTTGCGGCTTGGACCGTTGAGGATTCCATCAGCTGAGGCCTCCCTGCGCGAAGGTGGACATCATCCGCCTGCCGTGGCTGGCGCCGGGAGTTCCAAGTTGGTAGCGCGAGTTCCCCTTGAAAAGGCGGCACAAGGCGGCGCCAGGGTCCAACATGGGGCTAGAATGCTTCGATGTTTCAACCACCCAGTATAAGCGCGTAAATAATTCGCATGAGGTGGGGTGCTTCAAAACTGCATTGCCCAGTTCTTCAGTGGCACCCCTTCTGATTCAGTTGCTTCCCCACGCTGAACTAAAGAAGGCAGTGTTTTTGTATGTTTGTGTTGTTGCCACAAGGACGCAATGAGGTATGTATCATGCAACACCCGGTTCTACAAAACAACCGTGTCCTAAACAGGGTGCTTATTTGGAGTCATTATTTGCCCTTTGTTTCCCAAAAACCTTGCGGTGCTCCCTTTTCTTTGGTCGATTTGCCCCCAATTCTCAGCCCAAATATTTGGGCATCTGTCCCCCGCCATTTCAGGTTTGGTTTTATACTTGGAATTTTAGTCACTTGGTAGTTGTAGGAGTAGCTGTTCATTCTTTCCAGGCATCTTCTTTCAACAACAACCCAGGCTAAACTGCTGATTGAAAAGGGGGGGTGAATAGTAGAACGGGCAACCCCCCCTCTTGGGGGGGAATCCCCAAAACAGGAAATGGTCAGATTATCTCCTGGGTTCCTGTACAAGCGAGCCACTGTTTTGGCAACCCAGACCGTTAATTGACGTCCACTTTTCCTTCCAGTTCTGGGCCAGAAGAAAACTTGGTGGTGGGTGGAAACAACGAACGCGTTCCCCTGATCCCGAAAACATGGGAGTCAACCCATTCCGCTTTGAGGCCTTCCTCGAGTCCCAAACTGCTGCGTTTGCCGTTGGGCCTCAGCCACAAGAGGAGGCGTGGGGCGTCGGGCTGATTCCTCATTTGCAGCCCTCGCTCTTTTCAAAAGCTGGCTGCGTCGTATCTTCGTCGAAGTTGTGTTGGGGCGCTACCACTAGAATACGTGATGTTTGTTTGTTCAGGCACATGATGTTGGGTGGTTTTGCTAACAGCACGTGTGCAAAATACCCGTTGACACATGCACTGATAGGGAGGGTTGAGAGCTCCCTTTGAGCCACTTGGGGATGGCGCTTCTGCCAACTGAGACCTTGGGAATCGCCGCGGAACAAGCAAGTGTCGCAAGTCATTGGGGAAAACAGGATGAGGACTTGCTCATTGCGAGCAGGAAGGGGTTGAAAGGAACAAAAGCCAAGCAGCTGAGTTGCAGCAATCCTCCAGTTCGGAGGCAGCAGCTTTCAAGAGCCCGCGCCAGCTTGGCGGAGCGGTGCAGGGCGCAGACCTCGGCACAAGACACAAGCGTCCAGGTGTTGGGAGACACAGGTGCTTCTGTGGCCTTTGACCAAAACACGAGCGTCCCTCTGAATAACGTGTTCTTCGAACTGGTCACAAAGACTCATTTGCACAGGGGCTGGGAGATTTGGAGAATCTATAAATCCGGAGTGGACATATTGCATGCGTAGATAGAGCGACCGCTCATTATGTGTTTGTGTATTTGTCTCTGTGAGTCTCTGTGTGTGTGTGTGTGTGTGTGTTCCAGCAGTTGTTCATGATCGGATCTCAATCCATAGTATGTGAGAGAGAGAGAGATGTGCTGTGCTCAAACGAAGCGTTGACGGATGAAGACGCAAAGAAGATTGAGTCTGTGTATCTTGGCGTTTGTTTCTATGGTCGTCAGAGGCACCCGGATGGTCCCAAAGGATCTGCTGGTAAATTGTGCTGGGCATTATGCGCTGCTAGCTCCGAATTATTGGGACTCGGAGTTTTTGGGATCCCTTGACAACAATGGGATTTCGGGAACCTTGCGGATTGCTTGTATGCAACTGCATGGCCCCATGATGAGTTCTGGCGTTGAGACCGGAAAGCATTGCGATGGAACTTCCTTGCTGCCGCTGGGATGAATGCACTTGCCAGGAAACCGGGGCATGTCGCTTCCACTTGGCTGTGGCCGGTTTCAACACTGGGATGAGGCATTCTGGCAGTCTATTTTAGGAAGCTATGCTCTAGACCGAAAAGAGAGGGTCTTGCATTCAGAAAATCATCGTCCTGTCCTGCCCCCCTCGATCCGACTCCGCGGAATGGGGAACCGCAGCCATGGAAGGGGTCTCCCCGATTCTCGTGAACGGTCTCGTTTTAGCCTGTAAGAATTGCCATTCGGCACGGGTAGACGTGGTGGCTATCAGATGTTGAGGCTCAGACCCAGCACCCTTGACCCATGCCAATGCTGGTGCTCTTTCACAGGTTTCATGTTGGAGGCTCTCTCAACACGATCGGAGAGGAGTTGACCCATGTCTGTATGACTGAATGACAGAGTTTTTTGTTGGTTAGCTATATAGCCCAGCGGCTGCTTGCTCACGTTCACGATTCGCGTGCAGATGGGCTTTGTTGGAGTGCTGTCCCGAAGCAAGCCGTACCGGTCGTGTCGCGATAGGTGTTGGTGCACAAGAACATGAGTATTGATCAGGCCTCGGCCTCAGGCCGGCTTGCTCACTCTGGGCCAGCTCCGGATGCGTTGTGAAGGCCAGAGTTCAGAGTTGTTTGAATTGTTTATTGGTGTTTGTTTCTGGCCACATGTTCTTGTCCAGGTAGTGAACACTAGCAATGTCCTTCCCACACGGGGTAGCTCTTTGCATATTTTTTCTTGATTGCCGCAAAACAGCGCCAACAGCGCCCGAGTGCGGGAGCCAAGGTTTCAATGAGCTCTCACTCCAAAGGTGCAGTCTCGTCAGACACCAGTGCACAGAAAACATGAGATTAACCTCAGGCTTGACAAATTAGGATTTAGCACATTTGTTGTCGCCTCCAATGCTGATGAGTTGTGCGGACTTTAGGATGCAGCCTTGCTAGTTATCAAGATTTCGTACTTGGGCATGTTCTTTCTGAGGGCGCCTTCTCGGGGTGGTGTTGAAGTTGTCAAAATCTCACATTTTCGGCATGCAAGCCATTTGGAGTCACAACACTGCATTAGACGGTCTCTGCTTTTGCAGCGGGCTGTTTGGAGGTGGCTGTGCCCATGAATAAGCTAGTCCGATGTAACGGCAAGACCGGACAGCGACCTTCGCCAAGGGGGCGCGCAAATTGAAGTCGAAGCCCGTATCCGGCCTTGAGGCTGAAAACAAGGATCAGCCAGAGGTAATGAACTCTTTTGACCCCAAGGAGCAAACAAACCGCGAAGCATGAACAATTCCATTTGATCCAATTTACACACTCAAGCATTTGATCCTGGTTCAAGCATTTGAAATTCGGCATACATTATGCATTGATATGTTATTCAACTGTTATTGTTTCTGATGTTTGCTTTCTTTGGCTCCATCGTGTTGCCGCTCTCGACGTCGCCACCCGAGCTGTCGATGCCATTTTCTGACGTTGACCCCTATACAGATTCCACGCCCCCTGTGGTTTAAGGGAGCAGAACCAACCAGTTTCTGACGCCACTGTCAAAGCCATCCCGAGGTGGTAGGTCAATCAGCAAGTTTCTGAGTTTAAGCCTTAGAAACGGCCATTTCGTTGCATGCTTAGTCTTTACTTCGGAACATTAAAAATCACTTCAATATCCCTAGAAGTGCAGGGTTCCGTTTGATAACAGTTCAAAAGCAGAACTGGCACTCCAGTCTTAGGGGCTGATTGGCCTCTCATTTCTCCTGTTTTTCTTTTTGTTTACTCTTACTGTGTGGGAGTATTTGGCATTCCCCAATGGTTTCCTCCCCACCTCACAAGGGAATGGACCTGTCGGGCCTAGGCGGTCTACGCGGAGGCGGAGTTCTATGGGCTCTACCTGCTACGGGAGCGCCTCCAGGAGGCTGGAAACCCGAGCCTTGTGCCCCCGTTTTTTTGGGCTTCCCGGTAAAAGAGGACAGCAGGGGTCAGGTGACAAGTTACCCTCCCTCCGACTAACATGGAAGCTGACAGGGGGGTCCCTCCAAGAGGAAGTTGATCCACAGGTGCCAATGTTAGCGGGAGGGAGGCCATGTTAGTGGGAGCGAGGGTATTCCCGTGATATTTTTTCCCGTGTGGGATGCCAAGCCAACTTACCTCACGAAGATTTGTGGAACTTGGGAAACAGCAAGCCGGGAGGATGCAACAAACCAGTTGCCTCATGATCATGGGTGAACTGTCCTCGATTGGCTAACATGGGCGTATACAAACGGATGGACGAACCACAAGGATAAGCCATCCCAAACCTGTTTCTGACCCTTTTTCGCTCGAGATGGACTGCGCATAGGTGACATCTACCCTTGTGCTAGCCAGGTACTCGACTTGATGAACCAGTTGCTTCCATTTGTATCGTTTGAATTTGGCATGAAGGTTGTCCGGAGGTGTGAACTTGTTTTGATTCAGTTGAGCAGACTGCGTATTTGGCCAGATTTGATTGAAGCAAGCTGGACTTGTCTCGACTATGCAATGGCCCTACCCATGGACTTAGCAATTGAGTGCGTATTTTGATAGAGGTACCTTTCCTTGTGTGGTTGTTAAGGGAAACCAAACGAAAACCAAGCGAAAACCACCATTTGTGGGGTCCCCTTTTCAGGGGCCCCTGTTGCTCTGTTTTGCACTGGCGTAACGCTCGGCGAGTCCACAAGCGAAGCATCCAAACTGACCTGGGCGCTGCGACTGGCAACCCAGGCAGTGGTGGCTGGGCAGTTGGGGTTGCCGACTCAGCTCGTGGAACGTTGGTGCCGCTCCACGAGGGCGGGGTGTGATTTTGTTTTTCTTTTTGACTGCTTTGAGATTGTTTTGTGGAACCCCTTGGCTGGTGACGGCCGTTTTGATGAGAAGGGCAAGGTAAACAAGCCCTGGGACCCTTTTTGGGACGAGTACAGCGGCTTCCAGCGGAAATCGGAGTTGTGACATGCCCATTTGTCGTGTAGCCAGCATGGGAAAACCGTTCATGGTCCGAGTTCTCAGTAGGGATGAGGGAATGCCCCTTACAAGCAGTTTTTTTTGCGATTTCCTTTTTGCAGATCCTAGGTTTATTTCGAAACCCTTGAAATTCCTTGAACCTCGCCAAATTAGTACAGGAGGGTTTCCTTTGGAGTGTCATCCAGAATGGGAAGATTTCAACCAACATTCCATGGAATTTCCCCATCTCCAGCTTGTGGATCATTCAGCATGAATATGATTCAATCATCAAGGATAGAACAAAGCCAGCGATTGTGTTGTTACTCACCAATGCTCATTTGGGCTTGTCTCAGAATTGTTGGACCTTCCAACATGTATTTTCCCCCTTTGAATCGTCCCCAAAATGCAGGATGCCCCAAAAAAGACGCGTGCTAAGGCTGTCCAAGCTTCCCACTGACAAGGAGGGTATCGCAGGGAGGCTCGGGGATGGCTCTGGAACTCCTCCAACTTGGCGGTTTATCTCATCATTGCCAGATGCCAAAGAGTTGCATCCCAATGACAATTGGTGGATTTGCTGTCTACAGTTGTTTTGTTGGGGGTCAGTTGCTTTTAATATCGACACAGTAAATGTCCCTTTCGGGTCAGTTTCTTTTAACATCGGTTGGTTCCACATTCAGTTTGGACCCCAATTGCTTGGATTCCAGTGGAATCCATCGCTTTTTGCCCAAAAGGACAACATGGCTGATCAAACGTTTGGTTCCCGTGTGATTTGCCCTCTGGTGAGCATCACCGTTGCAGCAGTGCCACCCGTGTTCTATATCCAACCTCGCCCATGAGATCGGGAGTTTAAGAGGCCTATTTGACCCTCGTTTGGTAGGGGTTCAAAATCTTCAGAAAGGAGTTGGGGGTATATACTCCGAAGCATTGCTTTTAGTCCATGGATAAAAACCAGTGTCAGTTTTTTTTTCCCGCCCATTATATCAGTTCGAAATTTGGCTTCAATTGAGGGGTCCAAGCAAACGGACCGGTCTGCAAAGCTCAGGCATTCCATTCGCATTTTCCGAGGCCCGGTTCCGCACCCAGATGGCAGCCACCATCCCGCCGGAGGACGAGTCCTCTTCCAGAACTGGGAGATGGGCACAGTTCCATGGATGATGCTAAGGGAGTTCCCTTGAATTCTGTAATTATGTATTTTGGTGATGGCGATTCCTTTGGTCTAACCCTATGTCTTTTGAGGATGGCAATTGCTGCGGTCTTACTTGTGAGTGATTGTCCACCAGAACTCATTTACGCGATTTCCCCTTGTGGCTCGCATAATACTGCATCATGGTCTTTACGTGTTCCATGCTTGAGGTTGCTTTGGGTTTGGGTCGATGCAACATGACCTTCCATTTGATGCAGTGATGCTTTTGCGTGGGAAACATAGGATCCCTGGGTGACAGTGGCAAAGGTGATGCCGGTGCCGCCAAAGAATACGCTATTTGATTTGGACAGTACCGTTTGGGCCCTGCATAATATATCTAAAACGGAAACACAAGTTGAGCTTCTTTTCAGACGGTCCGGAGACCTTTTTGTGGCGAGGCGTTTTGACAGGCCATCCAAATCTTGAGGCCTTAAGCTGGTTTGCTTGCACCATCAGGAAGAGGACTCGGTAGGTGGGATAACTCGTATATATTGGGCATGGGCACTCGTGTTGGCGTGAACAGCAAGCTTTTCACCTTTCACCTTTTGCAGTTTTGGAGGAGAAGGACCGCATGTGTTGGTCCTGCAAACTGCCGAGACACATTCCATGTTGCGTTGGGCGGTAGTCCCTCCTGCTAAGCATGGAAGTGCACAGACCCGCTTTGGAAATCTTTGAAGGACGAATTCAACCCATTCGCGAGCCTTAATTGGAGCATGGACATTTGACACACGGCCTGAGGAAGTTCTTCAGGCAACAAGTAGGGCAACTCAAGTTCCAATCCGGATGGCTGGCGGTTTGTTCATGTTCAGGATTCGTGGCTTGTCAATGTCCGGGGCTTGGGCATGTCCTTAAAGGGGGAACCGAAGTGGGTTTCCATGAGGAGCCCGCGGAGCCCCTCTTCGGTGAGCTGGAGCCCCAAGCGCTGAGCCGGGCGCCCCATCGGGCATCAGTGGGGAGCGAATGCCTCCCAATGGAAGCGGAGGCTTGGGAGGGTTTTAAGGAAGACATGCTGCTGCTGTCCTTTTTGGGGAAGCCATGGAAGCCCCGGAAAGAAGCCCAGAGTCATGTTTGGAAAGAGAGGGCACTTGAGACTTTTAGAGGGGCACACCAAAGTGGTTGTTCAAAGCTTAGGTACCCTTGAGAGGAGGGAGACAGAATCTGGGAGGAAATTGGGCCCGGATCCCTTCGGAACTAAGAGCCTTTCTGGAGTTTCGGGGTGGGGGGCTTTGGTTTTCTTCCTGGGCGAAGAAAAGCATGGCAAGGGCACGCCACAATTGTCCCAACTTTTTTCTGGGAAGCCAACTGAAAGGATGAAGCGGGTTTCGTAGGGAAGCGTCAATGGAGGGTCCGGACCCAATTTTTAGGAACAAACGCCAAAGTGTGGCTGGGGGGGGAGGGATTTTTTGTTGCCGAACAGGGGTGTCCTTTTGGTCACATTCTACGTTGCATAGATGTTTGTTTGGTTCATATGTGTTGAAAACTGATGATTTGCACTTTCAGGTTGGTTCTATATTGTAGAATCATTTAGAGTAGAATCCATCCACTTGTCAAAAGGATTAGGAGAAACGAGCCCAGGTCCATTTGCCAATAAGGCAACCCAGGGAACCCTCTGAAGGCCGAATGGAACATGTGTGGTTATGGTCTCCCGGGTCTCCCGGGTCTCCGGGTCTCCCGGGTCTGAGGCCGGGAGGTGGCAGCAATCCGAACCCAGCTGGCCAAGCTCATGCCAGCGCCGGGGGCCCCGGAAAGCAAGAGACGCAGATGGCTATGGGTCAAAAATCGGCATCCAAAACGGGCTGCGGCCTCCCCTGGGCTTCAATTTTGACCAATTGGCCCATATTTGGCGGATATTTGCCTTTTTTCTTGGCGAGCACGAAACACACTCAAATCACAGGATCCTTTGGACCCCAGGGTTGGAAACACAACTTGCCCATGGCAGCCAGCGCCATTTCCCAAGCGAGAAACTTAGACATATTGAGAAAACTCGAACCTCGCCTGAACGGACTCCCCATAGAAACTCAACCCACAAAACCGGGGGTGGGGGAGGAACCCATTTTGAGACCCCCGTGTGAAAGCGAGATTATACAAACATGGCTGGTTTAACCTTGGTTCCTGTTGTTGTTTCTTTGTTTGGAATTCGACACCCGTCAAATAATCCTTCAATGTAGCACAGCTGCCTAGCGGGTGCAATCCTGGCTTTTGCAAGCCGCGGCCGCGGTGACATTGAGATCGCTGAGATTCGCGATGGCTGAAATTGTCAGTAAAGCTGACGTTCTTCCAAGTTCTCCCTGCAAGTACAACCAGTTCAACTATGTATTGCTGGCACCCTTGTTCTGTTAAGATATTTGGGCCATGCTTACGCGAATGCAAGATTGACAGCTGACTCTGCAGATTCACACAATTTCGCAACCGCTGGAGGAATCTCCTTTGTTTGGGTTCCCCAAAAAAAGGGACGCAGCGAGCCCGCTTTGTCGAAGCCGACCCAGGCTATCGCAGCTGCTGCATTCTGCGACCTCAGAGTGGCTAAGCTATGAGCTCAGAGTCGCAGGGTCGTTGGTTTCGAGTGGCAAGGCAGTTTGAGGCCTTTGCAAATTCCGTTTTGGAGTGGAAACCCCCTTTAGACCACCATTTAGAGGCCAGCTTCACGGATGTCACACTAAAAGGACCCGAGAGCTCGTGAAGACTGGAGATAAGGCCGAAGGATTGAGACGCCCTCAGTCGGACTCGCGTGAAAAAGACGAAACGGGAACAAATTGCTTGGTTGGGCTCGGCAACATGATGAACACACACACACAAGACACACACGTGCAGAAGTGTATATGTGTGTCAAAATGGGCAGGGACAATGTGCGGATTGTCACGTTGTTGTTTGCCTTCAGGGCACCCTCAAAAGCCCAATCCAAGTGCTCGCTTGGGGATGTCTCCTTGCAGGTCGCCCTATTTGCTTTGCTACATTCATGATGTGCACTCACCGGTCCATCTCAACCGAAGTTGATCCCTTTGGATCCACATTTTAATATATTTTGGTGGCAAAAATAATGCTCCGGATTCCGGGTTGAACGGCCAAGTTATCCCTGGGAAGCCTATTGGGGGGCTTGAGAAGCTCCTCACCCATGCTTTGGTCTGCGTCTTCGCCCGAAAGAAACACAGGGATATGAGAGTAAAATGCCAGTGAGGGTCAGCAGAGTAAGCTATCCGAGCTGAGGCGAAGAGGTTGCCGCGCTTACATCACTGCAGTACCGGTTGCAGGCGCCGATGTGAGAAAATGAGCCCCCCCCGACACAGAATACGCCCCAGAACGGTTTTTAGTGTAGGACCCGTTTATCAGTTCCCGAAGAAGTTTACAGAACCTTTTTTGGCAGTGGGGACTTTTGCATGCACAGGTTGAGTTTGCCCATGAATGCAGTTTCCGCGCTTGTACTTGAGAATCCAACGCTTTTGCCCGGAAGCCGCAATCCAACACAAAGCCCAGCGTAGCCGAAAGCAAACAAGAGCCAAATCTGCCCATCCGAGAAATTCGCACAAACTGAACACAATTACGACCTAGGACTGACCTGAACGATGGAGATGAAAAAGAGCCGCGGCTCCGGCAACTCCTTGAGGCCTAGGTCCTACTTGTAGGTGAAATTCGCTTGCTTTTTGCAGTGCAAATAGGTGAGGAGCCCAAAACGCACGGCCGGCCGAGCGCTAGGGTTGGGCAGCTTGGTTTGAACAATCCAGCTCGGAAACAGTTGTTCAAACTAAAAGTGGCCAAACAATCGTTGCTATTTCAAGGCTGGCGGTATAAACATGGTTAAGCAAGCCAATGTTGTTCAATTCAAAACTCGAGAGAGCTCCTGCAGTCTGCACGCTCGAATAGCGTTGGCCGGAGTTCACAAGTTTCACAAGCAGGCATGTAGGGAGACATGGGATTGTCTGCAACTCACCCAAAGTGCCGGAAAGAAGGCTGCCAATTTGGTCCCCGATTTTGCGTGAACCGGCCCATGTTGCATTCACCCAACAGGAAACTCAAAGTGAATGGATTATTTTTACACGATGTGCTGTCTAGCACTCAGTTTTGGACCTACCTGCACCCTCAAATGGGTATGCGTCAAACAAAGGAGACTCCCGAAGTGATGGTTTTCCTTTGGGCTTACTGAAAAGGGTACCCTCAAGAGCATGAGCACAAGCACACACGCCGGAAGCCGATTTCCCCGCCTGACTGCTTTGCCGACACCGTCGTGCAGCTGTATGTCATCGTGGTTTGTTTCCTTGTTGGTTTTCAAATACCAACCAATCGGGGTCCACCTTGCTCACGGGCCCGACGGGCCCGACGGGCCTGACGGGCCTGACGGGCCTGACGCGCCCGCCGGGCCCAACATGCCTGACGGGCTTGACGGGCTTGACGGGCCCAACGGCTTCAGGGCTTGACGGGCCTCGCGTGTGAGACGGGCTCAACCTAACGGGAGAACGGGCTCGACGGACGTACTGGACGGGCTTTAACGGAAAGATAGATCGTTGGCTAACTAGACAGATCGATAGAACGGTAGACAGATGGATCGATAGACGGGTGATTTATATTTTGACATTTTGAAAGAAATTTCAAAAGATGAGGAGACATAGAGAGATAGATAGACAGATAGATAGGTAGATAGATGGATGGATAAATTGATAGATCGGTAGATAGACAGATAGATAGATAGAAAGACAGGTAAATAGATAGGTAGGTAAATGGATGGATGGGCTTAAAGTACCTTGGAAAGATGGTAGGCAGATAAATAGGTAGATGGACAGAGACAGATAAATGAAACTGAAGAAGAGAAAGATAGACAGAAAGAAAGATGGGTAGGTAGATGGACAGATAGATGGATAGATAGGTAGGTAGACCGATACATACATAGAGAGATACGCAAATAAATCGGTAGGAGAGATATGTAGATAGAAGGATAGCAAGATAGAGACAGAGGGAACCGAGAGATAGATCGATTAGATGGCATGAGAACCGCTAGCTAGATAGGCGGATAGGCAAATGGATTAGATTAGGTTGGATTAGGTCAGAGCAGATTGGATCAAACAAATAGGATGGAACATGCACAGATGCGTTGATGGACACTCGGATGGACACAAACGAATAGACAGGTAGATGAAGAGAAGCACAAAGACCTGCGTGGATGAATAGGCAGGCAGATGGCTAGATAGAAAGATGAGTAGGCCAACAGGGCATGTAAGTGGAGCAGGCACACACGCGCACAACAGTACTGGCTTCTATCAAGCTTGAACCTGCTTGCCCATGTGCCTAGCATAGCCAGAGCGCCCGTTTGAAGCGTCTCTGCAAGCCCCTGTTTTCCAAAAAGCATCTCTGGTGCGATGGGTGCGGGATCTGTCAACGGGGCCGCGCTGGTGGGATGTGGACTCCAAGCGGCCGTGCTGGTGAGATTTGGAAGGCATTGGCTTCTGGGATGGGAGCGTGAGCCCGATAATTCTTTTAGTAGGCTAGTTGGGAAAATCTTGCTCCGTGCCCGGCGTGGGTTGTCAGACAACGGCAGCCTCGTGTCAACGACTGCGTCAAATTAATAGCCTCCTCTTTCGTCGGCCTTGACGGTCCCGACTTCACGGGCCCGACGGGTTCGACGGGCCCAATGGGCCCAACCGGCCCGAACAGTGAGAGGACATTGGCCTGAGAATTGAAAGCCAACTTAAGTCGACAGCATGAGAGGATAGTGAATGTGTCGTTTTTAGCGCCTTATGAGGTGTTTGCAGTCTTGCAAAGCAAAATCATGTTTGCAGGTTGCGCATAGTCAGGGTGACCTGCAGTTTTCCTATATTTTCCGTGAGCTGCATCAGACATGGAGTCAGCTCATGACGTTGGCATGTTTGAAGATATGCTGCATTCCTCACCGCTCGGCTCTTACTGCAACCGCAAAATAACGTACGCATGCGCTTGCGCGAAACCTGACTGACTTGCAATCCATGTGCGTCTTAAGACCAACTTTGTCCAGCTTCTCGTGGCAATGAGCTGGTACGTCAGGTCTGACTAAACAGCTCTGTTTCTTAGGGGTTGTCCCGACCCAAGCTCATGTGGGGCAGGCGGCCTTTGCGTAGGGTTCAGGCCTCACAGAAAGCCGCCTTTGGCAGGCGACCAAGTCGGCCAAGTTGACCAAGCCCACTGGAGCCCCGTCTACCTCCGCTTCCATTATTGATCAGTCCCCTGCGACTTCTATCTCGAAGAGCCCAACTCTCAAGGCGCCCTGCCGCAAAATGGTGTTGAGTGGCTCTTGCATGCATTACCCACCGTGCTTCAGGGTGTCGACAAAAAAGACATCCGGCCCCAAACCCAGTCATCTTGCTTTGGACACCCTGTAATATGTGCGTTCATGCAGTCCAGCAGCACTTGTTCTATGAGTTGATTGACTTACGAACCGACACGCTACGACTAGAAACTCAAACATTGTCCTGCCTTTGCCGACTTTGCCGGCTCCGCCACGTTCCATGCGATTTTTGTTTTCCGCTCCCCAACAGCAGGGGTCCTGCCCTTCACGTTGGGCATGGGGTTTTACTCTGTGGTTTCATGAGCAAGGGCCACTACCCTCGTATCCTGTATGACCAAACCATCATGAACCCCGCGTTCCTGACCAACCAAACAAGTAGGGTTTGGCAAAGGAGTTTCTGGTTGCTACACTCAGAAGAACCGGTTGGCAGCTGTGGCTTAGAGAGCCATTGGGCTGCCCGAAGGCGACTGAACCCCCATGGTTCAAGTAGTTGTTGGCCCTGGCCTTGTACTGGGCTCCTTAAAGTGAACATGGTGAGGGGTATCTGTGTGGCTATGGTCATGGGGATGGTCGTCATTTCAGACAGCATGGATTCCGAGCAAGGGAACTATGAGTTTCCCATGGCCTATGGCAATGTGCCCGAGGAAGCTCACAAGAGCGGCTCGCGGATCTCCATTAGCCGCGAGGCCGCTCTGCCGAATCGGATGTGTGTTGGGCAAGGTGCAATTCAACCCCCAAGACAAATTTGAGTGTGTTTCATTGGGGGAACCCCCCCCAACCAATATAACATGCGCTGTTTCTCTTGGTTTTCCTGCTCCTTTGAAAAAGACACCCATGTGTGGCCTAGGGACTGGCCCTCGACGTTTATCTGTGGCCTCTCGTGTCAGGCTTCGCTGCTCACGGGGGGACCCTACGCCTCGAAGCTGGTGGGCCAAACGGCGCTCCTTGGCTGCGCAAACTGGGGATGTGGTTTGGCGGCGGGGAGTTGTGAAACCACCTGGGCCTTTTGAAAATCCTTGTTGCCAACATGAGTGGACGACCATGTTGTCATTTTTTTCGGCTGAACAGTGTTTGACGGAAAGCTCACACAGGAAGCCTACTGTACCATTCATCTCGCTCCCTGTCTCTTTCGAGGCATCCTGAACGGACTCCTCTAAAGGTAAAAATGTCCAGGGTGCCAGCTAGAGTGGTAAGTGGACTCTCTGGGACTAACAAAAGATGTTCGCCGAGGATCAACCAGCTGCTTCAGAAGAGTACGTACGTGCGCATGGGCAACGACCCCGAGGGGGAGACCGCCCATGTGCTCAAGGAGCTGCAAATTAACGCCCTGCAGCCCAGGCAAAGACCCGGTTGTTTGGGCAAGTTGCAGCGAGCTTACCTTGGGGTGAACGATCTCACCCATGAAGAAGTTGTTTTTTCTTCTTTGTTTCGGACCCCTCATTTGATTGAGTTGGGGATCACTGTAATTTGCCCAGATGCCTGCGTTGAGTCATTATGTATCTGAGGCGTCCTTTTCCAAGCTAGTGTGGGGGCGATACTCAGAGGTACCTAGGAGGTAGTGGCTGACCCCTCCAGTAAGAGAGCCTCTCCGCCAAGCAAAGGCCTGTTTGGAGGAGCTCGCGGACGAACTCTGGTTGCAGACTCAGTCACGAAAAGGCGTTTGAGCGGGAAAGGCTCTGCACGGGTGTTCCTTTGTTTGAAGGGACCTTCTTTTGTGTGGATTTGAAGGGAAGCCACAGGGGAAGACAACCATGTTGGAGGCCCTGTACCCGAGCTCTTGGACTGGATTTTCCACATCCCCTTGCTTTCAGAGGTGTCCGGCCGGCATTGGTGGATGTTTAGGTCACAGGAAAGGTGCTACGAGGTTCTCTCCAGTTGGCATGCTCGAATGGTTTGGGTGTTTTGCAACATGGACAGTCTCTTCCCCATGCCATTATTTGATCCCCCAAAATGGTTGGATCCCTTTGGTCTTCACGAAGAAACCACTTTCTCGCTCTTTCTGGCACCTAGACATTGACCCGCAGCAAGCACCAATTGAGCATTGATCCAAACGGAACCAGATGACATGCTGGCTCAGCTCAGAATTCACTGGTCGGCCCCCTCTCACCGGAGCAAGTTCCCCCAAGTGCAGATACTGCTGTTTTAGCACGGCAGTTCACTGGTACCAGAAATGCGGGGCAAAATGTGTTTTGGAACTAGCATGCGTTTTTGGCCTTGAGAGAGGTTCGACCGGCTATCTTGGGGGATTGTTTATTTTTTAGCGCGTGAGCAAGGACTTCCAAAGGGAAGCAACTGCCTGCGATGGACATGGTGATGATTCGCAAATGCCTCCACCTGCGCTAATTCTAAAGGTTACACAGCTTAGCTTGCCCGCGCTTCATACGAGTAGTTTGCGTGCACGACATTACAACCATCCACTCGTCATCAAACAACGCTTCCCAGCGTCCTGCAGGACTCACAATCACGTGCTGATTATTGCGCAGTGTTTGCTACATTCCTTGATCACCTGCTAAACTATGCTGCACCATGCAAGCATTACGCACAGCATTCTAGGAGAAAATTAGTCATTCTTTCGAAAGGTCCATTGTGCTAGAACGCCCCCCCCCCCCCCGCCTAAAAAGACATCGATGAAACGACTGCTTGTTGAACAGACCGCCGGTTGAACAGAATTACTATAGACGTGTGAACATCTAGAATCTCATTCTTGATAGACTATTGATACTTATCGTAGTGCAGCTGTTTAGACAGATCACCACCTAGAAAATAATACAAATTATTTGCGTGCGCTGAGTTCCGCTTTTTCCCTGGAACCAGCTACTAGCCGCAGAAGGCTCTCAGAGCCTGCATGGACGAGAGCCAACGAAGATGCCCATGTAGTGCTCGTGATGCGGATTGGGACGCCAATCTGTGTACCTGCATATGATACTAGAGGGGTTGGTTCCCTGTAAGGCCGTGTGTGTGTGTGTGCTTCGCCCCTGTTCAATTTTAGATGATTTTCTTCCCCTCGATTTTCACTCGACGCGGTGACTCTCGAGTTGCTATCACTCGACTTTGATTGGCTTCCTCCCGTGTTTTTGGGAGGGTACGCTTTTTCACCTTGGGCTGAAGGGAAACCAACAGGAACACCTCAAATTCATGTTTCGGCCCCTGATTTTGGCTAGCACCCACGCGATTCTCGCGAATATTTGTCTGAGGTCCTGGGGCCGGCACATTGCCCTGACTCGGGAGAAGCGCACAGAGGAAGCCTTAGGCCGAGAAGTTTGTGACCTTTCGATCTTCGGGAACTCATTCTGTTGAAACCCAGTCATGGGTGTCATAGGGAGAGCCGACTGTATTACAGAACGCACAGAAAAGGTTTGTTTAACAGCCAATCACTCGTTCTGCTCCCAGACAGGCTCCATATGAATAGTTTGCCCGCAGTTCACTGAAATTTGCGTAGGGAGAGCCTGCTGGATGCGGGTGAGGGAGAGACGGCATAGACACTGTGAAGCCAATTCTTTCCGAGGGGGATATGACCTTTGAACCCAATTAGCCAATCTTTTACACCTTTGAGGCGCACAACCCCCTTTGGATACAGATATATGGCTGCGAATTGTGTGCCCTGTGTTTGCGTGAACGGTTGGAGGCCCCTAGTAAGAATTCAAGAGGAATAGTCGAAACCCGAACCTCGGGGCGACCCCTGGTAGGGAAGTTTTGAAGGCTTCTCAGCTGAGCCTTAGGCCTGTTCACAATGGTTTTCCTTGCATATCCTGGGAGAGAGGGAACTCTGTGAAGGGAACACTGTTGGCGAAACAAGTGCTGAGTGCAATATCAATATATGATTGGAAAAGTGTATAGCGCCAGCTTGCAGCCTTCGGCGCATATATAAGTCTGACCGGATGCATTCATCGAGACAGTCGCTTGGGCTTCGTGAGGACGTTGACTGTGGCCGACATTGCCTTTCAAACAGTGGATGGAGAAAAATCCAGCACCAGTTGGGATGGATAATTTCAAGTGCGGCAATTTGCAGAATTTGGCCATTCACAGTGGCGCAAGATACCAAAATGCCACTATGTAATTACCAGGCACCATGTTTCCCCGAGCCTCGTTTAGCTCGCGCACGCAGGCTATCTGGATCACTTGAAGGATGCAGCCGCCTCAGAGGTGTGTGTGTGTGTGTCCATTTTGCAGATCCCCCCTTGATGTTTTTACAGAAGGAACCCAGCACGGGGTTCTTTCTTTGCCATTTCTGGGGGCAACATTGGCTAGTTGATAGGCAATGTTGCTTCTCACGAACATAAAGCTGAATGTATCCGTATCGAACCATTTTGCATAGGTTAAATTCACGAATGCCACCGAGGTTCTGAAGTTTTGCCTGGCGAAGACCGAGGCGTGGGCACTCACCGTAATCCGACCAGGCTGTTTCAAATATGATTTTCGAGTTCGTTTCAGCGTGCATTGAAACGGATACAGGAAAGATTATCACAGCCCTCTGAATGGAATGCATTGTCGGGAGTATTCAATAGTCAGCATTGTGCATCGGGATGGCTCGTTGTTTGTTTTCTGTGGGGTCTTCTTGAGGGGCTGGTGTTCGTTTTGCGGCACGATGCACTTAAGGGGCCAAGAGGAGTCAATGGCAATTACTTCGACCCCTTGGGGCCGGAAAAGTAGCTACTTGAGAGAGGCAATGGTCTTTTGGCCATGTGCTGAGTCATTCAGTTTCGATGCGCAGAGGCCGAGCCACGAGGCAGCAGCATGTACTGAATGACCAGAAACCCTTTTCACAGTTCTGGGTAAATCATCCGCAACGCCATGCATGATGTTTATGCATATCTTACTGCACGTCTCGGGGCCGAAGACTTTCTGACACTCGGTATGTGGCATGTCTTTCTCTTGCGAGTTGCTTGAACCGCTTGCTGCACCAGAAGCGGTTAGCTTTGTACACACACAAAAACAAGTGTTTGTCTATCACGGGCATATTGACAGAAAGTTGAAGCCGTGGCTGCTAGAGCTATCGTGAGCCAATGATGCTCCGGTTGAGATTTAGTTTTGAGCTTGCCCGCCATTTGTTTGCCTCTCAGAGCTGCGCTTGGGGAACCTGCACTTGAAATCCTTTGAACGTGTAAAGGGGTGGCTAGAGTTGACGACTTGGAGTCTTCACCCAGTTATCCAAAGCCAACCTTTTAGCCTTTTAGTTTGCCCTTTTATTCCAGGTCCTTTAGGCAAGCGAGTTCGACTTTGGTTGATGCGCGCGTGGTCAATGCATCCACTGAACAGTAAATGAGCACGCTGGCAACTAGAGAGCCGTCCAGTTCATTCCTGACCATGACCTCGTCATTACATACATGTTGATTGGTCAAACACTTGCATGGATGAACGTTTGAGAAGCCGTTGCCTTCCAGAATCTCTACTAACGTTGACATGTCCGGATTTGCAAACAAGCTATGTGATATGTAATTGAGGTAAGGTGCCCTTTGTGAGTCGCTACACATACCCTTTCAATGGTCGAACGATAATTGGACCTATTGCAAGCCCGATACATCATTGCCCGACATGGATATGCCACCAGGCAGACAACTTGGGTTTTTCTTGGAGTGTTGTTGGGCATAGCTTGATTTGTGAATTGTAGACGTCCACACCTCCCTCCCCAATCAACGGGTCCCTTAGACAATTGTGACCAGGGTACCGGCTTGGGATGAACCTCTTGTTGTTCAGGTTGATGGATATCCGTTCTTGGTGCTCCCCTTCGCTTTATTGTGGTGAGGCTGTGGATTGATCAAATTCGGCACCTGGTGGGGTATCTCAGTCATAGAGTTTCAACAGCGGAGTCCCCGGTGCCAGGTGGATACCATCCGAGAGGGACACCTCCTCGAAAGTCCGGCCGAGTTGGTTTGGCTGAAGGCCATGGACGAACGCCAACCGCCATATGTGCTGAAATACACTCGGCTGAAAGGAGCATGAAAGCCACAGACATCATTCGCCGTTTTGAGCACATTCAGGTCTGTGGAGCAATTTGGAACCAGTTTTTAGGCCAAGCTGGCTTGACTTTGCGGCCGGCAACATGTTGGGGCAAGTGTTTTAACATGCCTTAATTTCAAGCTTGCTAAGCAGCTATTGGAATCGATGTTGAGGTGTGGCCAATCATTTCAAATTGCCGAACATACGCCCTTCTGCAAATGATGTTCATCAAATGGTCCTCAATTGACGTTCATGCCTATAATATGGTAGCATCTCCATGATCCTCCAGACAAGGTGGCCAAGATTGTGATACTGATTTGCAACAGTGGCTTCAAACACGGAGTGGTGGCAGAGGGCAGAGGGGGCCTTGTGCTATGTCATTGGAAAGTGATTGTAGGTTGCAAGTTGTCATTTTCCCAACAGGCAACCCCCCTTAAACGTGCAAACGTTGTCATGGGGATGGCGCATGTTGGTATCAAAGAAAGGTTTGTTTTTCAGCAACCATGCTAAGGCGACTCGAAAGTGGACTCTGAGGGCTTGTTGTAGGTACCCCAACCCAGAATGCTTTGAGCTTGTCACGCACGTGGAAATCATCCATTCGTCCAAAACGGGTGTGGTATGCCCAAGGAGCAAGCTTTCCGTTCAAGTTCTTTGGACCTCCAAAAGAAGCAGTTTCATCGGAATGTACCAGAAACTTGTATGTTTTGCAGGCAAGGGGATCTGGAGGAATCAGGTGAAGTTCACGCTTTGCATGGCAATGCTCAAGGCGAACAGTGTTCGCCCTTGTAACGCTGCGTTGCTGGCAAAAAGACAGAGAGAGCCAGAGAGAGGAAGAGGTAGAAAGAGAGAGAGAGAGAAAGAAAGAAAGAAAGAAAGAAAGAAAGAAAGAAAGAAAGAAAGAACGAAAGAACGAAAGAAAGAAAGAAAAAACGAAAGAAGACAAAGAGAGAGGGAGAGAGGATTGGCCGAGAGGGATATGCCGGCAGCCAGACGGGAGAGAGGGAGAGCGAGGGAGAGAGAGAGAGAGAGAGAACCAAAAAAGAGGAGAGAGGAAAAGCGATACCGACTAGGGGGGTTGATTTCCACGCTAGGACATTTGCCTTTCGATCGATCTGGGCAAAGCATACCAACATCGCAGGGCAGGTTCCCTTCTAAGGGCACCCCCAGTGCTTTGGATTGATCCATTGTGCTTTTCCAGATGGCAGTTGGTCGGCCTAAAGGCCCCCAGGTTGACAACTGAAATCGAGGATTCCTGTGTGAAGCAGGTTGATTGATCCTCGGATCCAAAGAATCATAAGTCACCAGGCTATTCAATGTCCTTGTGTGGTCTGCCAAGTCAGCAGAGTAGTTGGGAAGTTGATATGATATGATTTTGTTTTCGCTTGGTTTCCATGGAAAAGGGATGTGTCCCGCAGCTTCAACAACCGGGTTGTATAGCAAAGGACCCTTTCTTCAAGAAGCCCGCAAATTTGGGCTTGGAACTCAGCTTGCTTCGTGGTCAGCAACAGAACACAACCATGTTGACAAGGGCGCTTGGGGGTTGTCTGGAACCATCGTGGGGGGTGCCAAACACCTGGAAGCCTTCTTTGTCACGTAATCCGCGGAAGAAAGAGAGCTGAGCCTCGGTTTTAAGCTTATGTCTATACTCTGTAGGCATCTGCAGGTGCGCGTTTTTCAGCCAACAGAAAAGCAGGGTTGAAAGTCTATTCACTTCTGAGTATGGTTGAAAGTCTATTCAGTTCTGAGTATCCCCACCCTTGAAGATGGAATGGGGAAGGGATTTCGACCTCTGGAGGTCTCCGTGCATAGTCATGGGGACTAGGACGTGGAATTGGCGGGGCCCTTTCTCCGTCGGGGATTCCGAGGGCTTCGCGGATGAGATGAAGGGCAAGCGCGAGGAAATGGAGGCGTCAAGTCGAGAGATGCGAAGCGAGCGTGTCAGCCACGGTCGATCCGCCCGGATTTGTCTCCCAATCGCCCCCGAAGGGCTTCCCTTTGGTGGTTTCCCACCCCACCCCCAAAAAGAAAGCAAGAACGGATAGACCAACAACACAGACAGCCTGCCTGCCTGACTGGCGGACTGACTGACAGACTGACTGACTGACTAACTGACTGACTGGCTGACTGAGAGACAGAGACAGACAGAGACAGACAGAGACAGACAGAGACAGACAGAGACAGACAGAGACAGACAGAGACAGACAGAGACAGATAGAGACAGACAGACAGACAGAGACAGAGACAGACAGTGTTAATTTACGGGGAAGTCAAACAAGGGTTTAAACATTCCTTTCTGGCCAGGTCGGTTTACTTAAACACTATTCAGGGATCTTGTGCCGAAGGATTATCGGGGACTCATCTTTTTTGAGGGAATTGGAGCGAATGAGAAAACCGCCATTGTTGTTCTTTGGAGGTGGGGCTTGTAAGACACCTCCAACTGGTTGGGGCTATTCAGCTTTCATTCCAAGATGTTGGCAGCATATATTGGCCCTGAAACCGGGCCCTGAAACCGGACGTGAAGCACAGAGGGCATCGCCCTTTGGGTAATCGGTCGCGATCTGAGCAGCTGGAAAGAGAGTTGCCTTGGATGGCTGCGATACGGTACATTTGTCGAACCAAATTGCAACTTTGTTTTACTTTAAAACAAAAAATGTTGCCAAGGCTCAAATAGTTCAGACTGCTTCCTCAGCAGGCCAGCTTTCCTGGACCTCCAATTGGTCACTTTTCGGGGCTCAAAGCAAGCTTGTGCTCGTTTTAGATTCTTGATTAGACAAGAATGTGCATGAGAGCTGAACTAGCCAACCGCTGGCAGGCTCATGGCCCTTCAGTTTGTCACTCGCTGCAGCCCTATTCAAAAGTTGTCGACTGCCATTGCCCAGACCAAACAAGATGCCTGGGAAGCAGAGCACAACTTCACAAAGCGATGATGAATTCGCCGTGATCTCTCACATCAGGCGCGTGGCAAACATTGACCTTCTTCAGGCACTTTTTTTTGCGATTTATCGAGCAAGCAAGACTGCCGTTTCAAACTACACCGCGCTCAATACGAACATGGCTCTGGTTTGTGTGTGTGTGTGTGTGTCCGCCAATTTCCGCGCATGTTCCGCTCATGTTCCGCTATTGTCAGCTCATGTTTGGGACAAAGCCGGCCAAATCAATGTTTACGACTCACCGCTGATGGCAGACTCCTTTTAATACGCAAAACCAGATGTAGGCGGCACATGCTGCGGGTTGATGAAGTGCTGTGCCGAGGGTGGAAAGTGGGGTGCAAGGAAGAGCGCCGCATTCTTTCCGCCTATCATATTGTATAATACTGTAAGCTGGGCTGTTCAAAATTATCCTTTAATCCTGGTGTCCCACTACGAGTTCTGGATTGGGATTAGGGTTCTCATTTTGAGCAAGTCAATTTCCTTAGTGCAGGCAAAACAAGCACGTTCGCCAGACTCCCATGTTTTGTTGTGTGTGGATGTGGCAGGAATCCGAAGTTCAGCATTTGAATCCATTCTTTGTACAAGACCGCCAGGTTACTATGACACACAGTGGATCCTAATTATTGGCAACCGACTCTCAAGGTCTGGTTCCTTTGGTTACCTACTACGCTGGCTAATGGAATCCTGGGGACACGAATGACCAGAACATTGGCTTGACGGAACCTGAAACAGCATTTACTCCGGGTTTGCGACCCGGTGCAATCAAAAGGAGCCTTTCCGGGCTTCGGAAAGCCTCAAATGCGTTTATTTGCTTATGCCCCCCTTCTGGCCAGCTTTTTGTCTCCACTTTGCGCTTGTGGGCTGCAAATGATCCCATTCGAATTCGCCATCTACAGTAAAGGGCTGAGGCGTAGGCACATGCCTGCCATATATTAGGGCAAACCAAAAAAACATGGAGCTCAGACATGAAGGTTCTCCACTGGAGGATTGATTCCCGCAGGCCCAGTTCCGAGCCGACCTTGCGGCTCGCTGTGTCAAGATGGTCTTCGAGGCCCGCGGGACCTGTAAGAAGCAGATTCTCAGATCCTCACCGGTGGAAAGCAGTATGAGGGGTTAACTTATGGTGGTTTGGCGTACACATCCAGTTTTCATATCTATAGGAGTAAATATATTAATATATATATATATATATATGGTCGCCCCCCCCCCCCCCCAAGATCCACCCCCAGCTTTGGACACAAACATGTTCTTCGAATTCTTGTATGCAAAAGAAATTGGACCCCTTTTTGAATGGGCTCCCCGACTTTTGGAAGCACCTCCTCTGAGCTAGGTGACCCCGCCTTCTTGAAGGCAGCAAGGTTTGCGCAATGCTCGGGATGCCATGTTCAACAACCCAGCAAGAAAAGTAGAAGGAACTTGTGCTGGAGAGCCAGGATCAATCGGCTGGCCTTGACGAGGCGTCTTCTTGTTACATGAGTTCGGAACTCTAGGTAGACATATGCAGTTTCTGGCTCAAACTATCATGCAAAAGAGAATCAACATCTTGAGGCCGGCGAATAGGATCTTGGGGAGCGAGAATGTCAAGAAACTACCGTGTCTTTGAGTAAGTTCGCTGGACATCCTTCAGAGACCACCTGGTTCCTCATCGCACTGGATAGCCAAACTTGCTAGACTAAACTGCCACTCAAGGCATCTAAAATTGGTTCCAAATCCCCAGGCCTATTTCCTCGTTTTCCGTGTTGGCGGGAGGCCCCCCAGCAACTCTAGCCTTGTTTTCACCCAACAGAACCTCAAACCGCGACCCTACCAACCTCCCATTATTGCCCCGGGTGCTTGTTGTTGCCGTTTATCCTCTCTTGGAACTTTGCATTCCATGCGAACCTCGCCAGCCCTCCCAATCCTCTTCCCAACCCTCCTCCCAACCCCACCAACCCCTAAACTCCCCCTTCTTTTCTCTATTTTCTCAAAATAGGGGAGCCTTCCCCCCATTATCGCGTGAGACTGGAGCTACATGTCGCTACTTCGCAGGCTCCTCGAACCAATGGATAATTGGTTGCACAAGATCAACGCGGCACGGGGGCGGTCTTCGGGTGAATCACCGAGTCAGGTAGACCGGGCGCACCGGGCGCAGCGGGACCTGAAGGCGGCGGCGGGAGAGATCCAGAGCCGCCTGCAGGGGGAGATCATGGACCAGGCGCTTCGCTTCGTTTGGTCGGTCAGTGGGCTGGTTTTATTTGTTTTGTTTTTTTTTGTTTTTTGGGGGGGTAGTTTGTTTCGGAGGGGAAATTATCCAACAATTCGGCCATATGTTTTTTGATGTGCCCAATTTCCGGCTGACTTTTCCTGATTCCCCTAGGTGATCATTTGTTTGAATTCGCTCCGGCAATGTAGAGCAATTTGCCACGGGGCCATTTTCAAGGGCCTATGCTTTTTTGAACACCCATAGACAGTTGGCAGCCATCGGCGCACCGCTCGGCGGCCGCGCGCATCGTGGCTCGAGGTGCGTGGAAGCATCTCCAACTTCACGGGGGCCTTGGCTGCCGAGGAGCGTGCGGGGAGGGTGCTAGAACATTCCACAACCCTCTTCCCTTTGCGTATTTTTGAACAACTCCGCTTGTCTCGTCCCTGATTGTACACACCAAACGCCATGCAGCATATTGGCAAGGTAGTGCCGTCCATGTATTTTGACGGGCAGATTCGCTAGTGCTGGATACGCATTCAAGCTCGGACTCAGGCTCCAACTCTTGGCTACTACTAGTATTACTACTAGTACTACTACTAGTACTACTACTAGTACTACCACTAGTACTACTACTAGTACTACTAATAGACCTAGCTGACATGAAAGCATTGGGAGCAGCCCCATACCCCTACATGTTGGTGGCTGTGGACGCCTTTACCAAGAAAGTGTCTGCAGTACCCCTGAAAGACAAGAAAGCTACTAACGCCTCACAAGGCCTTCGGAAGCGTTATAAGCAAACTTGGAATTTCCGCTTTCGTCTACAGTGACGATGGCACAGAATTCAAAAAGGAGTTTAGGGAAGCGTTGGAGTATTGGGACATCGACAAGCATGTTACAAGGGGTCACGCCTTTGCTGAGAGGATGATTCGCAGGTTTTAAAGGGAATATGAATCCCTTTCGTTGATATTCCTTAAGAATATGTTGTATTGGATTTTATCACTACGGGAAGTGTTCTTGCATTTGTGACAGGGACTTGAGGAAGCCGAAAGGGTCATGGGCAGTTTTACGTTTTTCCAGACACCCAATATTTAGCACCCAGTGTTGAAGAGGCACGAATGGCCAGCAACAGGAGCTCCGGGTCCAAGACTCGGTTTAAAGGTGTTCTCTGAGATGTTTGTTGGACCATGTGTGATTTCTTTGGTTTAGCAAACATTTGATAAAGCGTGGATGGGGTGTACTCCACCTGTACCTTGAGGGTTCATGGTGTGGCGGAGCTGCCGATGGGGTCCAGGTGCCAATGTGTTTTGATTGGAGTCTCCGCATGAAGGCGTCGCTGTTTTGACATGTGACCTTTGGATTGTTTGGTCCCAAAGAGTCCAAGATCCGTGGTCCCAATTTTTAGCATGTGCCACAATAGGGGGACCCCAAAAATATATTTTGTTCGTTTGGTTTTCCTTTTAACCAAGGTGACAGGGAAGCCTCAACAGAATTACACTCAGTTGGTTCACCTTCATTGGCGGGCCACCTTTTTTTAAACTTCTTTCGGATTGTCCACTCCAGAAGTGAGGGAAGGGTCAGGGGAGAAACAGGTACTTTGGGTCGAACCATGGTGCGCAATGTGAGGGCTGGAAGAAACCATGCCACAGGTTCATCCGTCGGTTTGAGAAGCCGACAACCAGGTTAAACCTGTTGTTTGTTGCACTTTTGGGAACGCATGTTCTGGAGCCGAGTTTCCAGGGATCCCCACGGAAGGCGGAAGCGGTTCCTTAAGCGGAGGGTTCCTTGCTTCGGACTCGAGCCGCAGGCTGGGCGCTTCAAGGAGAGCCATGGGGATGACCAGGACCGCCTGGCGGTGCAGCTCAGGGACCTGCGGGAGCACGCCGGGAGCCCCGGCTCCGATCTGGGCCCCGATCCGGGCAGACGGCAGGGGAGGGGGTCGATGTCCGAAAATCGGGTGGGCGGGGGGGGTGGTAAGGGGTGGTGGGGGAGGGGGGTTTTTGATTGGTGTGTGTGTGTGTGGGAAACCCCTGTTCCTAAGGGGCTTTCGCCTTTGGCTTTTCTCTCCTTTTGCCGGAGTCAGCCCGCACCAACGGACCTGCACCTTTTCTCAGTATTATGCGGAGGTGATGCGGGTTCTGATGAGTTGCCTCCGCATAAGAACAGATCAGGAGGGCGAGTTGACGAAACTCCGCATGTGCTGCCATGGATCCTGTGTGGATAGCTTGGAGCACAACGCAATTTACCCCTTTTCCGATGTTGGTTGCGGTTTGCGTTTGCGAGCTGGAATTGTTGTTCTTGTGCTGTCTCAAAATCAAGTGTGTGTCGGCACTGCTTCCGGACTTCGGTCAGTGTCGTGAACCCTTCGGGGCACCTGATTCTGTACCGGTACAGGCTTGCGCCTCTGACTTTTACCAACGACTTTCACCGTTGACTTTCGACCTTTTTTTACTGACCATTACCACTGACCTTCACCAATGACTTGGACCCTTACCAGACCCTCACCTGACTTAGGTCCCCGACTCGTCAGGCAGCTCACAATCCAGGAACACGGCGCGCCCCGTCAGCGTCTTCGGCACGATCCAGGCGTTCCACATCGGCACGATCCAGGCGTCCTCTAGTGAGTCTACCTACGCAAGCAGGGCTTTACGAACAAAGGGCAACATCCGCGGATCATGATGGAGGCAGCTTTTTTTCCCCCTTCGGGGTGTGTGTGTGTGTGCGCGCGAAACCCCTGTTCCTAAAAAGGCTTTCGCCTTTGGCTTTTCTCTCCTTTTGCCGGAGTCAGCCCGCACCAACGGACCTGCACCTTTTCTCAGTATTATGCGGAGGTGATGCGGGTTCTGATGAGTTGCCTCCGCATAAGAACAGATCAGGAGGGCGAGTTGACGAAACTCCGCATGTGCTGCCATGGATCCTGTGTGGATAGCTTGGAGCACAACACAATTTACCCCTTTTCCGATGTTGGTTGCGGTTTGCGTTTACGAGCTGGAATGCTTGTTCTTGTGCTGTCTCAAAATCAAGTGTGTGTGTGTGTGTGTTCTTTTAGCGACCCCCCCCAAAAATGTTGCTGTCCTTGCGGCTTTCCTTTCAAGCCACAAAAACAGCGCACCCTCTCAAAAAGACGCCCATGTGTCCCAAGCCAAAAAGGAAGCCGACCAGTTAAACACTCTCTCCCATTTGGAACGGAGTCACACCCATACACAGATGATTCCCTTGCTATTGAAAGTAACCAACCAACCACGATGGCAAAGGCAAATGTTCAGGGTGTTCCTTATTCGCTACTCGCTTCACATTGAAGAATCCACTGTAGCTTCCATGACACGTGCGGCTTTTGACCGGGTTGTGTGTATTGTTTGTTCATGCCAGCCAACACACAGTCAGTCACAGAGTGTGGATGAAGATCTTTGTTTGGGAATGATGCGTTGCAACCTGTGAGTGGAGCATTTAGTGAGGCAAGAGTAATCCCGGCAGCAGCATACTTCGTGTATCATACATTGATACATGTATATACATATTTGGCCGTGATTTTCTTTGAGGGGTCTGTGACCGAGCCGCGGCGGACATTCGTTGCAGACCTCTGTAACAAGACCCGCTGGCTCGTTACACACCCCTCGTTACACACCCTCGTTACACACCAGATGAACAAACCGCTTGGCTGGCTGCACGCCCTTCGTTACATACCCCAATGCATGCACAGACTCTCAGCGATTCCTATGGTGCCTGCAGAGCCGAGCATGCTTTTGCTGAAGAGTCAGCTTGCCGAGAGCTTGCCATGCAAAAGTTGGAACAGGGGCTAGACCTCGTTACAGACCTCGTTACGTAGCCGCTACATACCTCGTTACAGACCCAACCCCAGCCCGGGCCAGCAACCCCCTTGTTGCCGCAGCTTGGCATGCGTTGAAAAGCTGCAAGCACGCTAAAGCTTCAGAGGCGCTTTGCGTGCTGAGCTTTACTTCGCCTCGTTACAGACCTCGTTACGTAGACGTTGCAGACGTCGTTACTGACCCAACCCCAGCCCGGGCCAGTGGCCCCCCTTTTTTGCCATCGCTTGGCTTTGTGTCGTCAGTTGCAAGTTTCAATCTGGAGCTGCGGAGGCCGTGCTTTGCGTACTGCGCATGTACTGAAGAGTTGCGACTTGTGAGCTGGAGCTGCTGCTCTTGGTCGTTCTGCGCTACATGGTGCTACTGATACTGGTACTTGTCAAGAAATGTTTTCCCGCTACAGACCTGCGTAACAAGGACCTCCGTGACAGACCTCCGTAGCAAGATTCGTGGCGCGACGCGCGTTGCAGACACCCAAAAAAGTCATAGCCCAATATTATATATATAGTTTCAGCACGAGGCGTGGTGTATGGATTAGCGCCCTCCCCCCCCCCCCGCTCCGTGCTGCTGGTGTTGACAAATCTGTCATACCAATGTCCGCGAAACAAACAAATTATTACAACCTGGGCGCGTTGTCAATCCTACTCAATCCTTTTCATGTTTATATATCCCACGAGTTTGTAAATCCAACTCTCACAGTAGCAACACGCTCAAAAGCAAGCCATTCCAGGATGTCACGTGGCTGCTTCTTGCAATTTTGCGTAGCAAGTCCTTTTTGTGACTGTTGTCCTCAGTAGGTGTGGCAATCTGAAGATTGGCTTGTGAGTCGCAGGGACGGTTCTGTACAAACCTGCCTTGAGGGCACTTAATGCTTTATGCTCGTGCCATACATTCAAAGGAGATCACTACGAAGCCTTTGTCATCATGATTTGCCCACCTCGTTGTTGTGTGAACATGGCCCGGTCTTACGGTGCAAACCAGAATGTTGGAATGGCTAACTATTTGAAAGCAGTTGCTTGTTGGCCATGTTTGTTTTTAAGAGGGCAACACATTACTTGTGGTTGCAACAACTGTTCAATCGTTCGATCAGGCTCAGTTTGTTTTGCTTCCGAGGTAACTTCCGAGTTGGCAAGCTTGGCCGCCAAGAACCAGGCTGGCGGCAGCAGGATGCTTGTTGAACATTGAAACTCAGCAAGCGACAAGGGCTTCGAACCTTAGTCGAACTTCACCATGTTCCCTCGGCGATTGAAAGCAATCAGATCATACCACGGTCTCTTCCGGCAAATGTTCCCAACGCTTGGGAGTCGTTCCCCGGAAATGTTCAGTAGCACTGCACCGTCAGATCTGGTTCCGTAGCCTGTGAGCATGTTGGAGTCAAAGTGTGACGCAAAATCAGGGAGCCCGAAAATGGGTGGTGTCTTTTGGCGTGTACCCAGTCTCCCACGAACGTGGCGCTTGACAGGGGGTCCCTCCAAGAGAAAACTTATCTTCCACATGCCCTCCCACAGGTGCCATGCTAGCAAGCCTTGAAAACAACGCCAAACAGGGTACCCTCACGGAAACAAGCAAGGCCTGGAAGCCTGCCGCCTAGTCAAAACTCCAATCTAAGGCTGAAAGAGCCAGAGCAGACTCACAGACAAAATGCTGCTGCATTCCATGTCTCTTTCGGTCAACCACAAGTGTTTTTGACCTACAGGGCATTGGGCAAATCTGGTAACAATCACACCATGTTCTCCGTTTCCTGGACCCGCCAATGGAAAAATGTCAGAACAGGGGCCGCTACTTGGAAGGCACGGGTGTCACTGCTGGTTGGCTTTTAGGCCCACGAATCCCCAGTTTCTTGTCGGTCCATGGACCATGTTGCAATACTGGTTCAAACCTGTTACGGGTTGTTGGTCCAACCCTGACAACTGAGTGCCCACGATTTACTTTGACATTCGACTGCTGTGTTGCATCAACTGAGTCCACACCGTACACATTGCACTTTGTGGGTCAGGGTGTTCCTCACAACTTGTTGGATCAGTGGCAAGGGACATCAAAAGGAAACCAACCACCTGGCGACCCCCCCTTATGTGCATGCGTGTATCTGTGTGTGTGTTGTGTTGTGTTGTGTTGTGTTGTGTTGTGTGGTGTGGTGTGGCGTGGCGTGGTGTGGTGTTGTGTTGTGTTGATTGTTTTTGTTTGCTTGTTTGTTTGCTTGCTTGCTTGCTTGCTTGTTTGCTTGCTTGCTTGTTTGTTTGTTTGTTTGTTTGTTTGTTTGTTTGTTTGCTTGTGTGTTTTTCTCTTGTTTTTTGTGTGTTAGTTAGTTAGTTTTTTGTTTTGTTTGGTTTGTTTGTTTGTTTGTGTGTTAGTTTGTTCGTTTGATTGGTTTGTTTGTTTGAGTGTTGGTTTGGGTTTGTGGGCGGGCGGGCGGGCGGGCGGGCGGGCGGGCGGGCGGGCGGGGGGCCGGGCGGGCGGGCGGTTGGGTGGGTGCGTGGGGCGGTGGGTGGGTGGTGGGTGGGTGGGTGGGTGGGTGGTGGGTGGGTGTGGGTGTTTGTGGCTGGGTACGCATGTTTTGCTTGTGTGGCAAAAACTTGGCCCGCTATATGTACAAGTTAATCCTTCTCATGGACCCCAAGAGGGTCTCTGGTGTTGAACACATACCTATGCTGCCTATGCGTGTACGGTAGGTCTCTTAGCTACCAACCCCTGCGGTGACACGGGCGGATGAGGGCCTGCTTGCTCAAGCAACTCTTGATTTGTTGTTTGGATTTGTGATTTGGGCATTTTTACCATGTCGAACCCTGGTTCTTGTAGGGGGTTGATGGGAAAACACCCTTAAACTATTCAAACCACGGCCAAAAATTGGAGGGACGCTGTCTCTACCCTTTCCATTGGGAGGCTGTGCAGATGAAGGCGGCGCAGCCGCGACAGGCTGGGGAGTTTTGGCCGGCCCTCAGGGGGATCGAGGCCTCATGGGCCTGATGCTCGGCCCCCTCATGTCATGTCGACATGGGGGTTAGTCAATATTCCTGGCCCCCAAATGACCGTGGCAACTTTTCCCATTCATATAGTGGGAAATATGATCTTTTCATCCCAAGTTTAAGGGGACTTTTTTTATCAACCCCCACATGTTGCTTGCATTTCAATGGGAAACAAATCTCTCAGACCTTTGGGTGGGCCAATTAGGAACCGGTGGAATTCTGCCGGAATTTCCTTCGTTATGTTTCCATCCTTGTTGTTGCCGCAACAGGAGGTGCTTTGCTTGCGGGGCTCAACACTCAGGGTCCAGCTTTGCGCCAAGAAGGGACTCCGAGGTCCATACTCCATTCAGTCCGTTTCGGGGCTCAGGGCGCAGGTAGGAGTTGCTTAACCGCTTGGACCTCCAGGTTGGGTTGGAGACGCTGCTCCCAGAGAAGGACTCGCCGAGCCGGTCTCGGCGGATTGCCCCCAACTCCATGAGGCATATTGCCTGAGGTTTTGCCATGGTTTCTATCATATGCAATATATATATATATAATTTGGCCACGCTATTCCCGGAGAGGGGCGCCGGGACTTCTTTTGGAGACGGGTTTAAGTGGGAAGCCGCATGACACCAACTAGTCTGGGGGTCCTGGTTTCTTGCCATAGTCCCGTTTTCGGAATTGGAAGTGCGGGAAGGTCGCTGCGTCTAATATGAGGTAAATGATTACTAGTTGTACACTCCAATAATCACGGCTGGATTTGGTTTTAAAGTACTCTGAAACCCCTTTCTAATTACTGTGGCACTTCTAGTACCCCTGGAAGAGTTGCCCTGAATATAGCCTTATTCTAAGCTTGTCCTTGGCATATCCCATAGGCTTCTCTTGGGATCCCCCCTCTGGAGGTCAACGATTCTCTGGGACCAAAATTAGGAGCCCTTTTTGGGATCCTCAGATTCGGCCGCCCCCCCAAAAATAGAGGCAGAGTTCCTTTCGCGTTTCGAAGATACCTCTCGAAAAGGGTTCCGAGCTTTAAAAGATCCCACCCTGTTCCTTGCTCTTTTTCCCCCTTAACCCCAAGGGGGGGATTTGTTTTATTGTCCATACATAGTTTTTTGCTTTCTCTATTGCAGACCTGCACCCTCTTGTGATGCAAGCCCCATCCATGACGGGACAAGAGTGGGCCCATCCATGACAAACAGGACGTCGTGTCCGCGTGTTTCCACGTGTTTAGAATCTGCAGGATGGCGCGATCGACTTCCAGGCCCTGGCCAGCCAATGCCTCGGGCGAATGAATCCTGTAAGCCCGTGGGAGCCCTGGATGTCTTTGGCCGGGTCCAAGGAATTGGATCCCAAAAGTTGTTGTGGTTGTTGTGGCCCTTTGGGGGTTGACTGGAACACGTGGCTCTGTGCAACGCCTTTTGGGCGTCCAGGGCAAAGCGGACCGTCGGGATGTCGCCAAGGCGAGCTTGAGGCGGAGGATGATCGCAGCCCCCTGAAGCGGTCACAGCCTGAGTGCTGGGGCCAGCGCAGGGAACCCCAAGAGGACCACAAGATGTCTCAAAATAGGGGTACCCTTAAGAAAACCTACTCAACTTGGAAAAGCACACCCTTGACCAGTCCAAACCAATTGGACTGGTTGACCCCTTGGATCTGGGATTTAATTTGGTCGTTGTACAAGCCAAGACATGCTCAAGGCAACCAAATTTGAAGAGACTTGTTCGACACCTGGCCGTCCTTGGAAGATTGTGACGTGCGTATGTGTCAAGAGGGACCCCCCCCCCCCCGCGCAAAAAAAACAAAACAAAAACAGGTGGCCTTTCCTGTTGGCTTCTCTTTTCACAGCATATGACACAACCTGAAACGCGGACCTTCAACAAGACACACACACACCCATATAATTGTCATAATATGTATACACATGTATAATGATAATATGTAATATATTATGCACACACACATGCGCATGTGTAAATGTATATGTATATATCGGGATGCGGCAGCCCTACTTGATGGAGCATTCTGGCTCAAACATTGGCAACCTGCCTGCCAGGAAAGTTCATATTCAGGGAATCCCGGCTATTCTGTTTGTTTCCTGCTTTTCCAAGACAATAAAAGAGTAACCCACACCCCACTGCGGACTTTGGACCAGTCGCCGTGCCTGGATTGCTTCCGCTGTTGTTCTTCCAATGGCTGGAACAACGGAGGGGTTGAACTCCGTGTCCCCCACGACGGGTTGATGTTGTCTTTTTTGTGCAGACTAGCCCTTTGCCCTCCGAAACTACATTGGTGCGCGGTGCTTTTGGAAACCTTAGAAATCGTTTTCCTCCAAACGCGATTCCTTGCAAATTCGAGGCGTCACTCGGGCATGGCCCGCCGCAACAGCAACGCCAAGCCTCCGGTTCTCACACTCACGGCGCGGGGCCCAAGGCCCCAACAAGGCCCCAAGGCAAGGCCCCAAGGCCGCGAGACACGAGTGAAGGGTGGATGCCCTTAAGCACAAATTACAACAACTTTGTGGCTGCGTGTGATTGATTCAGCTGCAACTTGTGGGGAATCCGGATCCACTCCGGTGGTAGGGTGGCTTGCTTGAGGGTGGGGGGGGCCCCCGGATTTCAGATGGCTTAAGCAGCATACAACCCAAGATGAGTAACATCCCTTGAGCATTGTTTCGAGTGTCAACTCGGTTGGAAAGTCGGACGGCACTTAGACTTGTTATCCTTTGCTGCCTTGTTTGGGACCCAAGTGCCCATGAAGCTCTCATTTGGGGGCGTTTCGGATCCACCTATCATGGAACCTGACTTGATATATACTGGGTGCTCCCGTTAGAGCGAGCCTTAGGCAACGTAGCATGCCACGTTTGCGCTGCACTTGCATAGGATGCAAACAAACAGCTCAGTGGCGTTGGACTTGGTGGACCGCAATCTGAGGCAAGCAGCTGCCATTTGATGTTTGACCCGTCTTTCGGCCTCAAGATGCAGTGGAAGCCATTTTGTTTTCGATATCCGTCCATTGTCCGAGGCACCTTGTTCCCTCCATGAATCAAAGGGCTGAGGCGGGATTGCGGAAAATAGATCTCGGAAGGACCCTGGCCTTTGAAGGAAACTAGAAGGTTGTTCAATGATGTTTATAGGGTTGTTTGTCATGGACCTCTTCAGGGTTGGTTGGTTTGCTTTAATTTCCCTGAAAACCATCCAAAAAGGGGACCCCCTTAATTTGAGGAAAAAGAACCTTTGTCTAAACAGGGGGTTGTACTGCCCAACCTCTGCCACCGGTTGCGTTTGGTTCTCGAGGTGAGCGACGGCATGTACCAGAAGCTTGCGGAGGTGGCGCAGCGCGAGGATGTCTACGTGCTGCAGAGGAGGCTTCAGCAGCTGAAAGACCGCCCGCTGGCAGAATGCCCGCAGATGGAAAGCTACTCTAGCTGCGCCGGATTAACTATTATTGGCCACTTTAAGTGGTTCTTCCAGCTGTTTGAACAAGGACATGTAAACCTTTGTACCCAGCTTAAAGTAGAACCCATTGAGTCGAGGAGTGTTGGTCGCTCGCTTGAACACAGGTTGCAGATTGCTTAGTTTAAGAATTGGAGCAGAACTGGTTGGCGGTTGCACGCAGAAGCCCCTAATGTAATGAAGATTCGACACGCTCGCTCGAACGTGGTTGCATGCTCAGCGAATCTTAGCTAAGTGCCCTTGGTTTGTTTTCATTCATGACCCCAGAAGCTGCTAGACCTCCATGATTTTGGCCAGCAGAAAGCTAGATATTGTGTTGTGTGATCTTCACCCCCGCAATGTATGTAAGAGGGAAAATCCAGTAAATGCTTGAAGGTATCTTTACAGAGTGGTTTGAAAGGCAAACATAATCAAATCAGTCGGGTGCAAATCCCCCTTGGAAAACGCGAAGTCAAGATCCGCGGAGCGAGCGAGCGGTTTTGGTGTGCGTCCGAGGTCAGCTGATGGAGCGGATCTTCCACAAGTTGAAGTGCCAGGCGATGAGGCAGCACTTCGAGCGGAAGGCCATGGCGCAGCCGTCGGTTTCTGGTTGACCCCGTCTCGGAACATGTATGGAGGTGTGCCCGTTTTAGGAATCAGGCCCCCCCCCTCCCAAAAAGGGCGGTTTTGCTTTAGAGTGTCCTTGAAACCACCAAGAAAGGGGTACCACCAAAACGGTTTACCCCATTTTTGCGCCAAGGTTTCCAATTGGAGAGAACTTTAGAGAATGTAGTCTTCCAAACCTGTCCGCTACCATTTGAAAGAGGCTGTCTTGAGCTATTGAACGGGCCCCTCCAGTGGAAATCCATTCTTGCATTTTGAGGCACGATCCCAAGCTTGCATTTGCCGCTTGGGGCATGTACTGACTAGTTGAGTGCAGTTCCCCCGGGGCCTCAAGAGCAACAAGCATGGTACAGTGGCCTTGAATTTGCTGGTGAGGCCATGACATTTGTCAATGCCCACCCTACTCTCTTGGAACACGGTGTGCTGGCTGGTTAAAAAGAGACAGACTGCTGCATCAGCCAGGGCAACAACATTTCATACTCGGTATAGTCAGGTCTTGTGCGACGTGCGCTGGTATTGAATAGCGATAACAGTTGTCCAGCAATACAATTTCCCCTTATCGGGGATCCCCTTTGAACAGCAACATATGAAGAAAGGGGGTCTTTTTGACCTCGTGACCAAGGGGCAGCAAGGCATGTAATGTAGTGCCTAGTTTGCTCATTCTGCAGACGCGAGGTTTGTATGAGTAATTAATATACACTGATGCTTTTCAAAGTGAGTCGGCAAGAACATGAACGGATTGCCCCTGTGGAGCGAACGGCTGGACTGTTTGCAATCATATTGAATTTACTTGTACAAGATGAATGATGTAATACTCAGACGTAGCTCTAATCCAGTCAGCCACATGCGATTGCGTTCGGCACAGGTGCGCACATCACTACACCTAGACATTATAGCTCGCGCAAAGGTGTTCGCCCTTTGTTTACAGCCTATTCCGGCATTCTGAAAGACTAAGTCCTCCAACACCCCCTCATTTTCGGAGGTGTACGGCCATAAGGGTACAACTTTGAAACAACCTTGGATTGAGGCCTTCCCAACATCGTGACTCCTTTGTCCCTTAAGAAGTCACCGGGTAATTATCCGACCTGATTACTTTGTTTTACCCAAATACCAGGGTTTGGCCTAACTCTACCGAATTCCCTGAACCTGGTTCCTTCATCATGTCCTTAGAGATTTTGAAGCCCAGCCACATATCCTTCCTCCCACATAGGGAGGGTTCCTGGAAGATCAGTTTCCTCTTTGAGGGACAGTCTGTCCGGAGCCGTGGCAATGTGCGAGGGAGGGTATCATATCCAGGGTTTGTCGATCCTGCCTTCCAGTCTGGCTTTTGAAACCCCACATATCCGGTCTGATGTTGAATCCTTTAAAAACTTTATATCCTGGCTTCTCAGACTGGCAGGTCCAGGAGCAAGAGGCCACGCTGGGGTCCAACAGCTCGCTGCTGGCGCAGCTGGCACATGTGTCGCGGGCAGCGACCCGGATGCGATTTCGCTGGGAAGTGAGTGTGTTGCCCTTGGAGGCCGAACCCCAAGAAGGGGCAAAGAAGTCTTGTGAGATGTGCATAAGTGGGGAAATTGGACTTCCATCTTTGTGGATGTAAACAACCATGTGTATGCATGTGTATATATTCATACTTCTGGTAGTCTTGCAAGGCAGGGTTTAGAATCTAGCTGCGCTTAGGAATCTGCAGCTGCCAAAGACTTCATTCGAGGCTGGGAGACGTGGAGCTCGGCTTCGAGAGTTGTTTCTGGGAAGTTCCTTGTGCTGCTTCTGGTGACAGCTTTGGCGCCTTGGGCAAGTTACTTCCAAAGTATGGCCTCGCCCAGCTCCTTCGGATTCTGCCGTAGAGTGACTCTATGTGAGATGCTGCGTGCTGATTGGAGAAGCTACGGAACAAGTTGCAACCGTATGTGCGTGACACAAAAAAACTGGCGTCACGTGGCGCGCTCTCTCTTTGCGTGAGGTCTCTAGGACTTGGCCCATTTATTGGGAAAGAAGCTGTACTTAAAGGGGTTGGGTACTTGGAACGTGGTTAGTATGCCGCAACCCACTTGCCATATAGTTGTTGTAAATCCTCCAAGCAGGTTGTAGTCAGGGTGTTTCAAGCTAGCGGACTTCAACATGGGTGGTTTTCTGATGTTGCTTTCCTTTAGGCCAAGATATGTGTTTTTCTCCTCGCCAGGTGCGCAGGACGTGTCTCACGCTGAAAAGCGAACCGAGGACGCTGCTCCGCCAGGGCAGCGAACAGTGGGGTGCTGCTTCCCTGCAAACAAGAGTAAACACAATCCAAAAAAAGAGGTGCTGCTGCATTATTGGACACCCCCACCTGGAGCCCTAATTAGCAGCCAGATCTTAAGATGGAAACCAAAAAGAGAGGAGTTTGTTTCACTTATTCCAGACCCCTCTACTTTGAAAACCGCCAGAGTTTTCGGACTGCAGCAGGTCTTCCGATTGTGACCAACGGAATCCATGGAAGTTGGCTGGTTTCTGCTGCAAATTGGCCGTGGATTACGTCGAATGGAACCTTCAGGGCCCCAGAACGCTGTGGAATAGATGACTGGCTCCCTTAAAGTTCGCAGATTGAGGGGCTCTCAGAATGACTTTGGGGGTGGTTTCCCTTTGAACCACCATTTTGGGGGTAAACAATGAGGAAGCTAATTTGATGGACTTAGCCTGAGAAACAATATTGGGGAGCTTCTGATGAAGGCACCCTCATGCCTGACTGCACTTGTTGTGCGTTTGTTTCGCCGGCATGCTTCAAAGCGAGCGTGGCCCAAAGACGGCACGTGTGGCCAGTGGCGGAAGAGTCGCTCAGTTTGTTAGTTAAGTTGGTTGTCAGTAGGCTAGTCAGCAGCTATAGCTACCTCACAGTTGCAACGTCGCGGGGAGAGAGCGAGTTTGGTGGCCAATGGCCACGGAGGCTTGCGCGAGCCAACTGGAAACGTCAAACAAGTAAGCGGGCTCCTGAAGGTTGACCCCTCCAAAGTGCACAGTGGGTTGCGCGAGCGATTCGAAAAAAGGGCAGAAAGCACAGCCTCACCCACCCTGCGCACATACGACCCCACACTCGCACTCACGCACACATTACGCTTGTCCCCGCAAAAGGTTGCAGATGGCTCACCATCTTGTGGGTTTGATTGCAATTCCCTGAACCTAGGGGTATGGTCGATCTACATCTGATGTTTGTCGCGCTGTCAATCATTTTCCCTCCTTTTGCCAGCAAGTGATTCAGACATGTGTACAAAATTGCACGGCCTTTTTATGAGAAGGTACAATTGCATGGACATGTTATTGACGAGGTGCTTGAGTTTCTCGGGGAAAGAGACGTTTGCAGTCTGGGTATATGTTTTGCAAACTGTTCAAGTTCCTTGTCCGGAAGAGCCTTGAAGTTAACCACAACTCCCGCCGCCTACTAATACCCTGTGGGAAGGGTTTTGTTTGTGACACGTCAAAGTCATGTTTTGCAATGGTGCCAAAATCTTAAAACATGAGAGTACTGACACGAAACACGCGCCAAAACGTCTGAGATGCCATTGCCACATGTCCGAAGGTTCTTGGAAAGAGCGCCCAATTTTTGCTCATGTGACCTGCCTCTTGTTGAGAGTGCAATGACCCGTATGTTTCCCCGCGTAAGCATTCGTTTAAATAAAGCACACACACGCAGCTTTCCTTCGCAGGAACTAGGACCCCTCACGGAGTCCAATGCGGAGCAGAAGCGGCGCTTGGCCAAGTGGCACCTTGCCAAGACTCAAGCCGCGGACTGGGCACGGCAAGTTGTGCATAGTCCAGTTGCAAGCTTCAGGGTTTCAACTGCTTCATTGGTTCGAAGTGCAAAAAAGACTGCACGAGGCGTTCCACTGGCGCATGGCAGGTTGAACCGCAAACAGCCTCATGTGCGCAAGGAGCACCAAATGTAGACTGCTGTCGCAGTAGCAAAGCCCATAGAGACAACTTGCGCCACGTTCACAGCAAGCGTGCAAGCGCATATCGATTTCAGTGGTGTGTGTCTACCATGTCCAATGGCTTGTAAGTGGACCCTGTGTTTTAATTTAGCATGTCATGTTCGTCTGTAAATGTGTTTGGCATTCTTCACGAACTACCTGCGCTTGACCTGAGGAAGAAAAATAAGAGCAAGCAGCTCTACCACATGAAGAAAGGTGGGATACCGTCTGGGAACGGCTGCGATCGAGCAGGGAGACGATGCGCCAACTGGCGTTGTAACCACCATAGAGGGAATGTTGGTTGATACTGTGGGTGCACGAAATCCTGCACCACTTAATAATAATCCCTGCAAGGATGATTCCCCTGTAAATACCAACAAACAATGGTTTCTCATGGATTCCAGGATTCTGTCCATCCACAGTATCAAAAAAATAAAGCTAGATCCGGGATTCTCGGGGCTGACAGGCGTGCGCGACCACGAGATGGCCGGGACTATGGACGTAGCCTCCCTGCTGCAAGACATCCAGCAGAAGCAGGACGTGCCGTCCCCTCGCTAAATACGGATTTGGGCCGGAGCGGGGGGTGACACCGGGAATGCTATGTATAGTTTGATTTCCCCTTTTGTGGAAGTGAAAGATCCTAGTCATGATTTTGTTCCTTCTTTTTTCTCGGGTTGTCAAAGTCAGCAACTGGAACTGTTTCGCTTCAACCGACTAGGTATGTGGGTTGACAGACATTGCAGGCAGTGTTTCCCAAGCCACTTGGTTCAAGCGATTGGTTTTGGAGATTGCTTTGCCAGCGAGTATCATCAGAAAGGAGCGCGCATAGAAATAGAGAGCGCTTGTGGATGCTTTCAATATGAAGCCCAAAGGAAATCAACATGCCCAAGAAGGTTCTCAAGGAGTGCCACTTACATGGTTGGGCAGCATGTGATTAAACAACCAGACTGAATCAGACCCTGGCCTCCTAAATGTAGAACCCAACGGAGGTTGCTTTGTCAATAGGTGAATGTTGAAGCAGGGGCCATCGAACCCTTGCCAGGAGCTCGTCAAGATACTGCAGCAGAACCAGAAAGAGCCGGCCGCCCCATGCTTTTCGGCCCTCGGGGACCCGGCTCGTTTTTGCAGAGCCCTTTATGGTCGCCCGAAGTGTCCAGGTCGGGTGAACGCAAGGTGACAGAAAGTGACCCCTCGCCGCAAGTTTGCGCTCTCAAGAGCGAGTTGGGACTGGTTGCAGCCGCGGAAAGAATGAGAGAGCGTTTCGGAATTTCAAAAGGAACCTGAAATGCGGTGTTGTGCCCGTTGATTTGTTGGGTAGAGACAATCCCAACCAAAAATGCTTTGCCCCAAGCACTAGAAAGCCTTGTGCTTGAGACCTGAGGTTCGCGGACCTTCAGTTGCTGATGGACAATTCTACACTCGATAGGGCTAGACCACCCCTCCAACAGAAGGTGTTACGCTCTTGCCCTAGGCGTTCAATGCCTGAGGTGCGTGTTTGGGTTTGACGGTTTGACAAAGCCACTTTGCCTCCTTGGTAATCTCTTTGTGTAATCTCCTTGGTTCCAAAGCACCGTATACAGGCTTACAGCACCTGGTGTCCAGCATGGTTAAGGCTCTCCTCATGAAGCCACCTGGAAGGTAATCTGGGGGGATGGTGGTCCTGGAACGGAGGCAGGGTTTGAACAATATTTTGCATCTGCTTATTGTCCAGGTTGTCTATCAGGGGTCCAGCCAAATGGCCCCCCTGTCCAACAAGCCGCTGCCTCCGCGAAAACGAGGTCGGAGCAGGAGGTGCTGCTGGCCAGCGCCCGAAGCGCCAAGGACACCGCGCGGGTGCGCGCCGCGCTCATGGAGCAGCGCCAGGCCGGTCCGGGGCGCCTCCGCGTTTTGGAGCCGGGAACCCTTGCCAAGGTGGGGAAAAGGAAGAAAGACACCATGCGTAGGAGGTGTCCCCGATTTCAACAAAGAATAAAAATGACACCTAGGGGGTCCCTATTTGGACAATTGGTTTGGGAAAGGAAAAAACCACCATGCTTAGGATGTTTCAGTTGGATTAAAGTAGATGGTGCATTTTTCTCGTGGTGGTTTAGTCACCCGTTGGTACTTGTCGGTAGTTTATCCCAGGATGCATAGAGTTGCATTATGTTTCATTCATTTCCACTAGTGTAGAACTTTACCCATCCATAGTAGCACATAGTGTTTAAGCCTCCATCATTTCCGAGAAGCAAATGTGTGAACTTATCGAGACTTCATTATCCTCTTCAGTGACTCCCTAGGTACAGAGAAGGTGGATGCGAACTTTTGGGTATCCTGGCGGTTCCTAGCCACGCCCTTTGACTTTTAGTTGGTTTAGGTTTAGAGGGGGGTTTCTGACATATCCCACTGAAGTTGAGAACTTTCAGCACGGCATCAATGAACCAGCAAGGTATGATGGTTTATGGCTGGAACCCCCTCACAAGTGGGTCGGAGGAAATAACATGTGTCCACGAAACAGCCCGCAAATGACATTCGTACATGCCAACAAGATGCGTGTGGCTGTAGCTTTGCAGGGAAACGAAATGGACACCGTACCCGCTTCATGGTTTCCCCAGTTGGAGACGAGCTCAGTTTTGAAGCGTGATGTTGGTATCAAGTTGTTGAAGCCATGCCATTTCCTGCCATTCACCAGGGCTGTGTGCTTGGACATGCTTCGGCAACTGCTTGCTTTGTGGCTGAACTTCGTGCTTCATCTGGGATGTATGCCTTAGGGCCTAATCCAAGCTGGGGTCTGGCTACAAAATTGTGAGGGCAAAGTAAGGCCGGCCTGAGGGTCGAGGAGGTTGGGGGGCCTCCGGAGGAAGCAATGGCCCATGAGAAGTTCGTGTGTGGCAACTGCACATTGGAATCCCGCAAGGCAACCACAAGGAGACTACCCATGTACATCCAGGTGCCCCTTTTGAAATAGGGTGGACCTTTGGAAGCAGTCTTACCGTTGCTTTCAATGCTTTCATGCACCTGTGTAGAATGATCCCGCAGGATTAAGGGTCCATTGGGGAACTTCCAGGGAGCCTTCAAAGTGACGCTCCTGAGCTTTCCTATGGTATTTCGACGGCAGATGTTGTTTCTGTGTTTCTCCCACGGTCCAAACCCTGGCTTCCTCGTGTTGGGACATCCCCATTTGGTGAAACTTCTGACGTAGATCGGTGTCCTTCTTCAAGGGCCCCTGAGCCTGACAGGTCAAGGACGAGACGCGCCTTGGATGGAAGGAGGCAAAAAGAGGGCCCATGCGTGTTGAGTGCTTAGCCTTAATCTGGGGGTACTTTGATCAAAGTCAGAAAGTGAGGTCTCTTCCCTTCAGCTTACCAAACGAGGGGTGACTTTGACAACGGAAGCAGGAAAAGGCCAGTGATTGACTTGACCCAGGTGTGCGGGAATTTGAAGAATCAACTGCTGTTGTCAGATTGGAACATGTGTTACGGACAGCCAAGGCCTCACCAGCGGGGCTTCATGGCTCCATGAACCACTGTTCGCGTCTTCTCTTTGAGTATCACACACCTGGCAACCGTGAGTTCTATCTGGGGCCCTGGGGTAGACTTAGGATACATTTTACATTTTACCAGTGACTCAAAGTGAAGCAAACAATAGAATATACATTCTATAACTGGGCCTAACTCCAATCATGCTACGCACATGTTTGTTTGGAGGCTTATGTCAGCAGTGCTGCAGACGGGTGGAATTTGTTGACGAGCAGTAGTTGCATGCGTGAAGCCTGCCTGCTCCGTAAGGGCCGACGATCTCTGGGGTGAACACTCCTAAGACAAACACATCCAAGTCAAGGCTCCAGCAAGTTGTCATGGTGGAAGGGACAAGACAGATTTCCAACATCTTTTTTGTTTGGGTGTGCATGGTGTTCCGTTTTCTCATTCCCCCCTAGTTATCGTATTCGAGGGCGCATGCCTCTCCATGATTCTGGAGGAACGTCCGCACTACAAGTCCAGGGTAGTACAGGGTAGATGGTTTTGCATTTCACAAGAGCGGCGGCTACTGCCACAGGGGTTCTAATTAGTCGTGTCTTGAGGCTTGAACCCTCAAGTGGGCAGGTTTCCCTTACTTGGTTTCCTGTTGAAGACGCAGAGCGAGCAATCCGCTTAATAAATAGGCCTCTCCCCCCCGCCCCCCCTCTCAACTCGCCTGAAGAAAGATGGACACGAACCCCAAAGAGGGACACACCCAGGACACCGCCATCCGTTTGGCTAGGTTCCGGGAGCTCCAAAGGCTCCGCGCGGATATGCAGCGCCCGGAGGGTCAGAAGAATGTGGCCGGGGCCCCCAGGCCCTTGGCCTTCAACGATAAGCAAAGCAAAGGAGCAAGAAAAGGAGGTTGCTTTTTAAGGTGATGCTGATTGAAATATCATTTGGCAGTGCCATCTTTGTGCAGAAGGGCACCTAGGATGGAGTGAGGCCGCCTCCCGCCATTGTTGGTCATTTTGTTGCATGCCGCGGTCTTTTCTGGCCGCATTTGACATGTTTGGGACAAACGCGACAGACGCACTGTAGGCCAGAAAGCGTGTCGTGTTTCTGTGTGGGTTGTTGTTTGACAATTTCTTAGGGTTGTAACAAGCTGTTTCTCAAGCGCGGAATGACAGGTGTGATGAGCTCGCTTCTCCCACTGTTTGTTCTGCTGTGTTTTGCGTACCTTGTTGGCTTTGCGTCACGTCAGAACCTCATGTTTCGTCAGACTATCGGCGGCATGCTTCGCTCCAGACACACAGGCTGCCAATGACTGTGTTGATTGTACCACGCTGTGAAACAACTGAAGCCCGGAAGGGGTAGAACAGGTGGCCGCGTGGCAGCATGTGGCAGTCCAGTCAGCCGCGATATGCTGGCTTCAGCCGCCACCAGAAGACGCAAGACAAAGGAGTCCGTTGCGAGAATTGCATTTAACACGTGCACATGCGACAGAAAGCTACCTGGGGGAAGAAATGTTTGCACTTCGGACATGGCACAGGGCGACACAAGTGTTGACGGAGGCCAACCTACTAACCTACTGTATCATCACACAACACACTGTACCATAGGATTTGTTCATAACGCCCCCATCCACCACCCACCCCTTGCACCTTTTAGTTTGTTTTTGTCCTGCAGTCATGAAGATTGAAGGCTACTGACGGGGCCTAAAATAAACCCCTCAACCGACCGTAGCAGTGTCGATAGGTGGACGCTCAAACGGGGCCTGGTGCCCCGCATGCAAGGGCGCAGTTCAAAGGAGATTCCATATTACCTTGCTTTAGATAAACATCACCCACACTTTCGCAACATACCTGTCTAGCAAAGGCAAGTAAACAGTCGCTGGCAGACCTGCAATGCAGGCAATGTTTTGTACTACATACCCCTTGGGGAAATGACCCCCTACAAAGCTTTGTGTTGTTCATACCCCTTACCCCCACAAAAGGTGTTCCACTGCGTCTTCCCACCAAGCGAGTTGTTCACTAGGGACCCAAGGAACAGGTATGAAGGTGACTTCTCTTGGACCAACCTGTCGTACTATCCTCACCCCCAGGGGCTCCTTTTCGTGTTTGGTGGTGCGTCAGCAAGTGGAAGTCTTTTCCACGCCATAAGTTATGGACTGTCGCAGCCGTCTCAGGAGTACTGGCGCGAGAAGGTCTTGGAGATCAGACAGCGGATGGAGGACTTAGAAGAGGCCGTGCTGAAAGGGGGGGGGGAGGAGAGTTCCCCCACGGCCATCGGCGCCTTCTCAGAAGACAGAGCCAAGCCTTCGTGCAAGATTCCGGGTATGGATTGTTGCGCGGTGCCTTACGTTCAGGGCGCGGAGGGGAATCCTGATGTTGTGTTCATGATTTGGTTCTATTCTTAGACGATGGGAAGACCACCTTGCAGAGGGGTCCTGACAATACATGACATGTGACAAGGGTGAATTGGAGGTCAATGGGCAAATCTTGCTTCAAGAGGGAACGGGGCGTCAACACATGTTATCATTTGTTGGCAGGGAGCGACCTGGAAACCCCTGCTGCTGGTGCTCTCAAAGGACGATGCATGACGGGGTCCGGAAGGCTTGACAATGGTTTACACCGATGATTCGCGGAAACCTCAGTTGTAACCACCCGTCGGGGGCTTCAAAAACATACATGTACCCACATAGTTTCCCAGGGGTCCAAGTACCTTGTCCCCTTTTTGAACCCTTACTTCCTTTTGAATACATCAAACAGCCCTTCCCGTTGACAAAGCTCATGGGGCACGTGTTGACCAAGGGACCGGCATGTCAGGAGAACTCCAAGCTCCGCATCCTGCTGGCCAGCCGCACCGAGTGACGGGAGACCGGAGCAGGAGCGGAGACAGGACTCGGTGTGTGCGTTTGAGGGACGGATTCCAGAGGTTTGTGCTTCTGTGCCGTTGTTCGAGGGAACCCTTTTTGAGGTTGCTTTGTATACCTCTTTGGGGTCCCCCTATTTAGAGACGTAACCATTTGGGTGTAATTCCTGTTGGGGGAATGTTTAATATTGGCTGTTTTTAAAGGGACGGAACAAAGAACACCAGCCAGACTTGAATTCAAGCTTTCAGTGCGGTTCTTGCTTATAAGAAGAGTTGGAACAAGGAAGCGACGAAGCCCCGAGATCACACACACCAGCTCATAGCTCGAGCCGGAAATCCGGCCGATTCGTCGGGCGAACACCGCCAGACGTGCACGCAAGGCTAACGAGGTCGTCACCCGAGGCCCAGTCGGGACTATGCCGGTGGCACGAACGCCAAAACCAATTACATGCCCAGGCAAGTATTTATGGCAGCGCCAGTTGACCATGTAACCAGGCGTAGAAGGCACCAAAATGCAAAACACTGCCTCCACGGCAAAATAGGGTATGCGACCGCTGTACAACCGTTATTCTTGAAGGTTGGGTGTTTGGGCGCTAGTGGCAATCCTTGTGGGAAAATGGCAGAAGTCACACGATGGGTCGGGGTTGTGGTGCTTTGTGGTGCCATTCAACATACATTGGAATTTTCACCCAGAACAGCACACCGTGAATCCAGTGCATGCTGGCATTGCCTATGGCGCAGACACAATTTAGAATGCTCACTTGTTGATTGCCGGGAAAACTGATGCGATGCTGGTTGAATGCTAGGTATTTCGAGCCCTCTTGCCTGCAAGCATGGGAGGCTGCATGAAAGTGGACCAATGTGCAGAGCCCTTGCCGGCCAAATCTGTTTGAGACAACCGGGCCAATTGCGGACAACCCAACTGAGACAATAAGCTTCGCTTGGTTCAACCAGTAGCCACAAACCAACAAGCAGACAATATGTCGTACTATGTATACGTAATGAATATGAATTTATGCACGCATGTATTCACATTTGTTTAACATATTGTCTTCCACTGGGTGTGGAACTCCTTAAGTTGATTCCCCTCCTAGCACAAGCAAAAGAACTCGAAAAGGATTCCCGTTGCAATGTACCCATACACATGAAGCCTTCCCCTTGACGAGCAAATCGATTGGCCGTTGAGGCCTAAAGTGAACAAACTGCAAGAGCAATTCGGAATCAATGAGGATGCTTGGGCATTTGCATCTGAGAACCTGTTTGCTTGCTTGCACTGGTGTCTGGGTGGCGGCGCCACCCGTTAATGCAGCTCGGATCCGTGAGTATGAAACTAGATAACACTTGGTTTCAGTGTTCCATCAATCTATTTACTTCCAGGGTGCCAGTGGGTTGTAACCAGATGGGAAGGGTCTCCAATTTCGCTTCGAAAACTGGAGCGCTGGCGCAGAAAAGCGGCTCAGGGGTAGGCCAGACCTATCGGGCAGGTGTTAGCCTGTGTCGAGCATGGTTTCATGTTGCATGGCTGGTTTTATGGCTGGCTTCATGTTTGATTTCTTTGATTTTTTCGAGCTCAGAGAAAACAAACACCGCTAGTTGTAGAGTGCAAAACTTAATGCTTGGCCGCTGGCAAGAACCACTTCCGCCCATCTTTGCCTGCAAATAGGGAATCCCTGCACAGGGAAGCCCTGATGAACCAAGGGCGGTGTCGATGAGTCGATGGTGCTTTGCAACATCCCTGGAAATGCGATCCTTGGACTTGCCGTTGGTGCGGACACCCCGGACGCTGCTTTCAATGTTTGCGTGAACATTGAGCTTTTGGCTTTTGAGTCCAGCCGCTAATACACAAACAGACAGGTATTCCAAACAGAAGACAGGGTAGTTGCTGGGGCTGTTTCGGAATGTGTTTGATTGCTCCGTCGGCATATTATTGCGGTTTCTGCTTCCCGCTTTTTGCAGTCATTTGGCTCGGCAGTTGGTGAAATCATGCCAAAACCAAAGAGGGACGCTAGCGCTGACGCTTCGCAGATGCCTGGATCACTGGATGGCAGCAAGGACAGTGGCATTGATTCAACTCCTTGTACGGGCTTTCGGGGTGGGCAAGCATACTTAAGGGCAGTTCTTTGCCACTTTGCTGGGCGTTTGTCAACCCAAGGGATGCATGACGCACTTGTCGTTGTATGTTTTTGCGACAATGCGCCGATTTTCCGAAGCCGAGTCCGAATCCCAAGGCACCATTGAGAAATGTCTACCACGTTTCCGGTCTTGGAGCGCTCCCGCCAAATCTTCTGACCAAAGGCATTTTTGTGGGGCATGCAGAGTGGTTCTTTGCGCTTCCCAATGGCTGCCGTGACTCCGGTGCCATGAGCAAAGTCCAGAGTGTCTTGGCGAGGAGGTTCAGTCTCGATCCATAGGTCCCCCAAAGCGGCAAGTGCAAGGGCCTTAATTATTGCGCACATCTTCTCTTATCGTAACTTGCTTTGATGTTAAAATCATCCACAGCCCAATTCCAATCTGTTTGGCTCTTATAGTAGCCTTGACGAGTGGTTGTTATATTTGCAATTGGTGGATGCCCAAACGGCGAAACCTCGCAACTGATTTGTGTTTTGTTTCTCTGCGAGAGCTTGCTCCTCACATCGCCTCTGTTTTCACACCTCCCATGTTCGGAACAGCTGTCACAGTCACGAGTATCGGGCCGAGGGAAGTCCGATGGGGGCTTAGTGCAGCTTAGGCTATGGAGCCGACCCAGTCTCTATGAGTCGTGTTCCCATGGCGAGAACATCATGGCATTGGCATGCCAAACATCCGAAATCTAGCGCCACATGTCCATGACACACGAGGAGAGTTTGGGAACTAAGGAGCATGAGGCTACAATCCAAAAGCTCCAGCAATGGCAGCTTGTCAACTGAGCGTCGTGCATGGGAGACTTCTTGCGGCAGATGCAGGAAATGGATGCTTGACACCCCAAATGGATGCTTTTCCAGGCTTAGCATGGCCTCGTCCCATCTAAGTTGCTGTGGTTGCATGAGTTTCCGGCCTAATATCGTTCCAGTGAGAGTTTTTGCAGGAAACCTTCTCCAACTTTTACGCTTCGCTTTCGAGCCGTGCGTCGGGCAGATTTGCCTTGATTGAACTCGTGTTCAAAGCATCATCAACTTGTGCTGTGAATTTATGCGGGCTACGTGTATGCACAAGCCCACAGCAACCAAAGCCTGATGCCTTTTGGGGATTTAATGAACAGACAAAGAATGAGCCAATTCAAAGGCTGATTGTGTAGGTCCATTTCGTTTGTGAACCCAGGGCCATTTAGGATCTTTTAGGGGGCTGAGTTCCCATACTTAAGCCAAGACTCACTGTTATTATCCAATGAACTAGGGGTTCATACCAGGGATTCGTAAATTGACATGTACATTCAGCCTTTGAATTCCCAGGAAGATTCCGAGTGGTTGATTTATGCTTGGTGCTTTATCTCGCTTTGATCTGATGGCTTGTCGGAGTTGTCCAGTCGGGTGTGCTTGCCGAGTGTCTCTTTTTAGCCCCTTCCTTCACAGCGAGGCTTCAATCGAGAAAGCAAGGAGGGCATGTCGCATGGTGACCTTGTCGCGTGATTAAGGTGAGCCGACTTGAACCAAGTTGACTACGCCCAATACGCAAAAGACTAAGAATTGCAAAAGGACGTCCTCTTTGGCCCTTGCTTTGAAGATTCCCCGCACAAATCGATCATAATAAAAAGCTGAAACATAACCTCTACCGCGCATTCACGTTTGCCAGCGTGAACTCCGCACGCTACACATCCACGGAAGAACCACGATCACTGAGCGGGAGCTTCCAACGTGCACTTCGCATACTACATGTGTACTAACCAGTTGTAATTTGGTGCTGAAGCTGTTAAAGAATACTTGGCATGGTGCGATTTTCAAGCTGGAGCTGCCATACTTTGCATAGCACCCCTTGTATCATGGTACTAGTCAACAAGTGGCGATGTTGCACCCTGGTAAGTGTTTTTACATGACAGATCCTTACTTGGGTCTTTGCTCAAGTGCGCCGTATTGCTGGCCGAGGCGAAGCAAAAAAAGAGAGGCCATACTCCGCCGAGATGTCTGGGAGCCGCACAGTGCAGCGAGAAGTGCTTCTTGTCAGAGACATTTTGAACCTCTCATCCCAACCCTTGTAAGGTTCTGAGCATTTGAGGGTGGCGCTGAGCCTTCTTGGTTGGGTTGATGGCTAGAAGAGGAAAGGCTGCGGTTGGCTAGCACCTCTTGAAATGAGTGGTTTCACACACACACAAACACCAACCCACCTGTGCCCACGTCGTCGCGCGCGCACACTCACACGCACGCACGCACGATCCGCGCACACGCACCACATGCATACACACACACACATACCACACACACGCATACACACGCACACATACCACACACACACACACATACCACACACACACAGACCACACACACACACAGTCACACAGAGACGCACAAAGACACAGAGACAGAGACAGAGACAGAGACACAGACAGACAGAGAGACAGATAGAGGCAGAGACAGAGACAGCCAAGCAGGCAGGCAGGCAGACACACAGACACTGAGAGACGCAGACAAAAAAGAAGCAGAGACAGACACAGACACAGCCACAGAGAGACACAGACAAACAGACACAGACATACGCACACACAACCAACCAACCAACGAACCAATGAACAAAACCAATCAACAACCCTTTCTCCTGTGGCACTTTGGCAAGGGAGAAGCGGGTTGTCAGGTCCCGACACCTGGCGGCGCTGGCACGGGCGAGGCATTTGCAGCACTCCCCGGAGCGGCGGGTGGAGAATGAGCCCGAGGCCTTGGGTGCTAGGGGTGGGATGGTGGGGTTTTGGGAGACTTGGGAGGCTCGGAGGCCAGGATTGGCTGCAAAATGTGTTTAGGCACAAGAACCTTGATCCCTTTAGAGGGAAACTTGAAGGAGGGCTTTTAAGCAGTTGAACCATGTTCAATCAATGAATCATGGGGTTGAGCCAACCTGGGGGAAGAGGGGAGGATGTGGCGTGTAGAACGCTTTGAGGGCAAGATGAACTCACCCCTGATGTCAGGGACTCCCTAGTGTCCGAAATGCAAGTTGCTGGAGACTCCATTGGCAGGTTTGGGGGACGGGGTGGGGTAAAACGGAGTACTAGTAGGTAGACAAACAGCCATTGTGCTCGAATGTTGTGGCTCCCTTATCCTCTTGAATGGTTCATTGCCGAACAGGGTTCAGTGTTTGCTATACTTCAAACGCAGCTCAGCAAGGCAAGCACATAGAATTATTCTCAAATGTGTCGACGTAATTCTTGATGCTGATCATGATCAAGGGAAGTGCTACTAGCTTTGAGAAACGGTCCTCGAACTGCCACGCTGCCTTTACGTGGGAGGGGGAATATGTGCATGCCAGTTTCTCCCATCAAGTGAAGCGCTCAGCCCGCGCCAAGATGTCCAAAGAAGTGCCCTCCCTGAGCCTTGCTCACCAAGATTGAAACTGCCATGTCACATATTCTTTGGAGGAAATTCTTGCAACGCAACTTAGGCCTCTTTGCTGCTCTGGAGTGGGGCCATGTTACCTCGAGCTCGTTTCTTTTTGGGTCGGCCCAACAAGGGGGAGCCAAACCACTCACGGGCCACCAGGGGCAGGGCCAATTCCGCATTTCCGCAGGCGGAGGTCATCCCCCGGATCGGCAACACGTTGGTGCCCTACCGTCACTGGGATCAATTGGGTCAGCGTGCTAGCTACCAGGCGGTTTGGTAAGCCGAATTTGGGGTGCGGTCTGAGCAGAGCTATGTTCAACCAACTGGTGTATGTCTCCCACCCATTTCGCGGTGGTTGAAGAATGCCGGAGAATTGGACCCTGAGACAAGCCATGACAAGCCAATTTGGATTCATGTTGCTTCAAGTCGTGCTAGAAGGAAGTGTTAAGGTGGCCAAGATCCCGGTCATCGATCGCAAGCGTCCCGCTCAAAGGGGAAACCCCAGATTTGCTGCTGGGCCTTCTACTGTCCGCGCATGAAACATGACGCGTGTAAATGCTTGAGTGTCCCGGCCGCTTTTTGGTGGACATGGCAGTGCTGAATGAATGCATATCGCGATAAGCGACTGCAAAGTTAACGCCCTCCAAGTTAAAGCCCTGCCACTCTTTGGTTTTACCCCTCTTTGCAACATGGAAATGCACAGGGAGGCCTTTTGAGGATGATGATAGTCAGCCAAAACTGATTGGACAGAGGGCCTTGCGCTCTGCGGCAAGTTGCAACATGTGGTTTTTCGTTGCTAGATCCTGCAGAACCTGCACAAGCCCATCAATTGCAGGAAGCCCCTCCGCTATGGTGGTCTATGCTGCCGCCTCCCTTCTTTGCGGTATTGTTTGTTTGTTTTGTGTGTTTTGGTCAGGTCTTGGGTCTGCAAATGAATAAGTGCCTACTTTTCCATTGGGTCGGTGTCTAAATTGGACCCCCCCAAAAAAAAACACGCACACAAACAAAAAGAAACAGGTGGTTTCACTTCGGATTCCTGTACACACCGCCCCCAAAGTGGTACCCGCGAAAGCAGGCGAATTTGCCCCTCCCAGGAATCCATGAGCCGGCGACCCACGCCCAGCGCTTGTCTCAGCTGTGCTACGCCACTCTGCACCGAATTGATGGGGTATGGGGTTGGAGCCCGACGGTTTCCCCTTTACACCACAAGACACATGTTGCAACCGTCCAACCACAAATAAAGAGGGGCCATCGTTGGCGTGTAAGTTTGAAACCACCAGGTAGAGGGTATTTTCGGGACAATCACTTTAATGGACCCAGTAAAGGGTTTTTAATGTTTCCTGATGAATCGATCAATACATGACGCATATCAGGGATCGAGAGCATGGCTGCACGAAGCAGGTCGCCTCCCAGCAACTCGAAGTTTCAGAACCTAACAGCAGAGGTCTCCATATTTCTAAGGTATGCCAGGCATCATCAGCGGGTTGCCGATGTTGAATAAGTTTGAATGGTTTACCTTTTTGGTGGAGTGATGTCTGAGGGGGACATATTGTCCCTTTGACAGGTCCCTTTGACATTGCAAACGTGCAGGGGGTGCAATCCACCCAGATTGCATCTTGGGAATATCATGCTAGGCGGTTCCTTGGAGGCAGCAGACAAGACAGAAGGCCGTCCCTCGGTGCTTCTTTAGGAGCAATGGCCCGTTTAATGACTTAGCACGGTTCTGTGTTTTCTGTGTCAAGAAAGACCAGCAGGATTTGTTCAATCAGTCAGTGAAGGCCCGTGTGTGGCCCAGTATACCGTTTGACCGGGAGAACGCTAAGAGGACACAAATTGATCAGGTGATCTAGTCTATTTGAAAATATTCATGTGACTAAAATAGGCAGCACAATCTGGATGCCAAACGTATGTGGCGATACATAGCGGTTTGTTTTTGTTTTTGTTTTGTTTTTTTTCAAAGGATGGATTTTAGCTTCCGAGGAGCTCCCCCAAGGTGACACGTTATATGTGGCGAAGGCTCGCAAAGCCTCTCGAGTGCGGCTAGCTACTGTACAAGTAACTGGCCAACTAAAGCTCGTTTGCGAAGCCACTGCATGGAGCCACGGGAATGTCGTGAAGCCTCGCGAAGGCACCTGTTTCACAAATTCTGGCCCCGCAAAGCCCCAGCCTAGGCACCGCAGCCGTGTGTTTGCCCTGAACCTGAGAAGGTCTCCTTGCTAATATGTCCTTTTGCCTGGAAGCCTAATGTTCCCGTTGCCAAGCATTCACATGCGCAGGCACATGCGCTCTCACGTGATGTACATGTCATGTACACCTGACATATAAGATATATGTATGTGCTTGTGGCTTACGGGCTCACGACGACAGACGAACAGACTGATTGAGCGCAGTTCTTGCATGTTGCTTCTTGACATGTTTTGATTGCAGTATGAACCTTTGATTTTTCCGCTTGAAGTCAAAGTCCCAAGGAAAAGTACAAGAAGAATGAGGCGGCTATGGAAGCTGGGACTTTGCGCGCTAGGCCGGCTTCCCTGCGCGCAACCTCAGAGCAATCATAGGGAAGCAGGGCAAACCATAGCCCATGAAGGTTCTTTGCTGGGATTCTTATATCTCGCCACACGGATAATTTCAATTCACCACATGAAGCCCCCTTGCAGCAGCGTTTCTCGTTGTGACACTTCCCCATGTCTTTTGATTTGACTCAGAATTCAGAGACTGCTTGCTGATATATTCAAACTCGGCGGTAAGATGTCTTGGAGAAGCAGTATTCGTGCAGTAGTACATGCATAGTTGATCCATCTCAAAACTACAGTTGGCCACAAGGGACGAAGGGTAGCATCTCTCAGCTGGTTGGCATGGCTCGTTCCATCTTTGATGCCGACGTCCGGTGAGGCAAACACAATGTCTCAATTAAGTTGTGGTCAAACCAAAACTTTTGTAGTTGGCCCAGTTGGCCATTGCGGCCATGGCACTACGGATGATTACCCCCCAAACATTCTCATGATAAACCGTCCAATTCATCACCGTCCAAACGGAAAGTTGTCTTCCACTTCCTATCTTGGTTTCCTTTGAATTGGACAAGGCTTGGGCGTTTTTTTTTTTTATGTTTGTCACTTTTTGTGAGGAAAGTCTTTAGGGAGCTGGGACACCACGACGAGAGTTTGGTGTTTTTCCATTTGGAGACAGAAGACGCTTCGGCTCGCGAGACGCGAGGACCCTGAGAAAGCCCCTGGCGCCCACTCGCTCGGTGGACTTCGGCCTTCTGCCCAACGCGTGGCGCCCCACCTGGGAGGAGCTCGGTTTGAAGGGGCCAAGCGCGCACGCTGGGTATCCCCCTGGTACCCCTAGTGTTCCTTGGGGAGTGATGAAGTATATGGTTGCTCTTGAATATTCGAGCCACGGTACATTGGGGGAGAGTAGAACCCCTCTTCTCCCGGAAGGGTTCTCCTATAGCACTTCTACCCCTTTTAGGAAGGTTGGATAAAACCTTGCCTTGCGTTTTCCCCACCATCTCGCGCATCTATTCCAGGACGTCCTGGCGGAGTCGCACGCGAGCCACTCGAGCCTCGGAAGGAACAACAAGAAGAGGGGCTACACAATGAACACATCCCTCCTAGCATAACTTAATTTTGTGCGTCAAAGTACCCATTTGATTTATCTTAGACTTTTCAACGATGCCAGTGGCTCAAGGATTTTACATTGAACGAGTAGATAAATACTCTGATTATTCTCAAAACCATGCACTTTTATACATACAATATACACAACTAGAGAGAGTGACTGATAGATACGAGCCGCAAAGAGGCTTGGCTGATTGTGATTTGTGACTCTCATACCACATGCGCGGCCTTTGAGCCCAACATTCCCGCGATGGAAGCAGCTAATATAAACAAGCACATGGCAGGGCTACGCGCAAGCAACAGTTACTCTTACTGACGTTAATTTTCAGAAGGCTTCGCATCGCAGAAGCTGGTGTTCCTCAAGTATTCACAATCTTATCCGGGGTGGCGGGGCTCATTTGCCAGACTCAGAGTGGTCAAAGGTTTTGTCAACGCAGGGGACAAGTGTTGGGTTTTCAAATATATTGCGCACGATGGACGCTTGCAGAAGAAACCCAACAAGTCCCTTTCTTCAAACCAAGGCAAACCGAAGCTTTGCGGTTTGTCCCAGAAAACTTGTTTCCAGGTGCATGAGAAATGTGAGGGTTGAAGACGCATTTCCCCTTCGAAGTGATTTCAGGGTGGGTTCCCCCCCCCACTTCCTGGCCCCTTTGGTTCGCGCCTAGGCCCCTGGCCCTGGCGGCGGCCAACTTGATCGCGGGGCGCTCCGTGGCCAAGGCGCTGAGACCGGAGGAGCGCCTCGGACCATTGGATCCGAAGGCCGCGTCCAGTCCCAGTGGGACGATGGCAAGACGTTGGGATTTGGTTTGGATCTCGGGTTTGGTGAGGCTTTGCAAGTTTCGCAAGTTTTGCAGGCCGCAGGTCCTTCCAGATTGGAGTTGGATCCACTCGGGTTCAGTGAGGTTTGTTGTACTGTCACTGCAGAGGAGCTTGCGAACCCAAACCATTAGGAAGAATCTCTAGCAAGGGGGGATACCTTTCTGGGAAAATCATGTTGATTTTAGAGGTCAAACACCACCAAACTACATGATCCGTGGCGTGTAGGGTGAGTGTGCCGTTTTTTTTTAGTACTTTGGCAAGATAACCTTCTAGCCGTTTTCCTGCAATCGTGGGAACCTGACTGTGTTTGCGGTGTGCGCTGCAAATTGCCCATGACAAAGCAGCCGAATGCGGTTCCGGAAACCTACTCGTTTTTTGACCTGGACATGTTGGTTGCGAAAAGACAACTTGGGCACAGTGAAAACACCCACCAAGCTGCAAGCAATGTGGTGCCAAATGCAAACTCGAAGCGGAGAACACTCGCTTACAGGGCTTCGTAACTGAAGAGAGATAGCATCTTGCCCATGGCGAGCGGACCCATTGGAGAGGGGTCAGAGAACGCGACATCGTCCAAGCCTGGCCAGACCGAAAGCACGATGTTGCGAAATATGAAAATACATGAGAGGAGTTGTCATATGACCAGATTGTTGGAGGCAGCAGCTACCAAAGCCAGAAACGGCGGCCGACCCCCCCCCCCGCCCCAAGTCAGCCTTCAAGCAGCGCAAATGCTGTCGCTGCCCCGCACGCTACGCTTTCGAACTACATGCTTCCAAGGCCGACGTTCAGAGAGAAATCCAACATTGTCCTAAAGAAGAGGGGACTCCTGCAAACATTGCAAAGGGCATAGGTGTAGTGTTTTTCTTGAAAAGAAGGGGCCCGACTATGGCGTGGTGATGCATGTATCACAGATCATTTTGCAGGAGGGTAGCACCATCAGAACCAGGGGTCCATTTCCTGGTTGGTTCCTTCGAGCTCAACGAGCGCCCCATTTCGGCCGGTTTTTATGGGGTGCCCCGCGGCAGAGTACCGCGAGCTTGAGGCAGCCAGAGGGCCTCGAGAAGTTGCAGGAAGGAGTGCTGGACCTCAAGGCCTCGGCGGAGTGCGGATGGGGTTTTCGGTTTCCTCGGGCGCGTTGGGCTGGAAAGTAAGCCTATAACTAAAGGGGGGTCTCGAAAAGCAAATGGGAGGGGAAGGGTGGATGGAAGCCATTCCCAAGATTGCCCTGGTGAGCTGCCCTGGTTCAAAATGACCCTTGAGATCGTGGGGGAAACCATCGAAATGGCTTGTTTACGTACAGTGGCAAAAAGCGCCCTCGTAGGCAGGGCTTTAAACACGTTTTTTTCTGCCAGTGGGGGGGGGGCTTCTTTTTGATTTCCGATGAGCACAGGAGGAAATCTAGAACAAAGCCCCTTCCAAGTTACGCCCACCGTAGGTCTTATTAAACTTATAGGCTTACCATTGGGAACCGGCCTAAACAGCCTAAGGAAGTTCTGGCCACGTTGGCTTATAACTTATAACCTGGTAGGGGCTCACTTACCGAAATCCCCTAGGTACAGTAGCAAAAAGGTCCCTCTTGGGGGGGGCTTTAAACACGAATTGTCCTTCCGGCGGGGGGGTCCCTAAATCTTGTCGCACACGAAGTAACCCCCCCCTCTAGTTACACCAGGGGGCATGTGGGAAATGCCCGGCGGTGTGTCTTTCTGCCAGAAAGACTATGGAATTGTGTGGAGTGGCAGAGTTACTTGGTAGGAATGGGACCCCCGCTTCGGTATAAGGGCCATTTGCCATACCTATGCCCTTACGTCCAAAATGGGGCTTCCAAGTAGCTTGGAGCTTCAGGCATCCGAGACAATCATATTTGTCCCTGCGCATTGTAGCTTTGAGCCTTCAAACTTTGCGTTTATGTCATCATGCACATGTGTTTACCTCTGCACGATTACGACCACAGTATGCCATGTTCTCCGTGTGTTTTGCTCATCGAACACACATGCTCTTGGCGCCTCCGTTCCAGGGGATGGTTCCGACATGAGCAGGTGATGTTGAACATAATCTTGAGTCTTCCATGCCAACATAAACCAGAGCTACCTTGAGTATCCTGCTCCGGTAGATCTCCAGAGCTGTCCTGAGTACTGCATTCTTTGCCTTGGCTGTTCAAGTTTTCTGCAAGACACAATCGATGGCTGAAACCAAGAGATGTAAGGCTCTCCTTGTCACAATTGAAGCCCGCCATATTTTACGATACTGTCCATGGATTCCACATGTTTAAACATGTGCGTTGCTTTTCCGGACCCATAGAACCCAGTTCATTGGGACGTGAAGGAACATGTTCACGGAGCTGACCAGGCCTGGGTGCGCCTGGCGAATGGCGGATCCACACGAAGCAAGGCGGCCCGGTGAAATACAGGGAATGGCGCAAATACCGGCCAAACACAAAGGATTTTCTGTGATTCCTGTAGCTGGTTACTTCGAAACACTGAGTCACAGCAAGGGGCAGGAGCCATGGGAAGTTGATGGTTCTTGATAGTCCCGGCCTCAGCCCTAGCCTATTTGGCTGCCCTTCATTTTGGTGGCCAGGTCCTTCATGCCGCTTTCTCGCAGGTACAACAATGAGATCCTGAATCATGGGTTCCAGTACTGGATTGAGTGATTGGTAAGAGTTCCAAACACAGTTTGAGTGGGAATGGCTTTTCGTTGCAGAATTTCTTAGATTCGTATGGTCCTCCGGAGGAGTCCGAGACTGACATTAAGGGTAAAAGGCCGGAGTAAAGTGGTTTGTTCAGCACTCGTTGGGTTCTCACAAGTGCTTGGTGTTCCTTTTTGTTCTGCCTAAACCATTGGTTTTCATTCAAACCGCCGGTTTTCTCCAGCTGCGCAGTTGGTTCCCACCATGCCCAGCAGGTTTTGTTTTCTAAGCGCCAGGTGCGGGCGCCGGAGTTCTCGGAGCTCCCGAAGATCCTGGCGATGCCCGAGAAGGCGCTGTGAAAATTCGTGGAGTCCGAAGGAGCCCCACCAAACAGTTTTGACTGATATTGGGTTGGACCTTTAGACTTTGACTTTTTTGGAAATCAAGGGATTTCCACTAAACCCCCCAAAAGTTGAACTGTTTGCAGGGGGGTCAACAGCAACCAAGTAGTTGGGGGGGGGGAGCGGTTCAAAAGTTCAGAAAGGTGGACATCAATGTCCACCCAAAGGAAGCCAAAAGAAGGCCCACTGGAGAAGGGGGATCGTTTAGAGCCCCCCCCCATTTTGGGGCGTGGCAGGTTGAGGCGTACGGGTGTGGAGGTTGCAGACACCTCCCCCCCCAACTGCACAATGTTGGGTTTGTGTATGTTTGTGTCAACATTTGTCTGGAAAGCGTCTCCAGTCTCAAACATGAAATTGGATTTGATCCAAACGGCGGTGTTTCTCTGAACGCCCATCTAAGGGTTTCGAGCCTCTGAACGGGACACGCACCATTTGAGCGTGAGGCCGCGGGGGCGTCTTGCCAAAGAAAGAATGGCGGAGCGGCTTCTCAACATTGGGGGCTTCCAACACCGACTATTTTCAATTGGACCCTTTCTGTCACTCGGTGGAAAGGAAGGGACACTTTTAATGGCCCCCATGTTGAGCTTTGAAAGCAACCAAGGCATTGCCATTTCAGAGTGGCTCCTACCTAGCTGCACCAATGAACGCAATGGGTTCATTGCGACTTTCTGTGAGCCAGGGGACCCCCTGATTTAAAACTAGCAAAAAGAGGCTTCATAGAGTCATAGGGATATGGGCATCCGACAAGCTGTGTATCTTCAATGGGGTTGCAGTAGCGGTTTGGCCCATCCCGTGAGTGCTTCTGCTTTTGAGCTCTATGCCAGCTGAACTGGCAAAACGAGACAAGGCTTGTGTGCCTTGGGAGATCACTGAGAAAGGATAGACTCGGATAGACATTGTGGGCGATGTGTTCAACGTTGGGCTGAAGCAGAACTCCCTCAGGAGGCCAGCACCGAAGGTCCTGGATATGATTCAACCCCCCAGACATTCCCATCTCAGCATTTGTGGCTTGGAAGCCAGCCATCATGTATATAAGTGGTACCCCCCCACGGACCTGCGCCTTGGCAACAATATATAGAAACACAACAAGTCTCAGCATGTGTCTTGTCATGTTTCCCTAAGACTCCTCACAATAAGCAAGCAAGCAGGGCCTCAATATGCCCAAAACGACTCCTCACTCAATAAAAATCAGAAGCTGATTGCCTATTTTACACAGGTAGATGTTATGTCATGATATACTATCAGCAGGTGTTCACGTGACCCTGTTATAACAGTTTAATATTGCAAACGTGTTGAACATCATGTCCAATATCATTGTTTGCAATCATGCCAATTAATTGTTATGATTCAGTGTGACAAATAACATTTAAACGCTTGAGCGCAAATGCTGGGGGTGCTCAGCATTTATGTGTGCGTAATATATAGTCGTATACATATACCTGGGCCCTGCAACTATGGTTTTTTGTTTCAGTCTCCCCTGCAGAAATTGACGTAGCGCCCCTGAAAACATGAGGCAAACGCAGCAAACAACAACGCGCAAGCAACGCAACACGACGCCAAAGTTGTGTCATTTATTTGCTGTTTGGATTTTCGCCTGAAAAAATGTGAAAGGCTGAACACAAAAACATTTCTTAGGGCGCCCAGGTATGCGCGCGCACACACAGAGATCTTTAGGTAATTACATGTCTTTGAAGGGCCGGCTCCGGATAGGTTTCCAAAAGGAACCCAATTGGAAACCGAAGAGGATTTAGGGTTGATCCCGACTTTAGGTGTTGGCTGCGCTGTTTCTCCTGCATGACGTCAGTGCGGCCTGGAGGAATTGACGAGGTGGAAATAGGGCACATGGGTGACCGTTAGTCGCTGTTGATATTGCCCTTGCTCGATTTGTTTGAGGGGTGTTTGTCTTAATCTCGAGGGAGGGATTTGCCTTTAGGTCGGTTTCATGTTTTAAGTGGCAAGGAGGGGCATGGTAGTAGCAGAGGTGGGACATTGTTGGTTCTAGGTTGCCATTTCTTGTGACACATGCGGGGGAGATGTTCTGTGGTATCAAGCGCGTCCCAGTGACAAAATAGGCAGGGATGGGAATCCAACCAGGACCATGATGCGGGAGCTGGGAATTGTCCTTTCGTTCATGTTGCTGGAGCCTGACCTTGATCTTGGACGCCCTACTGCCCGGCTGAAATTTTCTTGTAGGGGTGATGGTGTCAAACATGCATGCGGCACCTGGGTTCTTGATGCACTTGTTTCCGAGATAAGAGGACTGGGGCGTTCTTGTTCGACTGTGACAGGAAGTGCCAGGTAGAGGTTGGTTGTGGGTTGCCATTCTGCAATTGCTGCTGACATGGTGGGCTGGAAAGGCGCAGGAACCCCCTTGCTAAAAACAGGTGATCCTCTTTTGGTGTTTGAGTGGCCTGGAAAGAGATGCAACCTGAGCTCACCAACTGACTTGCTATGCGGATTCCTCATTTCCGGTTTGCGACTTCCAGTTTGCCCAGCAGATACCTTGAGCATGGATCTTTTGATATATCCTGAATGAATTGGACGGCGATGTCTCGGCCCTCACCTTGCAATTTGGCTGACAGGATCGACTCACGGGCACCTGCCCGAGAATGAAATGGACTGCTTGTGCTTGGATACTGTCACCAATGAAAAGGGGGAAGGCACACGTGGCTTTCAATGCAGTGACTACACCGATGCAGAAAGAAGCTGGCAGTTAGGAATGCGGCATGTCCCGGGACCGCCCCTCACCCCTTCACCTCCCCCCCAACAGAGGGCACAAAGGCACGTTCATCGACGCCGGGCAAGTGTTGAGCTTCACGATTCGGGGGTAAAGCGGTCTCACCCATGAAGGTCCCATACTAGGGATTTGCGGTGTATGAAGTTTAGTGTTCTGCCCATGCATGCATGGCTGACTCTGTCAGCCTTCATTGGTCAAAGAAAAGGCCGCGACCGTCGTCCAAGTAGACTAGCGATTCCAGATGAGCGTCAGGTTGTCAAGCTGAATGTGCTGTTTGGGAGTCTCTTTTGGAATTGGTTTAATGTTCAAGGTCAACTAAGTATGGACCTGTATAATCTAAATGCTGTATGATGAACTGCTTTGAAGTTGCAGCCGGTTTCGGCATGGCATTCAGCTGAAATCCAAGCTATAGGAAGCATCTGAAAGCCTTTCCAAAGCACTCCGCCCTTTGCGTCCCCATTGAAAGGTGGCCAGGGGTCTCGTTGTTTCAACAAGTCCTGCCCAACTCGGTTGCTGGTCTGCAGGAAGGGGTCCATTTGTGCGAGCTCAGAGGGAAGACCCCTTACTTCTGGATCCCTTTCTGGTCTCGGGACGGTTGTAGAATTTGCAGATCATTGAGAAGAAAAACATCAGGAGGCCCCAATGGTGGCTTTCCTCGAAGTTTCCCCCTTAAACCAACGTGAAAGGGATCCGAAACAACCTGCAGAAATCCCTGTTTCTGTTTCTCAGCTGGAGAGAGCGAGTCGGACGTGACGGAATTCGCGTCGGAGTCAGGTGTATCTTAGCTGAATGCTTCTTGCCCTTCGCTCAGAAAAGAAAAAAAAACACTAAAAACAAAAACTCGAGAGAACAATGCAACGCAGCGCAAACCCAAAAGTGGAATGAACTTCTCGTTTCAAGGCTTTGGGCCAAGGTCGAAGATTCCTTTCGAACCCTTCGAGGGGTGGCCCGGTTGGCCCGGTTTCTCTGAGGTGGTCCAAGAGGCGGATCTCAGCGGCATGGGCTTGGAGAAGGCGCCCAGTGCGCTGAGGACCTTTCCAGGAGGGGTTGCAAATGGGCAAATGGGCACGGGAGGTCAGTGAATCGCATGGGGCGTTCTGTTCGTTGTTGTGTCTTGTTATGTGGCTTGTTTTTGGATTAAACAAGTAGTAATAGGCAAGTTGACTATATGTAGTGGTTGTTTGGTTTACGCAATAGGGGCAATATGCTTGTGTTTGCATGCATTAGTGTTGAGGATGGATGATTCAAAAGTTGGGTTGAACGTTCACCGCAGCTCCATTCTAATCATTTAGGCCCTTATAGTACCCTCCGCAAGTGGAACCTGACAACAGGTTGGTTCTTGATGTGAAATACGTATAGATATGTTTCTATATTGCAGGTCTGCAATTTATACCGGTGTACGAGGGATTTGGCTTATCATGAATCTCACGAAAACCCTTTGTTAAAGTCTTGGCCTACGAACCGAGCTCAGCACGTTCTTTTAGATGCGGCGTCCACTAGCTTTTTTGACCAACGTTGTTGCTTGGGCAGGATATGGTTCTCGTCTAGTTTATTGACCCTTTGTCCACATGGTGTCGGGACCCATGTCGAGTCCCTTGCCTTTTGACTCACAGGACAATCCCACAGCCATGCACCCGCAAGCAAGGCAGTTGAGCTACCAGAGAAAGGGTTCGTATAAGGGATGTGTATTGGAGTGGAACAGGATGAAAACAACAACACGGAAGGCGAGTCCTGAACAAAACGGATCCGCGTGTGACCAAAAACGGTGAGTCTTTAAAGCAAAGGATTCAGAGGAATTCTAGTTTGGCACACAAGGGTTTTGGTGGCGGCTCATTTGTTGATTTTATATGCATCGCATCACTGCTTAGCGGCTACAGGCTGGCAAGAGGGTAGCGAAGCAGCTTGGCACAGCCAAATTGCACGGCAAATCGTAGTGTGCTTTGCAAAGGGCAAGCAACTCGAATTGACGAGGCCAGGCACGGAGTGATGCGAAATCAAGCTGACCCAGCTTTTGCCAACCCTCAAGTGCCGCCATGTACAACACCAGTAGCCCCAATGGCCGTCCCTTCCTTGAAGCAGAGCTTTGAGGCTTGAGGAAGGGACCCAACTTGAGGTGCTGCCGTTGCTTCCTTCTTGGTGACCGGTGGCCTTGGTAGGTTTGCCACCTGAATAAGAAACGTGAAAGGGGCGTGAGGGGGCCTTTCTGCGTGGAGAGCCACGGAACTTTGCTTTGCCAACTGAAATGGCCCAAGATCCGTCAAAGGTGTTGTTTATTGGGCACCCAAACAACGGGCTAGTTATGTTGAATTTGGTTCAACACTACTGTTGGGGTGGTTTCCCTTTAAACCACCATTTAGAAAGTTATTGTTTGAGGGACTTTGATGGTTGCTGGATCCAGAATCACAAGCGGAAGGAACCTCAAAGAGCCGTTTCAACCGTCGAGTGGTTTCCCTCCAGGCAAGCCCTAGTAGCATATGCATATATATATATATATTAACATATACATACATATATATATATGTATGTATATATATATATATGTATATATATATACATAAACAAAAACACAAGTGTTTTTTTGTGGTGGGTGATGGTGATTTGATGATGGATCAACACAAGGCCGTGTCGCCAGGACTGCGGAGCATTGATTTGAGCCACAACAGGAGTGGGTGGGGCCCTGGGGATCTTGGGCAAACTGAATCGCGGGATCCCCTCACGCGCATTCTGGCATCGTTGGACAAGTTGCAGACATGAAGGGGTTTTCTGGAGATCCCTGAATTACTTCCAGCGGGCGAACCATAGTGGTGTGTGCAGATGCAACAGTGGACCGGATGTCAGTCTTGGGAGTTTGGACCCGAATGTGCTGGAGACATGAGCGCTGCTTTCAAACGAAGGTCCTGCTAAAAGACAGCAAGCATGAACCTATGGCAACGGAAAGGGGGCCCTGCACTGTAGAGATACTGGAATACACCTGCCAGCTGCAGGATTGTGTCCATCCGATGTGTTTTGTGTGTCTCTAAATATGGGCTCCACAACATGCGTGTTTCTGTGTGTTTTTTCCAAACCAACCAAAAGGGGGTCCCTATTTGTTGGTTGCAGAGCCCTGGCACATAGGGACCCTCTTCGGTTGTTGAAGGTAAATTCAAAGGGTCCCAACCCTGTCAGCCATTTTCGCGTTTCCAAAAACTCGCTGAGCAGGAAGTGAGGGAATCACGCCTATGGCATCCCTGTACAGTTTTCTGGGGGATGCATTCCTGAGTGATTCGCTGAGAACCAGCAAGAACATACGCAACCCTTCTATCCAAGGAGCCTTGCGTATGTTCTTGCTGGTTCTCAGCGAATCACTCAGGAATGCATCCCCCAGAAATCTGTACAGGGATGCTCCATAGGCGTGATTCCCTCATTTCCTGCTGTGATTTCCCCCTGAACTTAGTTTGGTTGTACACAGGTTGCCACGAAGTGCACCTTTGGAATGTACCTTGCGTCCAAGTAAACGTGTGTTTTGCCCAGCACGTAAAATCATGGTATCCTCCCACCTATTAACATGGAACCTGAGAGAGGGTCCTGGTTTGGACCATCTTCCTTTTAAAGGGACCGTCGAACGGTTCCATAGGATGCGGTAGCCCACATCCTTCGGCCACTCACTCGAGCACCGAACAGGACCTTGACCTGCCTGCAGGCTCTGGGCAGCTGTATGGAGCTGCAAGCTGTGCGTTTGTGCGGCTGCGCCTGGGCGATCCGCGGAGTCGATTTGGAGCTTTGGAGGTTTGAGGTTTACATATTACTGCACCGACTGGATTTGGTGGAGTTTGGTAGTTTTGGGTGTTTCTACATGACTACTAATCGTTTTGGTGGGTTACCCGAGAAAGGCAAACCTCACAAGGGGTTCCAATTCTTTTCCACTTTTACCCTCCCATCCACTTTTTTCCAGAGAGTCCGAATGATTTGAGACGCTGGCAATAAACAGGGAGTCTACTCTTGGTTTGGGGAGGGCAGGGGACCCAACCTGCCCACAAAGCAATTGTCCATGTCGTTTCTGGGAGACTGCGGCGATGCATTTTGTATTTTTGCTGCCGCAATGGATTACGCTTGAATATATCTCGACTGGAGACTATTGATGCCGGTTCGGCTGGTGTCCAACACCGTTGACGTGGCTTTGCTACCCCTGGTTCAAAGAACACTCACAGGCCCTTGTGTGCCAGGTCAACGAACAGAACACTACGTCCACATATATTCGCGGGGTGCGGGTTCCCGTAGGTTGTACCAAAACACGTCTAGTTATGGCCAGGGGACCCTAAAAGGGTTCTACCAAATGGGTTCTTATCTCTTGCACCAATGGATGGTGGATGTGTGCTATGTGTGTGTGTGTGTGTGTCCGACAATCGAAAGAAACCCATTTGTTACCCATTCAGTCACTCAACATGGGAGCTTCTCAGAAGAGTGGGGCCCGTTTTGGGTGGTGTCCCCACTATTTGCTGATGTCCACCGTTTCGGGTCAATCTAAAACAAAAATCAGGAGTCACTCCACTCCCACCTGGGCCATTCTTGAGGCAACCCATGGGTCCATGGGACGAAACGGTAACCGACGCGAGGTCAGAAGCTTTGGAATCTCAAGCCCTTGGCCTCCCTCCCAGTGCTCCTCGCCTTGGACCTCGCCGACTGCGACAGCCTCACGGATCTCCGAGGCCTCCTCGCTGGCACCTTGGCCGGTTGCGAGCCTGACGGACCGACCCACCTGGTGGGATGCAGCTCCCGTTTTGAGCTGCGTTGGAGTGGGGTGCGTCCTCTTTTGTTTGGTTTTCTGTGGGATCAAGTACCCAGCAAAAGATGTGTGCTTTTCCCCAACACTGGGTGTTTGAAGGGTTACCAGGTTTACATCTCCAGGGCTTTGCGGTTTGGTCTGCCTGCGGCTCGCAGTGGTCGACAAAAGTTGGGTACTCCGAACCCAGGATCCTCTCTTCACTCACAGTTTGACTCCTTGTTCGCGTAAGTTCCACATGGCGCTGCCCTGGAGGGCGACATGCTCAGTTCCAATTCCAGATCGGGATTACGAAAAATACTTGAGCCATCTCGAAATTCATACCCAACTTTCAGCAAATGAGTCTTCAGCGTGAATTCCCATAGCCCAGAATAGTATTGACACAAAGTGTCCGTGGCGGGCGCGCTCCGGCAATCCCTTGTACTTGTTCGGGTTGGAGCTGACTTTCAGCGAGAGGTTGCATTCAAGCCAAAGGGTGGGGGATTGAAGCCATATTCCCGCAAGGCGAAAGAGCTAAAGCACTCCGCAGCCACTTCCCTGTCACCTCGAAGTCCGGCACATTGGCTTACCTTGTGCTGATTCGGTTGGTGGGGTGCGACATTTGCCCCTTCTTGAGCTTTCCATGTTGTCTTTGAGCAATTCAGACACCTCTCGGTTCCCACCAATCCATGCAGCTCACTGGCTCATGTACAATTGACTGCAAACGTATTTGCAAGTGTTGGCTTCGCAAACATCCATAAGGGCTTGCGGTGTTCTCAAGTGTTCGACTAAGCTGTTGGTGGGTTCACTCTGTCGTCCACATTTGGTTTACCCTGAACGAGGGGGAGAGGAAAAACAAACAACAATTGGGGAAGAACAAAATATATGAGACGGCAAACACAGAATAAGGGAAATGAGTGCATAGCACATGGGGGAAGAACACAAGACAACATTGTACTGTAAGAGGGCAACATAAACCATGGAGAATAACAAGAGCAAAGCGGGAGTAGCAAAAGAACACCGATGAACCACAAAGCACAACTGGGAAAGCATAAAACACAAAGCAATGGACAAGGACACAGAAAATACGGGGCTATACAACAGCAATGAACTAAGCGGACCCCAAAGTAAACAATGATAGAACAAATTCAACAATGCCACCCTTCTATCTTCCACACTTTAATCTGTTTGGGAAGATCATGGTAGTGGCAAACAACAAGTCCGCACTTGTTTTGACCAACGCACTCAGGAAGTGAGTAGCGGGAAAGACAAACATCACGCGGGAAGAACAACGAAAGCTGAAGGACGTGCGCGTCCTTTCGCGGCGTCGAGGCTACGAGGGGCCACGGCCGGAAGATGCGGCGCCAGGTGGCCCAGTGCGTATCCAGGACATGTGACATACATCGTACATACAATATAAAGACACCACGTGCATACATATAAACATACATATATATATATATATACATATGTGAATGTGTCTCAGAATACAATATGGCTAGATACATATATATATATATATATACATATATATATATATACATATTCAGGAAATACAACACCAGAACAACAACTCTTTCCGCTTGGACACCTTCAGGGGTTGAGTGACGATTGGTATGCTGCCATCTTTGCTTGCAATTGATCCAATTTAGCACAACCGCAAATTGGATCCACCGCGCACGCCAAGCAGGATGTCGTTTCTCAGTTGGTCCACCATGTGCGAAGACATGTTCACCAGAGCCACCCGGAAAAAATGTCTTCCTCCTGAAGTATGCAGTTATACGTATTACATATGAAGCGTCCTTTGCATTGAGTTTTCACATCACTGGCTTGTTGGAAGACAGCGGTAGCGGAAAAATAGGGGGCTGGGCCGAGCAGTAAATGTGTTTGTATGCAGGATCCCTTAAAGCAGATGCGAGCATTGGACCTATTCAGCAATCGATTTGAACGGTCCTAGACATCCATCCCACAAAGTGGCGGCCAGGGGATCCTTTTTCCCTTGAAACCTGAGGTTTGTTTCCTAGCCATCCTTTGGTTCCTTGCAGTGGTTGCTTTGTTTTGGCTTCCCTCAGACAGGTTGGCCTGACTCCGGCATCATTGCTTCGGGAGGGCGGGGCGGAGGGCTGAGGAATCTGCAAGGGTTGCACCTTTTGCAAATGTTAAATGGGATGGGATTTGGGCCTGTCTTCTGGCAAATGGGTTTGTCAAACATAAAGCCCGGCCTTTTGAAGGGGATAATCAATCCCAAACTCGCGAACAGGCGGGGTAGCTTTGAGTCAGGCTCTCCCCGCGACCACCTTCAAGGGGCAGAAGCCGCGGCCTTGGAATTGGTCGACTCGCCTTCCAAAAATTGTGCAGCGCGCTGTAGCCTGAACCCAGTCCAACGGGGTTTCAAAAGCAACAGGTGCGTGCGTGCGCGTGTGTGTGTGTGTGTGTGTGTTTATCGAGTCTCCTTTTCAGACTGGTGTGCTTAATGGGACATGAAAAGGAAGCAAGCGCCGACCAAAGACACTGGCCGGAAAGATGACAACCTGTTGCAGCCATGTTTCGCTTTGCGCCAGTGTGCTGTGAATCATGTGATGTTTGGATTTGTTTGGATTTTGTGTCGCAGTGTTGTTGTGACAACGGCTTCGACAAATTGCTTAGATTGCTCTGGGCGTGCCTGCGGAAAAGGTTGGTGTTGGTTCTTGTTTCGATGGTTTCCGCCGTTTTCAGTTGATGAACATCGCTCGTTTGTTGACACACGCACACACAGGCGCACACACACACACACACCCACACATTCTTGAGGTTCTGTGAACAATATACAAGAACAATCTGATCACACTGATCGCACAGCGGGGCCAAATCAATCCGACCACTCAGCTGTTCAAAGCCGGGTTGTTTGAGCCCTTGTGGTTTTCGACGGGCGGCTCAATTCTACAACAGATCCTTGCTTAAATATTTAGTTTCCAGGCTGGTAAGCATTCTCGAGAGACATGACAATGCGCGAGAGGGCAGTGGCTTGAGCGCGGAAAGCAACAGTAAGCGCAATGTTTTTGACTGTATTGTAGCCATGCACGTAGCAGCCTATCATTTGCATTCGTAATGCATGCAACTGTCAATCATAGCTTGTGACCCGTTGTCTCTGTCCACATCCTGGAATAGGGACAAAATTAGGTGTTTACACATGTTTGTGCTGGGACATGCCCAGGTTGAAACAGTATACAAACGAAACAATGACAAGGGGTTGCACATCTTTGTGTGGGACATGCAAAGACTCAATCAGTAAAGGAACCCACCAATGACAACCCCAAACAAGGTAGGCACAAGCTCCAGCTCAGATCAAGGTTAGTAGGGTTCCATCCCCTTTTGACAGAATTCAAAAACAACTCTCAGTGAATGCACCCCCCCCCAAAAAAAAAGAAGTGACAAATCAAAAAGCACAAAACAGTCACAACTCGCAAAATGTCAGCAACTGTGTCCGGGATGGAAATTCCAAACCGCCCTTGATCCAGCCCCGCGCGCGAGGCCCCGCCACGCAGGCGCGCGACCAGGCAGGGGGTTTAGGCCCCCCCAAGGGTCGGTTGTGCTAAATTAAGTTGGTTGTTTTTTACGGCACCAGACCCGGAAAAGAAAGAAGCCCTGACAGCTTGGGGCTGGGTTTCGTTCCATTACTTGCCTGTACTTTGCCTTTTGCAGGTTGGGCCAATGGTTTCCATTTCAGTTTATTGAGAAAATCTGCAACCCATACCCATGCCCTAAACTGCCGCTTTCCTTACGTGTCCTTTACGTAATTTGAGGTGCCGAGCCGACAAATTTCCATCGGGGTAGTGCATGCGCCCCCCCAAATCCCCCCAAGTGGAACTGAAAAAGGGGTACCCGATCAATGCGGACGATGTTTGGTTGTGGCAAGCAGTTGTGCAACGTCCTTTCGAATGGTTGGCGCATGGCATCTACATGGCAAGGTAGCAAAGACGTATTTGAACAAGATGCAGGTCAATGCAGAACCAAGATGAGGGGACTAGGAGACGTTCGTAAACTTCAGATTCTCTACTGTTTGCTTGGAATACACAAAGAGTACTCAAGCTTTTGGAGCACCACGGCAATGCCCAAAGCCAGGATTCGCACACAGCTTGTGTGTGTGTGTGTTTGCGTGTGCACGCTCGAGATTCCACCTTTATTGTCGCCTGACGTTTGCACAATCTGGGTTGAGCGACCAGGACCAAAAAAAATCACGACACTTGACCTTCAAGCCATGCTGAAAATACATGTTGAACGCATCTTCTGTCTAGCGAATCCTTGTGGTTTGGGCTGGAATGGCGAACCAAGTTGGCGTCACTCCCACAGTGGGACTGCGAGGGCACCAGTGGTCGACCTTTCCCACTGTGGTGTGTTGAATCACAAGTTGCCTTGGACAGGGGTTCTGGCCACACCAAGTTAGAGAGGGAGGCAGCGCGGTGTGCGCGGAAAAGCAAGTAGGGAAGGTTTCCGGGGTTGGAAGATGTGGGAAGACAAAGCAACGAAGGCTTCCTCCGCGTCTCGCTCTTTTCCATTGCTTGCTTGCTTCCTTGCACACCAGTACACGTTCTCTACATTAGGCATTGCATCAAGTTACAAACTTCGATGCAGCCAAGCAATACGTCTGGGCACTGACTGGCAAACCAATGAGTCAAAAGCACCCTGCTTGATTGGTATTGAATCCCTTGGACAGGCTTTGCATTTGAGTTCTGTTAGGTTTCTTCCGGAGTGTGCGGGGTATGTCCTCAGAAGAATGCAAGCAGGTGCAAGCAGATTGGATGATATGCTACCACCTATTGCAACTTGCCAACTTTCAATCTTTGGGTCTATCAAAAATACGTTGCATCCAGTCGTTGGTCAATCCCCTTTGAAACAAGCTCCTGGGTTGGCGCTCTAGGCCGCCTTAAAGCGGTTAACAGGAGCACCCGTCCAGCGGTTCAGGTCCAGTCTGGGGCACTCACGCAGCGGTCTGCCAGGGCAGCTAGGCAGCCACTGGTGCGCAGGGCTTGTGAACCTGATAAAAAGTATTGGCCCCCAAACAATGCGACAAGCTATATGACTTACATCATGTGTTTATATGTGATGTGCATGCATACATACATTTAATATTTACACTATATGTGTGTATATATATATATATATTACGTGTGTTTGCTTCGCATTTGAAAGGACATTGGCCTCAACCCGAAAGAGCGACACATGCGAAGAAAGGAAACAAGGCTTGCAAAAGGACAGGGGGCTCCGGTCTTTGAGAGGAAGCCAGTCAAAATCATGTTGCCCTACATGGTTGTGGCTGGTTCAAGCTGAGTCACCCATAACGAAAGTCGCCACTGGAAGTCGTAGTAGTTGTGAACTGGGATGTGTATGCAGCCACAGGATCCATTCAAACAGATTACTGACATTAGTTGATCGCTTTATTTTGGAGTTCCAGCTTGGGAAAGCTGGTGCAATCACCAGTGAGAGAGGTTGACGAGGGGCTGAAGAGGTGAATCCATACATGCAAACTGTCTGAAACTCGGGATCCTAGGGAGAAAACAATCAAGACTGACCTGAGGCGCAACTACTCCTTTCGGGTTTCGTTCATTTGTCGCACGGCTTATGACAAATTATTTTTGTTATCTACGACAGGGTCGAGGGGTTTTGTCAAGAGAGCTTCTGGGTACTAGTATGTGTCAAAAAAAGGGGTACCCCGAATTGGTGGTTGCCCTGTTGGTTTCCCTTCAAACCAACTTGAACAAACAGTACCCTCAAAAAACAGACACGCCCAGGTGTGTTGGGGCAATCTATCCCATCCAGCCTCGAGCGGTTCACGTGAGAGACCGAGAGCGCTCTAAGGCCCCCCGCGAAGAGACGCTGCTACCGCGGCCAGTGCGGCCGTTGGGCCATCCAACACTCCGCGTCTTGGTTGCATGCAGCTCACCAGCGGAGCGATTGAGAACGCTTGGTGATAAGGCCGGGCTTTGAACTTCAATCGGTTCCAGTTCTGACAGAATTTGCAAGCCTCGTCTTTCACATACTGTACTTTTGCTTGTGGTTCGGCGATGTATTCATACAATCTTATGGTGGTTGCATGTTGTATAGACTGTCACGACTCAATGTTTTTTGCTTCTGCAAGCAACTTAAGGCTTGAGCTATTCCATGAATGGGTGCCCACTCTCTCAGGAACACAGCTGTGACCCCCCAATGTACAACACATGAGGAAATTCCACAAGCAGATTCTTGCTGAAGCGGCGAAGGTGGGTTCCTGTTCATGGCCTGGCTGGGGGCGGCCCCGGGCCGCGCCTTAAGATTGACACGGCTCGCCATGGCCAGAAGTAGCCCTGCCACAACAATTGGGCAAGGGCCAGCAATTCCATTCAGGGTCTTGCACAAAGGCAGATGACCTTTTCAAGCCGTCTCAAAGCACTAAGCAAGGCATGTTTGCAGTCGTGCGACGTGTTCACGTAAACCAACCAACCATTGACCACGAAAGCCTGGAATTTCCAAACTTGTTCCAGACTACGTAGGGGGGTTGCACATGAACATGGAACCCAGAAGCCCTCCATGTGGAGGAGTCTCCTTTAAGTTGTGGGGTCGCATGTACTCCTTGCCCATGAACATCCTCTCGAGGCTGGCTGGGCCTCAGCGGCTGCAAGAACCTCCACAGCGCGGAGCTGCTAACGGCTTGCCAGGCAGGGGATAACCACTGGGATCCTGAGTTTAGCATCCGCAAGGAACCTATTAGAACCCGTTTAGGGCCACCAATGGCCGCTGCTCTTGGGGAATTTACATGGCACTGCTTTGTATACAGCTTTTGAAAGTCCCGCTCTCAAGTTGGCTGAATTCCGCAGTGGGAAATCCCAGCATGTCTACTTGGTCCGTACTTTGAGGAAGCAGAAGCAGCTGAGGCCTGCGGGAAAACCGCGGAAAACACGGGAACAAGTCATTCCCGAAGGGAGTCTGGGGTTTGCAAAAAGGGCTCGGCGCTTGCAGGACCTGTGCTACGTGGCGCCTCGGCTTAGAAACCATCCTGCTTGCAAGATGCAGGTGACCTTAGCCTAGAAAAGGCGTTTCGAAAATCCTTCTTGGAAGGGTTTTTAGAAAAGAATCCGTGGCTGGGCAAAATAACAGGAAGCCACATGGACATGTGAAGTCCAGAAACCTGTCGGTGAGTGACAAGGGCGCCAATTGCCGAGGATGAAATTTGCGATGACTTAACCAGCTGTCAAAGTGACTCGGGGTAGAAGGAAGCCGCCCTTTGCAAAGGGTCCTTCGAGAATTTGATTAGCGGTTGCTGGTCCGTCCGAACTGTGCAACTATGGAAGTCTGCCAAGGTTCTAAATGCTAGTCGCTTCAGCAACCTGTGAGCCCGTGTTCAAGAAAATACACTAGACTATAACCCATGTGACTTGCGGAGCTTCTTAACTTGGACAACTGAAGGCTTGTCCATCATGATAGCACATGGAGATTCGTATCTGGTTCAAGCAGTCTACCATGTACATGTTGCAGGGTGCAAATTAGGGCACTGAGTTTTAACTTGCACTCTCAAGCGCTGTTTGTCTTTGTGATGCCATGAGGGTTGCTGGAATCTGTGGATTTGCTTGGATTTCATGCATTCGATTCACATTGAGCGGCTCTCTTGGGGGGGGAGGGAGCTAGCGGAAGCAACGGATTAAGACCAGGGCTTCTCCAACTGTGGACCTCAGCTCACAGAGAGTGCCAGGTTGATTTGCAACCTGAGGCCTCCATGACCATGACCCTTGAAATGCCTGAACTATGTGCCATGGTAGAGATTAGGATTCTCCGAATAGCCCCAGTGTTGAGGTTGACAAAGCCTGGGCCCGACTTGGGTCAGAACAGGCCCCACTTGAGTCCAAGTCCAGGCCCTCGCGTCAAGCTGCGAAGTGGTTTCAGTGGTTGCCCTTAGAAGTGTCTCACTACGGATTACGAACAACCCAGGCAGACACACACACATTGCCTCCAAGGTCAGAGAGACAAGTGAGCGCTTTGCTTGAGCCATTTTCTTCAAGACTTACCAACCTCGATGTCTAGCGCTAGACGCCCTATTTGAGACCCCGCTCGGGTAATTAGCTCGTCAATTTGCTGAGAACCTTTGGTGAACATCTACATTGTTTGATACTGTTTGTCCACAAGCCATTTCGCAGAGTCTTGCCCGGTACATCAAATGCATGCCCATTTAATGCATGTAGATCTGAGCTGCTTTGAACAAAAATGCCCACAACGGCAAAAGGCAAAGCCATTACATTTGGGCAAGCTCTAATGGCCTCTCAAAGGCTTTTCGTTATCACCTATGACGGGACTTGTCTTTTTGTTGCTGTGTGAAATATTGTAGTTTGCCCGGGTTATGATCATGGAATGTTAAAGCAGCCCCTAGCTGACTACCCCCCCCTCCTGGAATTAGGGATAGCCCCTTATTAAGGCCTTGTTAGGGTCTTAATAAGCCATTATTTTTATGTTAGCAGAATAAGGGCAAAATAGGGGCTAGTGCTTCAACCTTTTTCGTCACCACTAGTTTGGTCGTATTTTGGGCTGAGGTCCGCTGAGGTGTGAATGTCACGGGATGATGGGTTCCGGACTCGTCTGGGTGCCAAACAAGACATAGTTTCAGAAGCACACAAACTCAGTCACGACATGTGCAGCACCCGCTCCAGCTGACTTCAATCGAATCAAGTTCTCACAAACAAAAACAACTGGAGGAAATTGTCTAGCGGAGCCTTTCGTGTTGCAACAATATTGTTGTCCTTCTGTTGGCCTGCCTGAGAAATCTTCAAATGCCGTCGGGGGTTGCCCATTTCGGCCTTATTTGGGCCTTATTTGGACCTTATTTTGGAAATCTTCAAATGCCGTTGGGGGTTGCCCTTATTTGGGCCTTGTTTGGACCTTATTTGGGGCTTATTTTGGCCTTATTTCCAAATGCTGTCGGGAGTTGCCCTTATTTCGGCCTTATTTTGGCCTCATTTTGGACTTATTTCAATTCTCTTATTTGAGCCTTATGTTGGCTCGATTGCAAATGTTGAAATCAGGTGGCCTTATGGTTTGCTTTCTGTTTGACTTTAGGCAGGGTTTGGCCCTTCCTTTGACATAGTTTGTATCTTTTGTGGGGGCAAGTGAGCGTCAATCAGTGGTGAGTAGTGAGCTGTGCAGAAAATGCTCTCACCACACGCCAGCGCAATCCCAAGTATTTGCATTCTGCTACCATGTGGGGTTCCAGGGAGTGGCGTTGGGCCGCTTGAACGATGGAAAGCGTTTGCTTGGCAAGGTCTGAGTTTGGCTTGTTTTAGCTCAGTCAAATTAACTTCCGGGGGGGGGGGTAGTTGGCTAGGGGGTAGCTAAACATTCCATGATATGAGGACTTGCCCCCTCTGTGTTTGACTCCTGCTTCCGCACGCCGGGACACCAGGGCCCCAAGATGCTTCGGTTTTCCTTTGTCATTCTAAAGCAAACCCCAAAAATGAGGCCTCCCGCTTGAGGATCTCTTCGACTGCAGCAGTGTAGATGGCTTCCATTGCTTCTGCGCTTGCAATGCGGCGAAGGCCAGCTTTGGCCTAGCTTGGCTTGCGGACCATCAGGCGTTCCCTTCTTAGCGGGGGTTAGTCCATGTTGTGGGGCGCGTCTCAGGATTGGTGGGAACCCAGTTGATCAGCGCACCTATAGGTGGTCCTTTTGGTGAATTGCAGAATAACGATCGATGGATGCAACAGCACTTCAGTGGCAAAGATGGCCCTATGCAAGCAGCCAACCCGGGCAATGGAATCGGTTAAACATAGGTTGATGGGACCATTAGCTATCAGCAATCAGCTACACTATGAATTCTGTTCAACCCATAACGAGCTCACCTGGGAAAGACACGCTCACCCGTGATGAAGGCTGCTTACTATGGTGAGTTGTACAAACCTTAAATGTGTTACACACTTTGTATCCAAATCCCAAACCTCAAGGAGTCACTTAGTAGCCAAACCGTCTAGTTTGCGTGGTGGAATCAGGCTGACGTCTTTTGTTTGAGGCTTCCGTTGCATCCGGATCCGTCAGCCTGTGGTTTTCGCCTTGTGTGCGTGACATAAGACTCGCTTTTGCGACCTGCGACTGCTTTTGCGGCTTTCGGCTTGTGGCTGTCCGCCCTAAACCCACCCTATCCTTGCCCTAAACCACCCCGGGAGGCTCAAGTACATGGAATTGTACATTCTTTCACCCGGACAAATCCATCCGGGAAAAAGTAACCCCAATTAAAACCAAACCAAGCTGAATCTCCCATCAAATCAGCTCAATATGTTTGCTCTCCACCTTAGCAGCGTTAGCCGCCTTAGCAGGACTTACGGCCGAGTTGTCTTTCTTTTAGTTGGTCGTGGAGGTTTGCCCGCGGCCAGATTCTTGCCATCCAAGGGATCTCGTTTGGGTGTATTTGGGTCACCTACATTGGGAAACAGATCATAGTTCAAGTTGAAAAATGCCGCAGGTAGTTCCCTCAGATCCGAGATTGTATTTCTACTCAAGGGGATCGAACACCTTTCGCATTGGGCTGCCCCCGAAGAAGTAATCCGCGGGCAGGATGGCCTACCCTTGCAGGGTTTGGCTTTGGAAGAATCCCCTCCCTGCACATTTCCATATTTTCCAGGAGGGGGGGGTCAGGTCCTGGTTTGCCAGTGACGAACCCTGAGGCTTGGGTACATTAAGTTCAAACAGTCGGAACCTCGTTCCTGGAAAACCAACAGCTGGTTGTTTGAATACTCACTTCCCGAGTTTCTGGACGTTATACTTTTTGGGAAAAGCACTTTCAGTCAAGTTTGTTTTTTGCCAACAAACTCGGGACGTGAGACTAGTAGGTGTTCAAACATGTGGGGGGATGGCCCAAACCTGCCAATGAACCATCTTACAAGGTATGTGTCAACGTAGGGACTTGGCTCCCAAGTTGTCCTTCTGATATCCGTGAACAAAAAGAACAAACCAATCGTTTCACAAAGGTAATTAAGGAACCCAACAAATTGCAGTCTTGCTTTTAGTTTCCCCCTTTAAACCAACCAGAAGGGGTTCCACCAAGAAAGATACACTCAAGTCAGCACAGGTGGAGCACTTGGTGTGGCCGAGCCTGGATCATCTCACCACCTTTGCAAAGCAAGCGGCCCTGCCTGCTGCCAGGCGCGCTGCTCTGTGTGGTGGGTTCTCATTGTTTATTGTCTGCCACTGATCATTCCACTCCATGTAACTATACACTATACATGTAACATAATATACATATATGGCTGCGAGTCAATTTATAAGGTCCGGAACAGGGTCCGGAACCCACATGCGATCCAGACCTCCGTTCCAGACCTCCGTTCCAGACCTTGCCTAGAAACATGTTCCAGACCTTCCGTTCCAGACCTTGTTTTTGTACATGTCTAGTTTAGCGTATTGATTCAGACGGTCAGGTGATTTGGTAGGTTATTGACCCCCCCAATACTACGCGTTAAAGCTGGTGTTCGAGAGAAGCTTGAGGTGCTAACGATGGGATTTGCTTGTTGAGCTTTGGTGGTTAGGGCTGCGTGGCTTGTAATCATTGGGACTTGGATGGAATTGGGCAGCGGTTCTGTTGACAGATGTGTAACGGTTCGATACCGCTCTCAGTCGTCACATGGTTGAAACGACCATGTTTACATGCTGCTTGCTAGCATTCCCAAGTGCAAGCCACTCGCGTAACCGTTCCAGACCCCGTTCCAGACCCGTTCCAGACGTGTTCCAGACGCAGCGGAGCAATTTGCCACCAAGCCCACATGCGCACACATGCCCCATGTAAGTAGCTGCATTTCTTACGCGGCCCAAGAAGCCTTCAAGGAGGTGCCGTATGGTAAGGCCGCGCGCCCCTGGTCGCTTCATCCATCCGTCTACCCAGCCATCAATTCATCCATCCATCTATCCATCTTACACTACATGAACTGTGCTTGAGGACTCCACACATGTCTTCCCAGAGGTCCGGAACAACCAACCTTCCGTAACTGACTCGTTCCAGACGTCCGCGTCACCGCGGAACATTCCACGCCAGAATATTGACCCACACCCATATATATATATACATACATATATAATATATATGTATATAATATACACCACGATACGGACAAGCGCTGTATGCCATACAATACCACTCAAGGTGTATGTCATGTCTCTGATGGCGGGATGCCATTGCTCAGGACGTGGGAGCTGCTGAGTTTGGCCGTGGACAGCGTACGTCAGAAACAGCGCTGCCTGGAGGCATCGGAGGGGCGCCCTTCCAAAGCGGATGGGCACCAATGGGAACCCCAAGAAGCCTGGAATTCGCTACTTTCCTCTTAGGAAGCCTAAGACAATAGTGGTTTAGACAAAACTATGTTCCTTTCGGAAGACTACTTCTCCTCTTAGGAAAGGGTGTGCAATCTTATGTTGGGTAGGTGATTACAACATCAAAATCGCGACACAGGTGTTGGCAGATGGAAGTGCAACCCCTCTAAGGGAGATTTCGGGATTTGTATCCTGAAAGTTCTTAGGCTACCCCTTTGCAGGGGCTCAAAGGCAAATGGGGAAGCCTTGGACCACAAGGTCCGATCAGGAAAGCCCAACTTGTTGGAACCGCGTGCATTTGGCTGGTCGGCGAACAATTCAACAGTGACGTGTACTCCCTCTTCAATGTTTTAGGAATTTGCTGGCATGTCGATAGACAGCCTTTGGTCTTTCATATCTGTAGACCGCCATATGGACCAGAATGTGCGCGACGGTGCTTCTTTGATTTCCCCCTCCATCCCCGTTATCCCAATCCCCAAGCATAGATTTTTATGCTGGGATCTTCATCCCTGAACATGAGCCCTGGCCTCGGCGCAAGCAGGTGATGCGTGGCGCAAGCAGGCTTCAAGCAACCAGCCCTTTTTCTCAAAAGGATGTCGAAGCAATAGTGGTTTAAATGCGTTCAAAAAAGGGGTTGGGCCAAGCCTGATGTGAGTGCTTTCTCAAGTAGCGCAAGCATGCGATCCTTGATTTGCTGAATCTGGAGAGTCTGGCGCATGGCGAATGACTTCTACCCAAACGGGGCACCCCTACTTACTATGCGGCAGAGCGCCCTTGGCAGTTTAGCTCACCTGTTCGACTTTCTAAGAGTAAGTTGATGCGTGGCACAAAGCGGGGCACGTTCGCTAAAAAGCTAAGCGGCCAGCATTTTATCAAGGTTTGTGCCCATGCGCTCGCATGAACCTATTTTATTTGTGTATGAGCGCAGCTACGGAGCTTTGGATCCTTTCACCCAAACACCAACGCATGGGACACGCATGCTGATATATCTGTGTGACACTCGTCATCATAAGCTGACCAAAGCACATGTGACTTGTACCGGGGGAGATTGGTGGTTTGGGGTAGATGCTCAGCTACATGCCCCAACCCTTAAGGAAGAACCAAAAGCCACGGGTGGTGCCCTAAACCAATGCAAACCAATCAGAGGGAAGCTGTCGCAGGACCACGCTCCGCTGCCGCCCCTGCAGAAGCTGGCACGCACTGCGGCGCGGGAGGCCATACGGACGCGGAAGGGGGGGGGGGGATGCGGGTTCTTGTGAGGGTCGGGTACCGACTTCCGGGTTGTTTTACACGGGAACCAAAGGAAAGCACCAGCTTTGGAAACCGAATCCCTATTTTGACACCCACGTGCTGCGTTTGAGTGCTACAAAACTCATTGATCATGTCTGGCTGAAGGTGACAACAAGATGGGGACACATATGTTTGATTTTCCGGGCACAGCGAGACACTCCAAAGTGTCATGGCTTGCCATTGGGAGTACCCGCAGCTTGCAGTCAGACATGTGTGCTCCTTCACATCTGAAACCGTTGGAGCAATCGTTCGCAAGGAAAGTCCACACCAAATGTCTAAGCGCCACGGTCATGATCGGACAATACCGTGCCAAATAGAGATGCTGGAAGTTGGTGCTCCAGGAAATGCTAGGCCCGTGTTTTCAGCAATGTGCGCATGCTTGTGGCGCGGCGCCTTCCAGCTCAGGTCGGCGCTTGGAATTTCACCGCTGCTAGATTCAGTCTAATCCTGCTCCATGCTCGAACCGTTCTGAGTCAGTTTGCTTTGCCGCAGGGACATCATTGTCTTGGGGCCTCGCAACAGGGTTACTTTCACAGGCTCTTCACGGGTTGAGGTCGGGTTCTTTAAGGAGAGATTTGCATGGGTCCGTTAGGGTTTGTACCCGTTTTCTGTACTTTCGCCCTTGAGTGGTTTTAAGCATCACTTGTTTAGCTGGATTATGGTGAGTGCTTTGAGCGGTGGGTGACGCAGGGGGAATCGCAGGGAGCCCCGAAGTTTGTGTGTTGCCATTCGCCTGTCTCAAAAACAGTCCCGTTTTGGATTTGTTCCAAGGGAAACCAAAAGGCACCATTTGGAGGGTTCCCTCATTTTCAGAAGCGCCCATTTGGTTGTTGAGGCTACCCTTCTTGGGCTGCTTAAAAAGAGATCAGGTGAGCAGCCGCCAGTTGAAGGGGGGTTCCGCTTAAAGACAAGCCATTGCTGAGGGCTTGTCGCCAAATTCGCAGGCAGCGCAAAGGGCAGAGAAGGACCTTGGGGCCGTGGAGGAAGTGCAGATTCCCAAGACCTGGCTCTTCCCCGAGGCTGGCGCTCGGTCGGACGCGCTTTGCGCCGGACGGGCGGTGAGAAATACATATTCAAGACCCCTTCTTGTCTTTTTTTCCCCAAAATATTGGCCTTGTTGAATACCAATGAATTGTGTGTGTGTCTGAGTGAGTGTGTGTGTGTGTGTGTGTGCAGGGTACCCATTTCAGCTTGGTTTAAAGGGGCACCAAAGCAAAGCCGGTCACGTTTTGGGACCCCTATTTTGCGACGTACCCATGACGCCGAGATCCCAGAGCAGGGGATCCTGGTAGTGTGTTTTGGCGCGTTTTGAGGCATGCAGTCATCCCAAGTTCCTGGTTGAAATCTGATTCAATATAAGAACTATAATCGAATTGCTTAGACGAAACAACCAGCTGGTTTGCCTGGCTAGGTTCAGGTGAAAATTACGAAGAATGTGTAACTAGTTTCCCACGAAGTCTAACTAAGTCCTAACGCAAGTCCTACTTGGAGACGAATTCCTGATCTGACTTGCACGGATCTCCTGTTTGAAATCTGACCCAAAATCAGCATTCGACTTGAAGTCTAACTGAACTAATAATTGGAAATAAAATCATACTCAACATCTAGACTCAAACAAGAACTCCAAGTAAACAATAGTTCAATTCCTACTTGGAAGGGAAGTAGCAGATGAAGTAGCAGTTAAAGTATAATTAAGAGTGAGTTCTAATCCAAATCTTATATTCCTTACACTTTAAACAACGCAAGCCAATTGGATTGGAATTTGCATTTTCAATGTTTGTTTTACCGGTGTTTAACTCCTTTTAAGGGGCTCGCAAGTTAGAAGAAACATCAAGCAGGTCTTTCCTTCTAAGTTTTGATTTAAATCCTACTTGGAAAGGACACCGCATATGAATCCTGATTCAGGGTGAGGTTTTGGGTTGAATTCTCTTTAGAATATGATTTGAACTTAAAGCGTTGCAACTTTAAAACTTGTCGGCCCGCAGAACTGAACTTTTGAGTTATCCTTAAGTTTGTTTGTGTTTCTCTCCTATAAGGGGTGCTTGAGTTTATATTGGTGTTCAACCCCATTAAGGGGCAGGCAAGTTAGAAGTAGCAACCAGATTGTTTTTTCCAAACTGAATTCTACTTTCATCAGAAGTCCAATTCGAAAGCCAAACAGGAATGGAAAGAAAGATCTTAAGATAATTGCAGCTCCTTTGGCTTGAATGAGCTGCAGCAACCGGCAGCATGTTACAACAATCCATGTAGAGGACCCCGTGAGTGATTTTTGGAACTCACAGTTGTAAACACCTTTCAGCAAAGCAAGAAACTGCAACTTGCTCACGATATCAAACCTCAACGTCAACATCACAAACAAGTGCATTTCCATTTGCGATCCCTTTTCCGGTTCCTTGTCAATTTGGATGGGAATAATTAAATAGAATAAGGGTGTGGGTACTTTAAGAGCACATTAGGTCATGATCATGGGTGAGGATAAGGTTACTACCTGAAGCCCTCGTGTCAATGGCAAAGAGATGCGATCAGAACCCCTTCCGAGAGGGTTGTGGGGTCTTTGGTTTTTCTTCCCGCCACTTTCCGGTAGTCCCTGAATTCACAATTAACAAGTCCAAGATGAGGGAAGAGATCGGGAATGGATGATTTTGTCCAGTAGGATGTGCTATTGCCTTGCCATACTCACTGAATCATACTGCTTCAGGTGCTCAAATCAAACCCTGTTTCTGATGATGTGCCCATGCACGCAAATCCCTGGTGACGTTATTTCGTGCGTCTTTTTCGGGCTGCTAATTTGCTTTCTTGGGGCTAATTCAAGGGCCATGTTCGAGAAAGACGGTCGGGGCAGAAAACCTGACTGGCGCGACAGGAGATGCCTGACACGGACGTAGAGGATGAGATGTCACTTGGCTGTCTGGGATTTGAATCATCATCTCCGTCAGCCTAGAGACCATTTTGAAAGGCCATGTCCAGGATAGTATAAGAACCCCTGCGCAGGTGAACCCATGGTGAAGGTCTTTTGCCGCAAACCAGAGTTTGTGTAAGGCCTATCCTCTCAGCAATTGCATGCCGCCCAAGGCACAGTGCAGCGAAGAAACTCTGTGCAAGGGCACCAGGGAGCTTTCGTGGAATCGCCAAGGGAAGGGTGCATCCAATAAGCCCGCCGCTCCGAAAGCAACAAGACACATTCACTCGGACCAACACGCACAGAAGATGGACCTGTGTAAAGTCTGAGTCGAGCCGCGATCAGTATTTAAGCAATCACCCTTTGCCTACCGTATACCACACATGTGCGGAGGACACAGGGAGACCACAGCCGTATTTTTATTTGTAATTGGCCTCATATCCCATGGTCATGAGCTGTTGATGGGAACTGGGAAACCACTTTGAGTAGCTTCAGATCGAAACCTATCATTTTCTTGACTATGTCGGGGAACCCCAAATGGGTTGGGAATGGGTTCCAACTTGCACATCTTGCACGGAACAATCATGTCAACAATGTGTGGTATCCCCATTCATTTGTTCGAACCGATGGGTCTTTCATTGTCTGGACAAAATCTCAGGTCGGACGGGCTGCCGGACACCCGCGGCACAGTCTCTCAGCGCCTGAGCCAGACAAGATGCTTGAGTTGCGAGAGAGTCTTGCCAAACGTTTTGAGCGCCGAAAGCAAAACCCTCCCGGGCTATTGATTCCAAGGCAGCTTCTCAGATTTTCAGATGTGTGTCGTCTCAGCTTCCAAATTTGTTTTGTTGCTGTTTTGTGTTGTTTGCAGTTTGCTGTTGAGCCTTGCGCCTTTCTGTTTTGATGTCATTGTCAATGCTACATATTGGGCTGTTTGTTGTTGTGCCCGTGTAAAAACTATGCACAGAATATGCTTCCTGGAGATCAGGAAGAAGTATGTTTGTGTTTCCGTTCCGGGTCTTTTCCTTAAGCCCAAGAAGCAATCCCATGTTTTCTCTAGCAACCAGCGACCAAAGTACTCTTTGACTCGGGTGATTGGGTTGGTTTTTGGCCGGGATCAAGTGGGCACGTGTGTCAAAATAGGTACCTTCCAAACTGGTGGTGTTCCTTTTGTCTAACAAAAACCAAGAAAGGTAAGCCTCAGAACACGGCCTCCAGGTGCATCCACCCGTACACCTGGGTGCGCAAGCTCCGGGCGGACGGCTTTAAGCCGGGCCCAGCCCTGCAGGGCACACAGCTCTTCCACGCTCTCGACCGCGCGCCTCGGGAGAGACGGGTGGGACCCGTGGCACCCGTGGCACCCGGTCGTTGCTTGTGGCGGGTTGGCGGGTTTGGTGTGCGCAGAAAGGACCGGTTGAAGGGGTCTGTGGGGGTCGTGTGATGTGTCAGTGTGTTCGCAAGCGTCCGCAAGCGTTAGCGAGTGGAGAAGGTTTCCGTGCCAATGTTGCGCTTGTGCGTAAATTGTGAATCGTTGGACGACCTTACTCAAAGAACCATGAGAACATATCTGATCATTTTGTGGATTCCCCTACCTTGGCAAACGCCCAAATTTGCAAGTTTCTTCGACCAAGGACAGAGATGGCTTGCTGTCCCAGAAGGACGCGTGCATGGCGTGTGCAGGGAACTTGCATGACGCAACGTGGCGGGTTCGGATTCCAAGTCGGAGTGCAAGCCATTCAGGGGGCTGTTTCAACGTCGGCTCTTGTCAAGGAGCGGGTTGAGTTACGTGAAATTGTCAGGAGTTCGCCTTTTTGGACCAGGAGTTTGGCAGTGTCTTGGCTTATCTAACCGCGACAGCTGGCAGTTGCGGGTCTTTTGGCCCCGAATGGACTGGTTGTTGGAAGGTTTCGGGGGCGCGGTTTGGAGGTTCGAAGTGGTATGCCAGGCATGCCGCAGCAATAGCTTTGTTGCGCAGCTGGTTCACATAGGTCGCTGCCCAGAAAGGCTCCAGAGAGGACAAAACGTGGCTAGGATCACAGAAGGTTAACTGTTGGGAATAGGATTGTTTGAGGTCCACGTTGATTTGACGGAGAGCTGCACCCCTCAAGGTTGCGACCCAAACGGTCAAATGAAAATGAGGGGCAAGTACGCCCTGCGTATGAGGCATTCGTCTAATATTTCTGTTTTGGGCTCTTGTCTGGGGGTTGAAACACAAGGCGCGGGCTCCTCCAGGGACTCCGGGGTGCTGGTTGCCGTTTAGCCCACGGCCCACAACCATGAAAAACTCCCCACTCAACAGCTTCCTCCCAGTTCCCTGTGCGGGAATACCGCGATCTGGAGAGCGCCTCGTGGAGAGCACTTTCAGAGAGCTGGAACAGGGTTGGGCACGCAGCCATTTGCCCAATGCCCGGAAGACATATCGAGGAAATTGGGATATCTCCAAAACTAGCAGCCTTGGCAGTGAGGTGAAGACTTGAAACTTTGACCCCAAATCCAGGAGCCGGCTTCAGAGAGTTCGGACCTGCCCCAATCCGAAGGAAAAGTCGATTTTGTTTCTTATGCGCTGGTTTTGTTGTTTTGAGACAAGGAACTGGATTAAGCATGTTCTTTCGACGCAGCTTCCTTCTGTTTTGGCTGTTTTTGGAGACAAGAGCAAGGATTCAGTTCTTGTATCCAGTTCCTTTGGTCATTGCTGTCAGGCTTCAAAGCTGCTTCCCGAGCTAAGGTCCGGAGGAGGTGAATGAGGCGATTGGCTTTTTGTTGAAGAGGCATCAGATGGTGCACGACGTAGTTGCCAAGGAGAGGGAAGTCTTGGACGAACGATGACAACCGTGATGCCTAATTGTGACACTTTCTTTGGCCGTGTGTGTGTGTGTGGTGGCCATTGTCGTCGCCCTCCTCGTCGTTTGTGTTGTGGTTGGCCTTCTTCTTCATCCTCATGATCATCATCCTCTTCTGCTTGTTGCCACTGCACATGATATCAACCCATGCTTCACTGAGTCTGCTCACCAACTGCACACATTCCCACCCCTGATCAGACCCCACTCCGAAGTGCTGCGCGCATCACATGCCCGAACATCCGTAGCAACCCATGCCCAAGCGAGTCCGCCCACCGCCAACGACAACAAACACCCACCCACCCACTCACCCACCCAACCACCCACCCACCCACCCACCCACCCAACCAACCAACCAACCAACCAACCAACATCAACCCAGCACTGCCCGCGCATGCCCCCCACGCCAGCTCACCACGGCAGACATGCCCACTCATGATGAGAACTCACGCGCTTGTGTGTGCGCTCACCACGGCGCACATTCCCGCGCATGACAAGAACCCACGTTCAGTGCGTCTGCTTACAATTACACACATGATGGACTTCATCTTTTGAAGCTCGAGTCAGCCACAATGTTTCTCCTATTTCCCTGTTTCAAAGAGGTGTTGAGAGGATTGGCTGTCGCTGCTGACGGCTTCCTTGTTGACGCGTCCGCTGTTTCTTTTTGCAAACCCTTAGGCATAGCCCAACCAGTCCTTCTGCACCTTTGAATAATTGAGGTCCGTTACGGGTTTTGGTTGCTTCAAACAGGAAGCACGAACAGAGTTGCAGCGTTTCAGGTGAGTCAGTCAAAAGTCTGTTGAAGCCTTCGCTCCTCGAACAAAGATCCATGTTGCTACTGTAGCTTCTGCCGCTGATGCTCCTGTTTTTGCCGCTGCTCCTGCTGCTGCTGCTGCTGCTGCTGCTGCTGCTGCTGCTGTTGGCATTGACGTTGGGTTGCTGTTGCGGCGCTTGTGGTGGTGGTTTAGAGATTGTTTCAAGTCTGAGAATGGGTTTCTTTCTTTTTTGCTTGGAGCTGACTTATGGTAAGCTACATCACCGTCCGCTTTACGCCAGGATTTGGCCGGGAATCGCAAGAAGATCGACACCAAGCGCCTCGTTGAGTGCATGGCACCTCGACTTGAGAAACCTCTTGGACTCGCGTCCGGTGTCAAAAGTAGATAGGAGGTTTGTGTTTGATCACCCTCGACTGGTTTTTAGTCCGGGGCAGTCTTCAGATTGATGGATAACCAAGGGTCCTTTCCCCCAAAAGGTCAAGGTTTCCATCTATACTGGGCCACCTCCTTGTGATCCACCTATCGTACGGGCAAATTGGTCCTGGGCTCCACGAATTCAATTTCTGTTGTTGGTGCCACTACAACATCATCCATTTACAGGCCATTGACGTCATGTTCATGTTCCTCAAGGAAGTAGTCTGGATGCCAAACAACCATATGGTTTGAGTTGGGATCATCGCCAATTATTGTGCTGTGTGCGTGTGTGTGTGTGTGTGTGCGCGCGTGCCTGTGTTTTCTGACAGACCCTGTGTATGATGCCAGAGGTCAGTGAGACAGCCCTTCCACTGAGAAAATAAAGCATTAGGAATGGCAGCTTGACTTATATAGGATTGAATAGATTCTCAGACAACTGCAAGCATTCGCAGATCTCAACACCTATGTGTGGCAACACCGCAAATGATGGTTGAGAAGCGCGTCATGTGTTGTTTAGAGCAAGGGGTTAGTTTGTCGGGTTTGAACCAAGAGATATCAAGGCTGTGGATTTTGACAGCACCTATCCGCAATCAGTGTTGGGCAGCACGTCACTCGCAGAGCGGTCTCTATTTCCTGCCAAAGCGGCGTCCAAACACCTAGTCGCTTACTCCCCTGCAAATTAACATGGAACCCAAAAAGGGAGGGGGGATGTCTCTTTGGTTTCCTCTCGAAAAGGGATGTCTCTTTGGTTTCATATTGATCAAGAGAGTACTTGGGGGAAGGTGTGGGCGCAGTCGATGTTGCGCGCCGAGGTGATTGCAGGGGCAGAGGAAGAGCGCTTGGGCCGCGTTTCGCATGTGCGCTGTCGGTGGAGGCTTTAATGGAACCTTGACAAGAGATCCTCCAATAGGAGAACACCAAAGCATGGGGTTTCGGCTTCCATGGTGTCAAAAGAACCCCGAGCCATTCCCACTGGGCAGGGGGTCGCCTGTGCACCATGAAGATAGCTTGCGCACGTAGCTTTGGACCGCTTGTGCACAGTGCGCCGCTCTGTGAGGTGCGCCCAGCGCGCGTCTGCGGCGATCCTCTACTGCACGAACACGCGGGGGACATGCCAGGCGCTCTCGTAAAAGGGAAAGTGTAAAGCAAGCACCGTTGTTGTTTGGTCATGTTTAGTCCATATTAGTCTAAGCAATCATATATAGATATGCGTGTGTGTGTGTGCTTTATCTCTCTCTCTCTATCGCTCTGTTTTGGATATACATCTTCATATGGGTGTAGACCCGTTAAGAGTTCCAGCTGTGAGCATACTTGTCACTTCCATGCCCAGGTGGTCATCGTGCCACCCGGGGGGGGTGGAGAGAAGATAGCGTTCGGAGTCAGACATGGTCGTTAATCTGGTATTTTGCTCGTCTCTCAGGGAGTGAGCAAACGTTGCAGCTCAGTCCTGTCTGTTGAAAAGGTCAAGCGGTATCACAAATCCACAATAGCCGCAATTGACCTTCAGCCTGCGAAGCCTTCGGAACAATGTGCGCCTGCGTGTGATCTGTGCAAGCAGGCTTTAGGCCCAGAGTGGGAGATGCAAAGCGCGTGCTTGTGTATGTCTGTAAACGTTTGAGTGTTTTTTCCGTGTGCATGACCCAGATGTTCGATCGAAAGCAAGTGATTGCGGCTTGCTAGGAAACTCCTGACGAACCTCCACTATGTATATATATATATATATTATGTATATATATATATATATCTATGCATGTATCAATATGCATATGAGTGTATATATATATATACACACAAGTATGCTTGCGCATGTGTGTGTGTGATTTGGATTGGCATAGCAAAGCAACACCAAATCAAAGCAACGGCAGGTGCTTGGTTGACCCTTTTCAAAGGAGGGCTGTGCGTTTCGGTACTCCCTTCTGAAAATAGGCAAAGCTGCTGGGTACGGACATGTCACAATGTAGTGCTGGGGTGCCTGAGCCCTGAGGTTCGCAAAATATTGACCAGAGCCAGACATGTTGTCACGGGCTGGGGGCCAAAGCTGAGGAAGCAAATATTGATTGTCACATATTGTCACACCAGCTTGGGTTTGCAGGTGGCACGCCCAAGCTGGAGCCTTGGCAGATCCGAGCCGTTTGCTCTGAAAGTTAGAATTTGGTGGCAAGAAGCAACCCGTGTTCCGAATTCCAGCAGTTGTGGCCAATGCGAGCTTGCGAGAATCACCTGGCCGATAGGATCTGATGCCGACCGATAGGCTCGGATGCATGTGAAGGCCTCGAGTTCTCATAGCAAACCCGTTGCTAGCCTCAGGTTTGGTTCACTCAGTTCCCCTACCAGTTAAATTTCTACCCCTGGAGCTTCGGAGCACCTTTGACATAGATTGGGTCAGAAACTCTTTCCAATCCACACGATGGGTTTCTCAAAATAGGGGTGCCCCAAACTGAGTGGTTTCCCTATGCTTCACTTTAAGACGGTCCAGCTTCCCTTTAAGACGGTCCACCAAATTGAAGAAACTCTGGCAATGTTTGTCTCCAGGAAGCTTTGCAGCAGGGCTTGGGCGGCTTCGTGTTGGTCTACACCATGTCGCTCTTGCAGAGCTCCATGGCGTGCTAGTCGCGGGATGCAGAACGTGATTCTCAATCTGCACTGAAAACCGGGTGTTGTTTTTGCAAGAGATTGAAGGGGGGGGTACTATAGCTTGCCTCAGTTTAAATGTTTCTGCCCCAACCTGCAGCGGCAGGATTTTTCTTGACGGTTGGTCCAAGCATTTTGAAGAGCAACCCCACTTGCAGTGTCCTTTTGTCCCATCATGAAAGCTCTCGGTGAGACTGGGAAGACGATGTTCCTAATGTGAGAGGTCATGATCTGGCTTTTCAGGAATTCGTGTTTGAGCGAGAATCGTGCGAACCTACCTCGGCTTGTGTTTTCTTGAGGCTACCCTAAACTGGAAGCAACAGGAAAGCCAGAAGACCACTATTCTTGTGGTTCCAGTTTGGCGCAGCCCCATTTTGTTGGCCAGAATCGAATGGGGAAGCTTCTGAGGGTGACTACAGGTGATTTACGTTGGATCTCAGCTTGCAGCCTTGAATATGGGAGCCACTCAGCTTTTGAGCGTCCGCATTTTGGACACATCCAATCGGCCCCAAGAAAGCAACAAGACGTTACGCCCCAAAACAAGTTGATCCTTGGTTCCCCTTCCGCGAAAATGAAGTTTGGCCCATGTTCTGTGAAACAGCACACTTATCAAGAGACCATGTAGTCACAAGGACAATTAGATTCGGTAGCACAGGAAGTGATGTAGTCCACAACCCCTTCGAGTCCAAGAAGTGTGTGAGGATGTCTTCAACCCAAGATGACCCAAGTACATCCTGAGAAGGTACCAAAAGGGGCCTGGGAAGAATGGAACAAGGCTCAATGACTCAAGGGGCATGGGGCTTGGCGCTCAGATGGGTTCCTCTGAGACTCAGTTTGGTTCATTTGCATATTTTTTCAGTGGATGCTGTTGTGTTTGTCAATAGGACACCCAGACTCACAGGTGCACAGGTGATTTTCCCACGCTTCCCCTAGCTTGGCGGCTTTTGGTTGCATTCCCTCGAGGTTTGCAGCAGTTCCTCATGGACCGGGATGGATATCACGCTTGGCTCTCAAGGGATTATCCAAACGCTTGGCTCTCCGCAAGTCAAATGGTTCGAGGGACCCCAGGGACTTGCCTGGCTTTAGCTAAGAGTTGGTCAAATGGCAATGTGCGATAGAAAACACTTGCAGTTGTTCACAGCCAGTGGCTGGTTTTGGGACCAACGGCTACGAGTTTGGAGCTTTTTCACGACCCTCGAGGCTGGAATCTGACACGTTTCCGTCATGACCCAGGCAATGACATTGTGGTTGGGACCGACTTCGAACATGAAGGTTGGGCGAATCAAGAACCACTATGATTCTTCTTCAGCCAGATCCGGTCGGGACTGCCCATAGCCTGAAGTTTTTTACTTGGGCCCTTGTTATGGGCCGCTAATGGCTGAAAAATACATACACTATATATACCCCTTATGTATTGGGTACGTAGCACAAAGACCAGGTGGCTGGATGTGTGCGTTTCTCAGCTGCTGCCTCTGGAGTAGCAATCTTTGACGACAGCAATCTTGAAATGTTCCAACTCCATTGGGACTCTTCGTGCCAAGCCCCCAAACCCTGGTCCCAAAAATAGGGGCCCATTCAGGAAACCCACTGGCACAGACAGTTTCCTGAATGGGCCCCTATTTTGGGAACTCAGATGTTTGGGTCCTTGGTTGCCCTTTTGCTGAAATCAAACTTGCAGATTTGCGTTCGTTGGAACTATCGTCTCTCTCGCCAGCAAACCACAAAAATAATGGCCCATAACAGTGGCCCATGTAAAATTCTTTAGTGGCCCGCCCCGGGGCCCATATGGCGAATGTTGGTTGGAACATGGGACACTCACTCGATGTCCAATGATTTGATCGTAAACAGGGGTCACAGCAAAATCCAGTAAGCCCCACTGCGAGGTGTACAACCCTATTTTGTGTGTGTGTGTGTTGAAATGGGAGACCCCAAAATAGGCGGGTTTTCCCCGTTCGCTTGAAAGCCCCAAGGGCACCTCCAAAACACATCATTCAACACCAAGCCATTCGGCGCAGGACACTTTCGGGGGCCTGAAGAGGGCCTTCGAGCAGCTCGACATCACCGGACGGCGCCGGATCACGCTGGAGGCCCGAACGAAGATGAAACGGGAACCAAGCCTCGAAAACACTTTTCGCTCTTCAAGATCTGGCAAATTGAAGAATGTCAAGTGCACCCATGGGTCATCCACAGTAAGATTGCTTGGATTTATGACTCGTCCAACACCTTCTCCCGGAGAATCATAACTTGAACAGCCACAAGACGATAGTTCATGACACAAGACGAGTCTTGGGGCAGCCCTTCTGTCCAAATCTGAAAGCAGGTTTCAGAGAATGAATGTGCTCTGTTTCTAACGCGCATGGAAGCGGCAGAGGGGTTTTGCAAGACCACCATCCTGTTCACAGTTGCTGGAAAAAGAATCATGTGGGTATGAATTATCATGCGGGACCCTGTAGTCAACATCGTTCTAGGGGTTGATTCCCCATTCTCTTCAACCATCGTTCAGCGGACACCGGCAGTTCTGCCCAAATCGGGGGACTCCTCAAAATGGCGGTGTTCCTTTTTGGTTTCCTCTTAGAACCAACCAAACAAATTGTCCCTCAAACAAATGGAGGGTTTGCATGCAAGGGTTTTGGGGGTATGGCTGCTTGGTTCACTTTAGGCATTTAGATCACAATGCTTGTGAGCTTGCGGTAGTCGTTGGGATGTTTAGCATGGGTCCTGGTGTGTCATTGTTTGCATTGGCCATGAGTCAGGCAGTTAGTTCGGTTCAGCAGTTCTGGAGCGACTGCTAGAAGGTGGTCGGAAGGCCTAATGAACAACTTGGGAGTACTAAAGGCTAGGGTGTGTGTAGAATAATATCTTGAGGTCTAGTTCAATTGTTTCGTATTGCTGGAGCTTCCTTTCAAGTTTGGATTTGAGTTTCCATTTGATTTAGTATTGGTGGAGCTCCCTTGCGACACTGTCTTTGGTTTCCATTTGATGTAGCTTGAGTTTCCATTTGGTGTCTCATTGCCGGAGCTTTCCTTTTGCGATTTTGATGGGTGGCCGAGCAACAAGACTTCATTGTAGGGGCCCCTGAAATAAAGTCTTGGGCTCAACATTTGGGGCCTGATGTACTACCCGCTTGGTGAATTTGATTGCGGGCAGTTTTTACACATACAAGAAAACATGACTTTGGAGAAGCGGAACATGTTGGATGCTGGCAGCAGGTTCAAATCATGCGTTTGGGGCATATGTTTTTGTTAAAGACTTGTATTGAATTCTGTTTTTCGGGCGGCATGGGGGGGGAAACTTCAGGGGCCACCCGAGGTGAGGTCCACTTGTGTCTGGAACAATGGCATCCCCAGGAAAAAAATCGGCGCGTGCTTGGATTCGAAGTCTCAATAGTAGCCTTGTTGGATGGCCCCATCTTTGAGAAACAGCTATATGATCATATGGTCTTCCTGCAGGCTTCCCTCTGATTTACGGGGGATGTACACGCTGGGATTTGGCAAACGGGTCCGCGCTTGGCCAGGATTTTACATCTGTCATCAGCGACTTGCAGTGGCCTGATATCTCCCCGGGAGTTCTGGAGGCCGCTTGGAATCCATTTGAAACAGACCCGACCAAATGCTGCAGATAAGAATGGAGTCCGCAAACGCGCCATCAGATGCATTTTCTTTTGGGGGGACCCCTTTGCTTACCGTAGAGGAACATTGTCTTCCAGCCGTTTTCAGTCACATTTCGGGTTGGTGGAAGGGCAGGGTTGGGCAACATGTGCAGCAACCAGACCCTGGTCCCCCTAGGGGCAAGGAGGTTGTGAAGAGCCGTGGCTGCCGAGCGAATCTCCCGATCTATCACACTGGGACATTCCAGAATCCCCGCTTTTGTGGTTGATCTGATCTTTGGCATCTTCGGGTAGAAGTTCTTTCCATGAAACCCCCTTAGGTCATGTTCCGCTTGCTGGACCGTGACTGCACTGGGGCCTTCCTGGAGAAGGACAGCCGGTTCTTGTGGAGAGACTTTTTGGGAACCCCCTCCCGGTTGTTTTTGCTTTTACAACAATACCCTTGCATTTAATTACCAACCCTCTTTTGAGTGGTTCTAAAAGGAAGCCCAAAGCAAACCAACCTTTCTGGAGAGACAAAACCACAGGGAGCAGACAATCTTGTTGGACTACTGTTGGCTTGAGGACAGGGAATAGCCCAATTTCCCGGAAGCACGGTATTTGTACGCCCCGGGCTATGTGCCATGGTCAAAAGACAGGTTTCTGCCACGGTTGGCAGGGATGGAAGAAACGGACCGACAACATCGACAAGCAACAGATCCGATGCCAAGGTTGGGAGGTGGTTACAACCGGACCCTGGCAAAGAGAACCAAGAGGAGGCAGTCCAAACATTTGGTGAAACATGTTTGAGCAGAGGTTGGGCCCCTACAGCTTTTGAAGCTTGATGGGTATCGCTTTGGGGTCCCCTATCGGTTTCTGTGGTGTCAAACTGGGCACCCTTCAAACCCACTCGTTTAAAGACACCCACGATGAAACCAGCCACCCTATATGTCATGGAGTTGTTTGATGGTAGTCAAATCCAGCATTATCAGAGCTGCTATGAAAAGAGGTCAAGTTGCCAACTACTTTGGCCAGTGTTTCATGTGAATAACTTGGACAAGCTGCTCTTAATGCTTATTGTGTGCAAGAGCCAGGGCTGTGTGGCGTTGATGGAACCAAATGCGAACCGACTAGTGAATCGATTGGCATGATGGGTGTAACGGTGTAACCCATCAAGCATCACAGTTGTCACTGACATGCTCGTTTCACCCCTGATTAGTTGGATGTGTGACAAGGCGATTTTGAAAGGTGACCATGTGTCACCTACCATGCGCATAGGTCGACTCTCGGCCATCAGTTGACCCCATTCAGTTGCTCAAACATGTGCCCTTTCGACCACGGATAGAGGGTCCCCTTTGCACAGGGCACTTGTCACTCGCCCAAGACATGCCCAAAAAGGGGTCAACGTACGTCCAGCCTTGGACCTATCGCCGTGGCCAGGACATGGCAGCCTTCGAGCAGTTCAACGCTGAGAAGTGCCCCGGCTCCGCCACGAGTCGCTCGTCGCCTTTTGTTGCGATGAGGCCATGGGCACCGTTCAAAACTGAGGATGAAGGGCGCTTCTTCACAGATGTTGAGCTCTATGAAATGGATGTTGGCCATGAATGTGAGTATTGTACGTTAGGCTGATACAGGGGGCTGTCGTGTCTGTTCACATACTGTTGTTTGGTGTGATTTGTATCTTGAATGAAAGACGACACAAGGTTGAAATTGCTTGGCTGACTCTAGTGTATTTGTATATGACAGGCCAGTACAGATCTAACAATTTTGACATGTTCCAGCCAGTTTTCAGCATGTAGTGTAGCATAGCATGTGCCTACGGCGGGTGGACAGAATCCTGCACCACCATCGCAGCATTGGGTTGCACGCCCTCGCGCTCCCTTTTTAATATTGGGGGCTGAAAACACGCTGAAGGAAAAGAAGTTGAATGGACGAAATCCTGCACCACCTTTACAGCCCATCAAAGCAACATTGAATATGGGGAGCGGGGGGTCCTTCTACACCCTTGTTTAACTCGTTGATTTAAGTGGTGCAGGATTTCGTCCACCCACAGTACCCCGCTAAAGGTGCAGCATCTGATCAGACAGGTTTTGCAATCCGAGAACGATGTGTCACGAATTTGAAACGCGTTGAACCATTGGCAACCGTTTTGCGAATTTGAAAAGTGTTGAATTAAAGTCCATACCGGAGCACCATATTTGAAAAGCACCGAGCACACTCAGCAATATGCTTGCTAGAGGGAGGCAAGGGCTTGACAAAGCGGTAGATCTTGAGGCGTCGGAGGAGCATGGTGTGCTCGGATGGCACGCCTTGTGCCCTGGCCACTTCTGCTTGGGCAATAATGGGCCCCAAGTCTTTCTCCTTCACGGTGACGAAGAGCGGAGCCGTGCCTTCGTAGAGGAGATGGCTGCTGTTCTGTGGACGAGGGAGCGGGAAGGGCTTGCCCTCGTACCACAGCAGCTGAGTTGCCAGCGGTAGCACCTTCTCGTCGAAGCACCAGTCATCTAAGATGACAATCCGCTTGCTCTCGAGGCCAAGGAGAGGGAAAGAACCACGCTGCGGAGTGGCCTGCGCATGCCCAGTGCCATACACCTCTCGAAGGGGAGAGAGCAAGAACGACTTGCCTTCCCCTCCAAACCGCCCCATCAGCACAAGGACCGGCACATCTGGCCGCCGGCCAGCTTGCAGAAGCTTGAGGACGTCCTTGCACCAAAGCTCTGGGGAAATGTTGTTGGAGACAAAAGCTTCCAAAGCTCGTGGTAGCCACTCGCCACCGCAGGCGCATTGCGAAGCTGCAGCAGAATACAGCTGATCCATGCGAGACTTCCCGTGCAGCTCTAAGTGCTCTTCAACTTTCTCCCAGGACAAGACATCATCAATCAAGGAGGGCAGCTTGGCCCTGTTCTTGAAAGCGAAGGCCACGAGTGCGGGGCTACCATGGAGCTTCAGGTACGCGATCAACCTGGAGCCTGCAGTGCTGTCATCTGGCGTGTTCCGAAAGCCATGGCGAACAATGACGGCGTAGAGGTCCATCTCAGTGGGCCGCGGCTCTGGCTTCCCAGTTGCAGCTGCCTCCTTGACCTTGTGCTCACGGCGACGGGCAAGGGCCGCTGCGGTGATTGGCTCCTGGGACGCCTCAAAGAGGGAAGGGTGCTGGCCTGTCCTTGACCAAAATCGGGGCTGTGGGTCAGGTCTGCTTGACCTTTCTTAGTGCTGGGCATGAAGCCATAGCGCACTGCTGACCAGTATCCCAAGTGGGTGCAGCTCCAATGCGACGCCAGCCCATGGCTCACGTGCAAAGCACGCTTGAAAGGGGCAAAGCGGAAAGCTGCGAGAAGTCAAAGCAATGTGCCAGTGGTGGCGGCCATCTCCGGCATGCTTCTCCCGGAAAACAGTCACGCTTTCAAGCGCGAAGCCAGTTTTTTCCTCACCCGGCACATGGTCAAAGACAGACAGGAAGACTCGCAAGATTTCATCGTGTGACCACGTGGGTGGGCACACGTAGCCGCGGCGCATGGCGCTTGTCTTCAAGGCCGGCAGTGTGACCAGGTACACGGACTTGTTGCCCCCGACAACTTCACCAGCAGGCTCATCAACTGCGGAGAAGTCATGCAGAGGGTCATCTTCCCCCACCGCTTCGAACCCAAGCCATGTCTTGCGGCGGAGACGCCGCGTGGGCAGCAAGAGCTCGCAAGGCATGGTGGACAAGTCGACACTTGAGTCACTGGAGCAAAACGCTGCAGAGTGGCAAGCAACTTTAAAAGAGGCTAAAAGTGGGTGCGATGGACAAGTCCAGTTGTGGACGAGGAGCATTGCAAAACGCTGGGTGGCCCTTAGCATCCACCTTTCTGGGCTTGTCAGAATGCAGGTGCGAGACGCGCCGCGGGCCCACGCCTGGACAAGTCCAGTTGTGGACGAGCATTGCGAAACGCCTGGGTGGCCCTTAACATCCACCTTTCTGGGCTTGTCAGAATGCAGGTGCGAAACGCGCCGCGGGCCCACGCCTGGACAAGTCCAGTTGTGGACGAGCATTGCGAAACGCCTGGGTGGCCCTTAACATCCACCTTTCTGGGCTTGTCAGAATGCAGGTGCGAAACGCGCCGCGGGCCCACGCCTGGACAAGTCCAGTTGTGGACGAGCATTGCGAAACGCCTGGGTGGCCCTTAGCATCCACCTTTCTGGGCTTGTCAGAATGCACGTGCGAAACGCGCCGCGGGCCCACGCCTGGACAAGTCCAGTTGTGGCCGAGCATTGCGAAACGCCTGGGTGTTAAAGGTGGGGCTGTGACGCTGTGATGAAGGCAGGGTAGCAGACAGTTTCAGTGTCAGACACGCTCAGACACGCGCGCGAAAGGACTCACGCACACATGCGCACAAACACCGGGGCGCAACACGCGCTCGTGCGGAAGTGCGTGGGTGCGTATACATACAGTGCACGCGCAGTGTACGCGCAGTGCACGCACAGTGCACGCTGCGTTGCACGGGGTCCAAAGTGCCGCCACTGCCATGTATTTTGCAAACCTGGTGCAGAATTCAAGAAACCTCTAATTTTCTTCTTGTTGTAAATCTGGAACAGAAAGCACCGATCCATGGGTATTTGCGGTGTTCTGTGACGGTGCACTGTGGCGTGCGCTGTGGAGTGCACTATGCGTGCACTGGAACACATGAGTAGCGTTTTTTTTGCCCCTCCATTACGTATGTAAAGGTACGGAATTTATTCTTTGACATTCTGAAGAAATGCGCGCCGCGCCACAGTCGCGGAAGCCCGCGGAAGCTTTGCGGAAGGGTTTTTTTCCGCGGAAGCTCGCGGAAGGGTTTACGGAGTATGTTTGTTTGTGCTGGCAGTGCAGCTTGTGGAACAAGCAAATATGAAGCAGCTTTGTTTTGCTTGAGAGACTGAGGCATGCGTTTAGAAGACTAGAGAGAACACGTGGATTGCATGATTGTGTGCCCATTTGGGTCGTCAACTAGGGTCTGCTTAGAAGTTTTTATGTAGGGTGAGGCTTCCCGGGGGGTTCTAGGATCTGTTCTGTCCTTCTTACAACCAGCTTTGAGAGGTGGAGGCGCATGTGCGGAGGCAGAAAGGAAGGTTCGACATGTTCTTGCAAGTGTGTAATGCTGGGCCAGCCTCGTTTTGTCAAAAGCAGGTTTATTGTTTCGGCAAAGGCATGAGGGCTTACACCTTCGTGGTCCACAAGGGGGTAGACCAATGTACTAGCATGGATTTGCAAGCGAAGTTCAAGTTGGTGGTTAGCTTGCGTGGAAAGACATGTTTTTCGGGGATGTTGTTTTCCTATGGAAACCCCTGTCACGCGCCCAAGCCACCAAACTGGACAAGGGCGCTCAACTCCGTGCCATTGGCTTGTGTGGCCGGCCGCATGCTGGCACAGGGCTGCGCAACAGGCATCGGGCCACCCACGCTCATGGAACATAGTAACATAGTTATGGAAGAGCAGGCAAGAATAGGGCCAATGAGGATTCTCCTTTCTTTAAACTGCGGAGGGTTTGCAACTGTAGGTTACCTCCCTAAATATGTCGCCAATGTCCGCGCCAGAGCCTGAAGTTCCAAAGCTGTGTGCTGTCCGAGGGTGTATTGGGAAGTTGCTGCGGAAGGAAGCCCAGGGCACCATCCAGTTGCACTGCCTGGCGGCAGCTCATCATCGTGGGTGGCTGGTCCAAGATGATCGTGAGCTCAAGTGGGAGTTCAGCACCCGCGGGAAGCGTTGGCTGAAAGGAGAGGCAGTCCAAGCTCAACGGGGCGGCGCTCCTTTGGAGGCGAGAGGGATGCGAAGTAGGTTTGCCCAGGACTGTCCATCGGGCCAAGCTTTGTTTTCTTATTGACGGGAAACAAATTTGGCTTCACCTCTTAGACAACAAGGGCGTTGTTTGGGCTGGGTCTCGAGCTTCCCACACAATGTACGGTTGTCGTTTCCATGCTCCTGGAGGCCAAGCAGAAGCCTTCAGAGCCAGACGGGGACGCTTCTTTGTTCGCACTGGATGCTCCGCCTGGAAACCCTCAGTCTGGAGCTTCCAGGCTCAGACAGCATCATCTTTTGTTTGGGCTGTCGCCTATGTGTGTGTGTGTGTGCGGGGCCGTTGCCCGGAATTGCTATCCTAGGTAGTGGAGGACCCAACTCTGCCGGCTCTTCAGGCGGACCCAGCCAACCCGCCAGCGGAGGTCGCAGAGACAACGAAGCCATTGGAGCCAGCGGAGCCAGCCGCGCAGCCCCTTCAAGCAGAACGCTCTTCCTCGGCATTACGCTCACACGCAGCGTCGTCCGCAGCGGCTGTTCCCAAGGTGGTGGAGAAGGAGGTCATGACCCCGGAGAAGGCCGCTGCTGCCGCGGTTCCAGAAGAGAAGCCGAAGCTCAACTTCGGTGGCAAGACGGAGCGCGTGGCCACATGCCGCCTTTGTGAAGAAGCTCGCACTTGGGCGCAAAAGGGGTCTTTTTGTGAGTACTGCACGGGTGCGTTCCGTCGTGCTACAGGCCACCAGCGCCTTCACATACTCTTTGAAGACCAGCATTTGGCAGAGTCCGTGCGACAGGAGAGTAAGACAAAGCGTGCTGAAGCTGAAAATGCTTCGCCGCCTAAGAAAGGGCTGGAAAAGAAGCTCGAGGAGTTCCTGCGCCGCTTCGAAGAGGTTCTGCCACAGTTGGAAGCAGCAGCTCGCCATTTTGAAAGTTTGTTGGAAGCCGGGCCGCCTGCGAAGAAGCGCAAGCATTGATCCTGGCTCATTTATAGATGTGCTTGTCTCAGGGTTTTATAGCCTTGTGGCTATGTTCTAGGGGATCTTCGGGGTACAAACTTGACAGGCCGTGGTGCGAGTCAAAAAAGGGACCCAGGATGTGCCAGCTAGCGGGGGAATCAAATACTTTTTTTTTCTGCGGGCCCTTTCTTACTATGGGCAAGTTTAAAGGGGTGCAAGAAGGTAAGAAGAAGAGTTTGCCCCCCCTAGCTTGTCACATGCCGAACATCGTTCAAGCGAGCTGCAGCTTGCAAGCAGCGCAGCAAGTCCAGCATGGGTCTTCATTTTCTGCAGCAAGCCGCAGTGTCATTCGCAGGCTGACGCCATTTCCGGCTTTAGCTTTTCACCCCAACCGGGTGTAGCGGTGCAGCCTCACAAAGTCAAACGACAAAGGTGCCCCTGCATTGATCAGGTTTTAATAAGCACTTGCAACCTGCAACAACACGAGCGCCTGCAACAACACTTGCATGTTCAGCCTGTGTGTGTGTGCGTACGCGTGCGTGCGTGTGAAAGAGAGACGTGTGCGTGTGTGTGTGTGTGTGCGTTTCAGGTAGCAGTAGGGAACCCAAAAACAGAATCCCAAACGCGGATTTTCGCGGAAGCGCCGCGGAAGCTTCGCGGAAGGCCCGCGGAAGGGGCCCCCGACCTTTCCCACCAGTTGCCCTTTCGTAGGCCGCCAACTCGACCACTCTCCACACAGCATGGGCGCAAAAGCGAAGCCATGGCGTGAGCTTGGCGCAAGGCCGCCAACGAAGCCTGCCGCCTCTTACTTCAACGCAGTCGTGACCCTGAGGATGTCCAAGAGATGTTCAACCTGAGGTGGTAGAGGAGCTTACGGCGAACTGCAGCGATCTCCGCTTGATCCTACAGCGGAATGCTGCCCAGCACACAGCCTGTGGCCTGCTACTAGAGCAGCTGGGGAAGCTACGAGCAACGGTCCCCGCCAGCACAAACCTTGACGTCCCCGTCATCACACTCACGCAGTTGGACTCTGCTGTCACCAAGGTACCCTTGCCGCAGGAGGCCCTCACCGCAGCCGGTTACACCCTGACCAAGCATAGCGCAGCTGCTGCCGCGGAAGGCCCAAAAAGTCAACAGCGCAAGCGAGGCCGCCGCACAAAGGTGAACAGCGTTGAGATGGTCAGCTTGGTCCGCCGTGTGCTTGCCCCACACTTGCAGGACACCGAGCGGGTAGGAGTCGTTGGCCGCGGTAGGAACAAGAAAATGGTCGTCGCCCAGCACTTGCGGAAGAAGCGCTACCGAGTCTTCCTTGAGGAGCCAGAGCTTCACGAGTCCATGTCGTGGTCCACCTTCCACTCCATCATGAAGCGACACTTCCCTCACGTGAAGAACCCCATGAGGCAGACGGACATTTGCGAGCACTGCAAGCATTTGGAGCGTCACTTGCTCCCAGCAGCTCAGAGGGCCTTGGCCAAGCACAGGCTTGAGATCGAAGAGTTCTCCCAGCAGTATTTCCACCCCTTCGACAGCAGCCCTGCGACAATTGAGAACAAGGAGAAGACTGACAAGTTCCCCTTGTTGGCCACTTCTTTGGCATTCGTGCAGCAACAGAACTTCAACGCCGCCAACTCCAGAGAAAGGCAAGCGCTTGGGCTTGCCACCCGACTTGCTCTCCACAGTGCTGAAGCGTCTGCCATCCACACCCTGAAGGGGCATGTGGAGCTGTTGGAAGCTTACCGCTGGCACCAAACCTCTGCAAGGCGGCAAGAAGCAGCGTTGGAACAGCTTGCTTCAGGGGAGTCGCTGCCTGCTTCCGCTGTCCTCCTGCAGATGGATTTCAAGGAGAACGTGAGATACCCGCTCAGTCGCCCAGCTTGTCTTAGCAGTTTTCTCTTAGGCAAAGTAAGCTCAGTCTGTCATGTGGCATGTTGCGTGTTTCCAATGGCCTCCCTAGCAAGGTGCGCTAGAGACAGGAGACGAGTGGCACGCGCAAAACAAACTGTCTCTCACCGTGTTTGGGGTCTTTGCGCGGGTGCCCACACGCACGGGAACACACGTGGACGTGTACCTCCTCTTGGTCTCGGAAGTTTTGGACCATGACGCTCAGGCCGCCAACATGTTGGTGAATGAGGCCATTGCTCTTCTTCGACGTCATCCTGGCACACACTGGCCTGCAGTCAAAAAGCTCATCCTTGCCAGTGATGTCGGACCGCACTTTCGGTCGTACGAAAACGCGGCCCATTTCTTGTGCACGCTCGTGCCTTTGCTGCAAGTGCTTCTACGCTATTTAACGATTTGCCTAAGGTCGTTTTGCTTTGTCTCATAGTTGCTTCCCTGCCTCCTGTGACAGCGCTAGGTGAAAGTTCTCAACGTGGAAGTCGAAGTGCTCTACCTGGCTGAGCATCACGGAAAGGGAGCTTGCGATAGGCTCTTCGCTTGGACTCGCATGTGGGTGTCCCGGTTCATCCAGAAGCACCCTATTTACAACCTGCGGGATCTCACGCAGTGCTACCGAGAAGGCGCGGCTTCGAGGATAGCCGACGACCCGACCACGCCAGCCATCCTTGTCTCAAACTTCGACCCTGGCCGCTTCCGACCAACGAAGCGGAGCTTTCTGTCCGCCGCCACGCTCAAAATTTCACGAACCTACAGCCTGGTCCTTGGACCGTCATGCCGCGCCTGGTGTGCGCATCGTCAACCATGTTTTCACGGATTTGAGGCAAGGGTCGAGGGTCCTGCCCTGCCACGTGGATGAGGTGGTGTCGGAGGAGAAGGTGGAGTGGCGGCGCGGATACTACGACAAGCCGCGCTCCTGGGAGCAAGCAGGGCCGGAGCCAGGTGATGTTAACCACGTCACCCGGCGCTTTGCTGCGCAAAAGACCTTCCTCCCAGACAGAGAGGTTGCTCCAAAACGAAGCCTTGAAGAGAAAATGTCAGCCAAGGCCAAGCAGCTCAGCAAGCACGCTGCCAAGAAGAAGCGGCAGCTGGCGCACCTCAAACGTCGACTTCGTCCTGCCGAGGCTGAAGGCTCGTCCTCTTCTGCAAGTAGCAGCAGCAGTAGCTCCTCAACCTCCTCGGAGAAAGCCTAAGCGCTTTCCACCGCACGGTCGCGCTCTAGTGGAAAAGCGTCGCAGCCCGCGTCTTGCCGTGACGAACGCTTGCCAGTCGTCAGCAAAACCAACCGACAAGCAAGCAGGCAGGCAGGCGCGCAAGCAAGCGAGCAAGCAAGCAAGGGCCAGCAAGCAAGCGCGCAAGCAAACAAACAAACAAACAAACAAACAAACAAGCAAACAAGCAAGTAAGCAAGCAAACGCGGAAGCAGCAGGTTCGAAAACTATGCTGAGACTGTGGTCGCGGAAGCGAAATGCTTCCGAATGTTGTAAACTCATGTCCGCGGAGGCTCGCGGAAGCGATTTTTCTAACAAAACGCTTCGCGGAAGGTACCCCTGCAGGCCGCGGAAGGGTTGGCGGAAGGTCGAATAATTTCAAATGAATTAGAAGGGAATAAAAAACACCACTCACATGTGTTTGCGCAATTGCAGGCCAACGAAAGCATGCAATCAGGCAGCTGGCAGGTGCATCTCTGTCATGGAACGTGTGCTGAAACCGTTGTTTCTTCAGCTCACTACTTCCGTGGCTGCAGGCCCTGTTACTTGCCCTCTTGAAAGAAGCCACCTTTGGCGGCCAAAACAAGCTGACACCGACGTTTCATGTCACCCATGCTAGCCCGAATAAATGCCGCTGGCAGCTTCTTGGCTGTTCGACGCAGCCGAGCAGCAAACTGTGCGCGGGTCTCTCGCTTGGAAGCCGCCCACTTCCGCTCTTGGCGGCGCATCCGGCGATTGATCTCGCTCCATATGGCATAATCCATAACACTCAAATCCGGGCTCCTGCGCGGGATTTCCAATACATCCAGGCGGGCAGCTCTCTTCGCCGCCACGCCTCGTTTGGACTTGAAGCCCGTCGGGTCATTGTCTTCCAGGATGCAGAATCGTCTTTTGGTGGGTCTTTCTCTCTGAAGGCTGGAAGCCAAACTGGTGTACATAGAAGCAGCAGCTATGCCATTCCAACGAGAATTCCGGACTTGATGCCACATGAGCATTCTACCACGGCCAACCCCAGCAACTATCAAAATGCTGCGGGCACCAGTGTTGTAATTCAGGGTGCCCTTAGGCTTCACATACCCTCTGTCCAGACCTTTGCCCTTCGCCCTGTAAGCGCCAACTGTTGCCCTTTTGGCAGCGCGGGCTCTGGCCTCCCCAGTAAGATTGGCCTTGAAGAATTTCCCATCAATTGCAGCATCAAGACGTTCTGCCCACCAGCTTACTGACTTGGACTTGTATTTGCGCGCAAATGCCAGCCGCGCTTTCACATCAGCATTTGTCAAAAGCGGTTTTTCTCGAAGTCTCCGAAAATACACTCCTTCCTTGTGCAAGGCCCGCTGGATGCTTTTGACTGACCGTTTCAAATTGCATGCTTTCTTCAACATGGCAGCAGTCACTGTGTAGCGAGCATCTGCCTTCTGCACCAATTCTGTGAGCTTTCGCTTCAAGAAAGCTACCTTGGCAGGAGTAAGCAGGAGAGGCCGCCCCTGGGCCTTGCGCCCAACTTGCTTCACCAAAAGCCGGGTGATTACAGACTTGTCCCTGCCAAGCTTGTCTGCTATTTCTTTACAGGATTCACCATCTTCATACCACTCCGACGCCAAACGAATCTCCTCAGTGGACAGCTTGGTCCAGCCAGCTTCTGGCATGGCTAACACAAGGACTGTTCAACTACACCAGCCAAACAGCTGTCAAGAACAGGAGCAACTCCTGCAAGGAGACACTTGCAGAGATGTGCGCTGCGTGTTGCACTTCTTCTGTCTTCCAGTGTGAGCGCGCACGCATGTGTGTGTGTATGTGTGCTCTCTGTGTGTCCGGCGCGCTCTCGTTCTACACAAAAACTTGACCAACCCCGACATGCGCGCACACACACACACCAATGGCAGACGAGTGAAGGTGGGAGACTCAGATGTGTTGTGTTTCAGGCTCTTCAATCATTTGGAGAAGCATGTGGGTGACAAGCAGACGCAGACATTTTGTTTTTCAGGATCTCTGTCTCATTGGAGAAACATGTGGATGACAAGCAGAAAGCTCTCCGTGAGACGGTGGGTGGACAGAATCCTGCACCACCATCGCAGCATTGGGTTGCACGCCCTCGCGCTCCCTTTTTAATATTGGGGGCTGAAAACACGCTGAAGGAAAAGAAGTTGAATGGACGAAATCCTGCACCACCTTTACAGCCCATCAAAGCAACATTGAATATGGGGAGCGGGTCCTTCTACACCCTTGTTTAACTCGTTGATTTAAGTGGTGCAGGATTTCGTCCACCCACAGTACCCCGCTAAAGGTGCAGCATCTGATCAGACAGGTTTTGCAATCCGAGAACGATGTGTCACGAATTTGAAACGCGTTGAACCATTGGCAACCGTTTTGCGAATTTGAAAAGTGTTGAATTAAAGTCCATACCGGAGCACCATATTTGAAAAGCACCGAGCACACTCAGCAATATGCTTGCTAGAGGGAGGCAAGGGCTTGACAAAGCGGTAGATCTTGAGGCGTTGGAGGAGCATGGTGTGCTCGGATGGCACGCCTTGTGCCCTGGCCACTTCTGCTTGGGCAATAATGGGCCCCAAGTCTTTCTCCTTCACGGTGACGAAGAGCGGAGCCGTGCCTTCGTAGAGGAGATGGCTGCTGTTCTGTGGACGAGGGAGCGGGAAGGGCTTGCCCTCGTACCACAGCAGCTGAGTTGCCAGCGGTAGCACCTTCTCGTCGAAGCACCAGTCATCTAAGATGACAATCCGCTTGCTCTCGAGGCCAAGGAGAGGGAAAGAACCACGCTGCGGAGTGGCCTGCGCATGCCCAGTGCTATACACCTCTCGAAGGGGAGAGAGCAAGAACGACTTGCCTTCCCCTCCAAACCGCCCCATCAGCACAAGGACCGGCACATCTGGCCGCCGGCCAGCTTGCAGAAGCTTGAGGACGTCCTTGCACCAAAGCTCTGGGGAAATGTTGTTGGAGACAAAAGCTTCCAAAGCTCGTGGTAGCCACTCGCCACCGCAGGCGCATTGCGAAGCTGCAGCAGAATACAGCTGATCCATGCGAGACTTCCCGTGCAGCTCTAAGTGCTCTTCAACTTTCTCCCAGGACCAGACCTCATCAATCAAGGAGGGCAGCTTGGCCCTGTTCTTGAAAGCGAAGGCCACGAGTGCGGGGCTACCATGGAGCTTCAGGTACGCGATCAACCTGGAGCCTGCAGTGCTGTCATCTGGCGTGTTCCGAAAGCCATGGCGAACAATGACGGCGTAGAGGTCCATCTCAGTGGGCCGCGGCTCTGGCTTCCCAGTTGCAGCTGCCTCCTTGACCTTGTGCTCACGGCGACGGGCAAGGGCCGCTGCGGTGATTGGCTCCTGGGACGCCTCAAA